CGTACAAAATGGACCAATCTGAAGGGTAACAATAAATATTAAACACTCAGCTATTTGCCACATAAAAAGGCTCTCTAGTTTACTTACCACAATTGGCCTCTTGATTGCTAAAGAAGTAACCCGCCGAGGGCATCCAAAATGCTTCACAAATACAGGCTCTCGTTGTGGGATTGCAGTTGCCATGCCCAGAGCAATCGTTCTGGCAAACTGTGGTGCGAATATCCACAAATAAGGCTCCCAATATGGAGGCATCCTTCTGGAGTTGAGCCCTCAACTGTCGCTCCACATGCAGGCCATTCAAAGGCTTTCCCTGGCCATCGTTCACATAAAACACCAGAACCGCCGCATCCGTGTGCAAATCGTACTTGAGCTCTCTGACCTGGATTTTGTTCTCATCGCCCAGCAATAGTTGCAGTTTCTGAACCACCGAATCCAGCTCGGATTGGGAGAGCACTGATACGCCCATGGGAAGGGTCATTTGCACCAAATGAATCAACAAGGGATCAGGGTGGACGTTGACGCTCACAGTATCCGAGCTAGTCAGGCCCTGATCATCGCTCACTGTGAGCTTGAAGACATAGCGTCCTTGGACTAGGTTTGTTAGCTAAAGATAAGAGTAAACCAGGTTAATATCAGTGGGTTTAAGTTTAACTTTCAACTTACAATCATCACGGGTTGCTTGTCTGTGTCTGCCACCACAACACCGGCTGCCAAGCTGTTGTCCTCGCGTGTCCAAATGTACTTGACCACTGCCAGGTCATCCCAGGACTTGGAGCCATTGAAATAGATGGCTGTAGCGGGCAAGGTAATGCTATGATCTCCGCCAGCATTGGCCACGGGAGGGGCATTGCGTTCTGGTTGGTAAAATAATATATTTATTAAGTATTTTGGAAAGAAAGTAATGTGGTTTCTGCCTTACCCTGCACAATCTTCACCCAAGTGGTGTCTGTGGCCGTGTTGTTGTTCTCATCAGCTACACTCAACTCGAATTCATAGAGACCCAAAGTCAGGGAGGTGGCATTGGCGATCTGTGGAAAAGCGAAGAATGTATAGAAGGAAAAACAATATTTGAGAGCTCACTTACAGATGAGTTAGACATCAGAATGACTGCATTATTGGGTCCGCTTAGCTGCCTCCACTGATAGCTCTTGATACCAATGTCATCCTTGGACTCTGAGCCATTGAGAAGCACCCAATTGATGGGCAAACTGGTGGTCTACAAGGGAATATTTAATATTAATCTCATCCAGAACTAACACCACCCTTAACTCACTGTGTTTGTGCCTGCCTCGGCAATTGGCGGCGAATTTGTTGGCGGCTTCACGAACACATGCACCTTGGCCGTGCTGGACTGCCCACTGCCATCGGTAACCTTTAGCACAAAGGTGTACATGCCCTCCTCCAAATTGGACAGTTGAACGTAAGGAGTTCTCGTGTTTTGCATATCCACAGCCTTGGCCTCATCGCTGGCATCCTTGGTCCACTCCCAGGCCACAATCTCGTGATCATCCGAGCTGGCAGTTCCATTCAAGGTGACATTATTGTTTGGCAGATACAAGATCACAGCATCCCCGGCATTGGCCACCGGAGCATAGTCGGTTTCCTTGAGGACTGCTATCGTGGCTGTGGTGGAGTTGGTGATATTATTGGAGTCGGTCACGGTGAGCTTGAAGGTGTAGTTGCCCGGAGAGGTGAGGTCTAGCTGAAGAGTGTTCACCTCCGGTAAGACTGGCTGATAGCCAATCGGACCCGAGATCACCTCCCAGTGCCAGTTGGTGATCTTGTCGTCGTCTGTGCTGGTGCTGCCATCCAATATGGCATTTGTGGTGGGCTGTCGGATGATCTGCTCCCTCGGGGAGATGATAACCTGCGGCGGCTGGTTGATTCGGTTTTCCGGCAGCACTGTCACATTTGCTGTGGCCTCGCCAAAGGTTCCATTGTCTCCGGTTACGGTCACCTTAAAGGTGTACAGTCCCTCGGAGAGATTCGATAGCTTCACCTTGGACTTGCTCTGGTCGGAGATGGTGCCATTCATGGGTCCCTTGGGCTGAGATATAAGAGTCCACAGGTATTTGTACTTCGTATCGCTGGTCTGTTCATCGGGAACCGTGAAGGCGGCGAGTGTCACCTCCTGCTCGGGCAGTCGAACCTCCTTGGACATCACGGAGACCACAATATCCTTGTTTTGCTCGGTTTTTGCGGGTGCAGCAGCTATCTCGGGAGAGCTGTTCTCGCTGGCTGCCGCTGCCACTGCATCCTGCTGCACTGCCTCATTGCTGCTGGTCAGATAGGAGCTATAGGGAATAGCGGCCATCACGCACTTGCGTTGCTTGTTCCAAATGAAACCATTGGGACAGGTGCACACTCCCCTCACTGCATTTGGCTGGAGGGGCACACATTGCTGAGGCGGCGGACAAGGTGTCTCCAGATCGCAGGCGGTGAACTTGGCATTCTGATCGTAGTAGTTGAGCTCTTCATTGGCCAGGACATCATTTTCATCCGGTTGGAGGATCAATTGGTTCATTCGCTTGTCGGCCAAAGGGAAGTCGTCATCCTCGTAAACGGGGGTTTCCTTAAAGGATGAGGTTTTGGATAGTAATATTTCATATATTTTAAGGGAGCATTAATCATTTTTTAGGTGTCTTGTTTCCCCCTCCCAAAATGAAGTTTGGTCGATATGTGACCCAATCTAGATATGCTTATATTTCTTTTTTACGCGAAGAAAACCCACCTGATTGCGTGCCAAGTAACCCAATCGTCGTGGCTGCTTCCAGAAATTCAGGGCCGCCTCGTCGTAGGGCAGAATCTCGGCATTCTGCTTGGCCGCCTCTGCCTTGAGGAGCTGCGGCCAGGTGGCCTCGCCCACGGGATTGACCAATACCATTTGCACCTTCTCGTTGGGCAGTCGTACACGCTGTTTGGGCAGGCAGGCCTCGTTGCTCTGGCATCGGATGTGGTAGCACTTGCCCTTGAAGACCAGCACCACATTGCAGGAGCCGGTGGTCACGTTCCTGGGCTTCTCGCAGCAGGCCTGCAGGCAGTTCCAAAGATAGGCCTCCTCTTCCAGTGGTTCCACCGAGTCCGGCTGTGGCTTGTACTCCTCAAAGACACCCGCCTGCTGCTCGTCTCGCGGCGTTGCGTTTTCGAAGACGTGGCGTAGCATCCGGGAGCAGACGCCGGTGCTGGAAAGACCTCCAGTCGCTGCCACCGAGGAGCTGTCCGCTGACGAGGTTTCTTTGTGCGTTTTCTTGCTGCCCAACATGCCGTTTTGCGTCGTGACGTCGGCATATGCTGACGCCATCGAGCCAGCGGCCAGCAAAAGGCAGCAGCCCAGAGTCCACACTCGCTCCATCGTTAAATGCGGAGTTTCTGCTTCCACTTTTGTACACTTCTCCTGCTGCTGGAGTGTTTGTAACTGGGCAAACAAAAGATAACGCCAAGAGCTGCGATTTTTTCTCTTCCACAACAAAAAAAGTGAGCAATTACTCCAGCTTACAGCTGATTTATTGCCGCAGCCCTGGCAGGTCTCCACTGCGCAGTTACCAGTGTTGTAAGTGGGTGTTTCCAGTGCTGGAGGAGGCGGAAGGTTAACGTTAGATATGGAAGCTAGAGAAAACCATAGAAAAAGCTTGGCGGAAAAGCTCTCTGTGTTGACGGTTGCTTGGTAACGGTCTATGGGTTTTTGCCTTTCTTTTTCTCCAAAAATCAAACTTGAATAATTTGCCAAAATATTGATTACAATAAATATATATTTAGTACAATTAGGGGAAAATAATAGATATTACATATTTATGGGAATTTAAATTTTTAACTCTTTAAATCAGAAATTTAAATTAACTTTTTACCTGTAATGAAATATCTTGAAATATTTATCCTAGCAACAAAACAAACAGTGTATAAATGACAAATAAAAAATTATATTAAATATTTAAGATTTTGAATAATTTATTAATTAGTAGTTCGACTAATTCAGAATACTAATATGCTGTTTAGTCATTATTATTGTTATTTTTTTGACCCCCACTGTAGCATTTACCATACATTGTCTGTGATCCTGCCCACACACACCCCATCATCAGCCATATTGACTGATTTAAATAGTAATAAACACACGACCCACGCGCCAAATCGAATTTCACAAATCGTATTGCAGAAAAATTAATTACGTTTCCAGCGAGTGGGTATAAATCACTGCATTGTATTTATGCAAATTTTTAATTGCTCAACACGCAAAGGCAAGACAAAGAATATAAATCAATGCGAATCGGGCGAATCGAAACGCTGAATCTATGCTGAGCCTGGGGAGTCGGCTGTTCCGTTTGTTGTTGGGCCCCCCGAAAATCCGCCTAGAAGTCTATTTATCTCCCCCATATCATTTTCACGGCCTTGTTGACGCGTTTTTTATGGCCAGCCGCCGCCAATAATACCTAAAGCTGATGCATTAACTGGCCCACAAAAAAAAAGTGGTAAAAGCGTAAACAATATATTGATTACTGACTGAAAGTTAGGGAGAGTCTCTATAGGGAAACTATAGGGGAGGAGGAATATACTTAATATATAAAATTCTTCTATTTGAATTCTTAATTTATTCAATTTATATATATTTTTTATACTAAAAATAAATTTAATTAAGTTGTAGAAACATGGTTTTTGCTTTGAACAATTCCCCTATTTATGGCCCATGAATAAATGCAATCAATAAATCTTATTGAATGGCACGTGCTTAGCATATGAACAAGAGTTTTGAATACTTCATTCCGCAAATACTTAATTGTGGGGAATTCACATTTTCTATTTGTTTGTCACTTATCATAGAGATTTTTTTCTCTGGAATCTCAGAGAGAGCTAAGTGCTGACTCCAACTCATGCATATATCTATAGGTTACTCATTACCATATAAGGAAATTGTTTCTCAGCTATTTTCACTGATAAGCTTGCATTTCAAAGCGGTTTTTCACACTTCTCATGAATACCCCTTTTTCCCCTGTTTTTCCCCTCAGATGACAGACTTCTCGGATAGTTCGCCCAGCGGTGTGCTGAGTCCGGCATCATCGCTAATCGAGAGTTTCCACAAGAAGAATGGATCGCCACAGCCCATTGGGGGTGGTGGCAGCACCACAACAGTCACGCCAACGACCTTGAATGGTTCTGCAGTGGCTGTGGGTGGTGGTGGCGGAGCCGGTGTGGTGGCCACCACCACAGCAAATGGCAGGCAAATCAACACCAGCTCCAGTTCATGCAGTAGTCTTAAGGAAACCTCACACCAGTCCACATCCACATCACAGCAGGTAAGAGTGAATCAAAGTATATATATATATCTTAAGAGAAAAAGGTTTTATCTAGATAAAAACCATACTTATATCTGTATCTGCAAACATCCTGTACAGTAATAGTACATTAAAGAATATAGTATTGAGTAAGGTCTGAGGTAGAAGAGATGAACTAGGTTATTTAAACTAATTTGATAACAATTAGATAACTTTATTTAGAAGAATCTTTTAGTTGTTTTTAATAGAAGTTATGATCTAAATGTTATTTGCTAATATTTGCTCGTGTACCTTATCACCCACACTTATTTATTCAATGAAAATTATAGCCAAAAAAAAGTAAAACAAAGATTTGGAATCGAATCCACGAGAACTCAAGTGCTCGATTAGACAAAATAGAATCTGACGCAGCTGTGGTCATCACAGTTCAGATATCGTAACTGAACAGTATGGAATCGGGCGTAGCTGGCATAATGCCGCTATTTTTAAAGCATTACTTAAGGTGTAAGGAACCCCCTAATCGAGGCAACCTTTCTGGTGGTACTGGAACTGCTCCGCAAACCGATAAGTATAGAGGTTAACACTTGATAAAGGAACGCTGCAGCAGCAGCAGCGCCCTTCTATCCTTGATAAGATTACACCTGCCCCTTTTGGAATTTTATAGCTTCGATGGCGACATTGCGGCTGCTGTAGGACAATAACAACAAAATCGATTTTATTAATCACAAATTTATTTATTGTTTGGCATTCGAAATAAGCACTGAAACACTGAACAATTCAGTCAAATATATAAAGCGGAGAATACAAAAGAAAACGTGCCGTTTCTTAATTACCTGTTAACAAGTTGTTTATGCTCCTTTTACGATTTTCACTTAGATAAGATACGAATTGGGGTTTTCACGGGAATTTGCATAGCCCTCGCACACACGTTTTTTATCTTGAAGTTTTCCCCGTTTCTATTTTGATAAGGAAGTTGTCAATCAGATAGTTTATCAAGTGTTTCTGACGAACAAAGAGTCTGCTAAAAATAGAAACTGAGACATTTGAATTCAATTTTGAGGGGCAGCAAGTTCATCATTGGTTGTCAGTTTTTTAGTTTCTTAAAAATGGTCTGTGATTTGATAATAGCATTGATCTGTTTCAATTTACTCATACATATGTAGCTTTGATAGGCAGGCTGACCAAAGGCTGACCATTTGCTGAAAATAGCCTCTGACCAGATCCAAAATTTCCCCAACCTCTTAATTTACTAAATTAGAACTTGACAGGTCATAATCAAGGTACACATAAAAGTAATTTGCTTTTGTAATAGGTTTATGACACATTTTCCCCCAGCTAGTTAGGAGACTGATACACTGACGCAGTTGTTTGTTGAAGTTCAGAGATCTTCTGCCTAAACATGTGAGAAATTGAGATAGTTTTAAGTGTTTTGAATATTTTAATACTCTGTAACTTATTAGGAAAAGCCTTAAATATATATAGTAACTTCTACTGTTAACCAAAGTTTGTAAACACCTAAGAAGTATGCTATAGCGACTTGGCTTAATGTAAAACCTAAGCTTTATTGCGTTAAGGCTGGCTTGAAGATTATAATTTAAATTTTAATAATTTTAAAATAATAATTAAATATTTTTTCCTATGAAACTATATCCCAAAACCAATATCCCCTCCATAAACTCAAATAAATACAGGGTAGACTCATTCGCCACTGTCTTCCTCTTCCTCTAGCCGCGTCTTATTGACTCGCTTTAAATGGGGAGGCTGAGTCACTTGCCGGCAGCAGTGCCGGCACACTTCGCCGCCATCGAATTCTACGTCAGCCGGCGGCGTCGCCGGTGCCTCTGATTCCGGCCCGCCTCCGGTTCCGTCCACCTTCGCTTTTCTGACTTTGATTGTGTGTGCTCATCATTTTCGCGTTATCTGCTTACATCCTGGTTGTGCGATTGTAGTCTCGTTTGTGGTCCAAGTTTTCACCCCATAAAGCTATAACCTACCCATACAGCAGCTACAAATATATATTCATTCATGTTCGGAGGAATAAAAATCACAAATTACCTTTTGCTTCGGCGAATCGCAGGTTTTCGTTTTTTTTTTTCATTCGTTCTGTCAATGATTCGGTTAAGCGATGACAATTTTGGTTTTCTGGTGAAAAAGGCTTTATTTTAATAGAGTTAGCAAACCAATTTAGCGATATGAATTTCACTTTCGCAGAAATTGTTGAGGTAAACGCAACCAAAAGAATATAGTGACGAGGTGTAAGAAAATAAAGTGATTTTCATAGGTAGATAGTATAGCCACAATTTATTGGTTTAAACCCTTGAACATTGACTAGTTAAAGTGAATATAAATCGAATGAAATAATCAACAGATTAAGTTATAAAAACCGCATTAATATTTATTTATTAATCCATTTATGGGTTATTACACAGATAGATGTAGTTTAAAAGAATGAATAATAAATAATTAGAATTAATTCAATAAAAACTGCAATTAAAACTCATATTAATTGCAATTATAATAATATTTAAAACTGATTCTGAGCGTGAATAGGTCCAGATCGGGTCTAATAAAAACCACGCTTAATATTCAATGATTAAACAAAATATCTCAGCATCTTCAATAATCATTAAAATATTATAAAAGCAAAGTAAATTTGCTGAATAATTATGAATAGATTAACACCCTATTATTCAAATATTAAGTGAAAACAAAACAAAGCTCCTCGTCTCACTCGCACTCTTCACAAAAAAAAGGCCCCTCGGTAATCAGAAAAGTAAACAACGCAAATTGAAATGAGCAGAACGAGATACAATCTTCGACAATCCTCAACGAGCTGGAATCTGAAAATCGAACAAAAATAAACCACAAATCGACCGCAGGCCGAGAACTCGTTAATTAGAGAAGCTAAAGCTTGAAAAGCTTAGACAAAAACGTGAACGCAGCCCGACTTAGCAGCTGAATTATGGAAATGCAAATTATTCACGGCATAAATTAAAGATTAAGCGAAGGGAAACACAGCTACAAACAAAAAGTAAAGAAAAAACATACACCACACACACGAGCAACACTTGCAAAAGTTGTGGCAGAGAGGGAGAGAGCCGCCCCGACTTGTATTTACAATTTGATTTCCTAGAATTCTTCACACACAGACAGCACACCTCCATGTGTTGCCATTTAGCTGCTCGACTGTCTCTTGTTTTTGCTCTCACTATCTCTCTTTTACACTGGAAAAAATAAATTATAAATGCAGCGAATACTAGTTTAAATGGAAATAGTCAAAGATAAACAGAAAGATCTCTAGAATGGACTCTATTATTAGCTTTAAATTATTAAAACTTATGATTTAACAATCTTAATATGATTTCTTTCTTTGCAATCCCAGAACTAGTTGGGAATTATAGCGTTAGTAGCTAAGTTTCTCATATTTATAAACTACCAGTAGCTGGCAAGAAAGTCCTGTAAACTCTGCTTAAAACCTCTTAAAAATCCCATTAATTATGGCATTTTTCTAAAACAAAATCAAATGTACTGTAACCCTTATATTTCCTTATACTTCACAAGCTGTTATATCGCTTCAGAAGCTCTTTCGTCAAGTGTATCTTGTCGATCGCACTTTAAAGTGACGCCGACAGCGACGCGACAGCGCTGAAAGCTCTCCGCTTTGAAGCTCCCACGCTGCGCCTTCGAAGCTAGAAATTTCGTGCTCAACGCTCATTTTTATTTTAGTTAACGAAACGAACGAACCAGCGACGCGCTAAGAGATTCAAGAAATACTATAGCAAAAACAGTCAGCCGAGGCGGAAATAATTTGCTGTATTCCTAGTCTGCTAGCGTGTGTGCCGTCGAAAAAGAAATAATACAAATCACCTTTTATAATAATAACTCTCGCCGCAACGACGAGTACCGAACGAAATCAATGAGCAAAGAATCGTGGGTTTTTTGCCTATTAACGAACAATTAAACGAACTCTCTTTGTTATCAGTATTGCACAAATAAATAGAAACGACCGACGAAGTCAGTAGAAAAACAACGAAAGAGTGTAACACAATACAAGTCCAGTTCCCAGTGAGTGAAAAGTGGAAAAGCTTACCAGTTAAATTAAAAGTAAAAGTAAAAGAAAAAGTCCTGTGAATAGTATAGGAAATTGCGGGCTAAAAGAAAAGTAAAATCTAGATGGAAGCATTCGTGTCTTGTGTCTCTGTGTGTGTCCGTGTCTGATAAGCCCCTCATCCCTAGCTGATTATATATATATATAGCAAGTCTATACTATATATGACCGAGTTAAGTGCTTTATCAAAACGTAGGCGTATACGTAATATGAAATTCAATTGAAAGCAGCCGAGTTTTCCAAGAAGTTCCATTGGCAACTCTCAACTGTCTCAGATCGAAGAAGGTTAGTCTATATAGAATACAAAACATCATTGTGATAAATTAGTAAATGACGCAGAAATGAGGGGGAAAAAAGAAACAGGCGATATCTAATCTTATGATTTCGTGTCCAGCCGACGACGACGACGACGACGACGAAGGCTCCTTCACCTCCCTGAGCACTTGTAAGGGAAAATATTTATTGATCAGTGGGCACTAGAAGGTGTTACCGTACCGATAAGTGTATGTCAACCGGAACGACGGGGGGGGAGGGTGCGAAATGCCTTTGCCTTGGCTTTGGCCAACATGTCGTATGCGCAACGCCCATTCAAATCGCTCGCGATTTATGTATGTGCACATGTTTTATTGCTTAACCAGAAGAAGAACGCCTTATAAAACCGATCGCTGCCCACACACTTGGCCACTTATATATATATATATACTATCAGCCCAACTTGTTTGACTTTTGCGGCTTCTGCTTCTTCTGCCGCTTATTTTGCCTTTTCTTCTGGCAGACGCCTGAAAACCTGGCCAAAATTAGATTTGATTCGTAATACGCGAACATTTGTCAAAAACGCTACGACGACGGCGAGCTTTGGCTTATTTTTTCAGCAAAAATAAACCATAAATAGAAAATTGTATTGCTTGGGTTTTTCCTAGAAAGTTATGAGTGGATCGAGACATGTTTTATAAGGCAAAAGCTAATTTATTATAATTAAAAATTATGCATATATATATATTTTAAAGAAAAAATGACGTGAAACTAATTAAAGCTTGATGAGAGCATCGTTAGGTTTACTGACCTAGGGTCAATGACTTTGAATCAAACAATCCAAGAGCTAGTAAGAAGTTTGGAAACAAAGATCTACAATTTATTAAGTAAAAACAGCCTTTCCAAACCCAAAAACCTCTTTTAAAGCAAATAAATTTAATCAAGCTGGTTGAACCATAAAGCATTTGGCTAATTATCAGAATTGAGGAATTTAGATAGAGCAACCCATCCATCCATCTATTTTCTTGAGGTAAGCTCCCTTGCAAGGCAGGGCAAGACAAATATTATATGGCTTCCCCCCCAAAAAACACAACTGTCGATCCCAAAACAAATGGTTCATTTGATTTATAAAGACCGCGCTAAGCGCCCCGGGCCATAAAATGCGAGTTGAGATAGCGCCAGACAGTAAAGCATATTTATATATATGTATATATGGACAGATATCTATACGGTATTTGCACAAAAACGAAAAGAGACTGCGGAATGCGGGGGAAAAGTGTATTGTCCACATTCTTCGCATTTTCCGCCCGTGATGAGTCTGAGCCAAAAAAGAAAATATGACAACCTTTTATAATTGTCTTGTTTTTTTTTCTTGCAGGTCGTCAATAGCAGCAGCAGCACCACGACGCGGGTGGAGAAAAAGTCACAGCGCCTGCACCATCACATAACCTCCTCGTCCTCCTCCTCATCGTCGTCCTCCTCCAGCTCCTCCACCACACAGGCCCTGTCCACGTCGGCGGAGATGAAAGCGGCGGCGGTCAAGCGAGATCTCACAAATATCCAAAAGTCCATGTCGGAAATCAACGACCTGGCCATCGAGCGTATTGCAGGTGGAGCGGGATCCGGATCCACGAATACCACATCGTCCCCATCAGCGCTCACCGCGCCCAGCACAATGGCCCAGACGACGACGAGTCGGCTAACCCCCAAACTCACATCCGCCCATCCGTCGATCGACGATCTCAGGGGTCTCAGCAGTCAGGACAAGATCACCCAGCTGCAGAAAAAGTAAGTGTGGGTGTCTACGAAGGCAAAAAATATTCCACCAATCAATGGTGACTCGTCGAAAAAGTATCTAGCTTTCTGCAACGTAACCATCTTTCATAGATAGGCTGCTCTGCTGATTGATAGTGACACATGGAGTAGGAATTCTCTAGTCACAGTTCAGATTGAAATTTAAGTGAAAAGTAGAGAAGCCTCTGTAAAAGCCAACCATCTTCAAACGAAAAAGACGTTCATCTTGGCTAAAAATTCTTATTACATTTATTTTTGGCAGTGACAGACTTCTAAATACGCTTAATTAATTCAGAATTTCAAATATTTTAGCAAGCAAATGCTAATTGAAAGTGCCCTGACCTCAATGTCCTCGTCGCTAGATTTTTCTTTACCTTCAATTAACGTTTCTTTATTTTCTTTGCCAGACTTCGGGCCTCGTTTGAGAATCTGGACGACGACGACAGCAATGTGATCGTAACCCTGCCCGACGACGACGACTGCCACACCCACAACCACTTTGGCAGCGGGCTTGACCTCACCCACCCAACCGCCGCCCAGCTGAGTGCCAGCGGGCTGAGCGGTTCCAGCAAGACGATCGACACGATCAAGTTCCAGGAGAAGCGCATGAAGACCGAGTCCAAGACCAAAGTGGTCACCGATGGCTTCAGCTCCGAGCAGGCCACCAGCAATTCGGCGGAGATGAAGCGCCTCCAGGCAGGAGATATAGACTATAAGGAGAGTAAGGGCTCGGCAGCGATGCGAAATCGAATGGAAGTCGATGGAGTCAAGACGGAAGAGAATGCAGCTATTTTTAAGGTGAGCTTGGGGAATAACAAAAAGGAAATATATCTCTGAAATTGTTGAAATTTATTTAAGAAATTTACAAAGTAGCAGAAGGGTAGCTCTTAAATTCCTTGAGATTTTATAGTAATTTTTATGGTATATTTTGGCTCTTGAATATCTATAGTTTCTCTGATAATCAGTTTACCCTTTGCCATAACCCATCCTAAAATCAATGCTAATAACCTCCTGCAAATTGTCATTGAACTCAACGCCCCTGAAATCTGTCCTCTAAGCCAAAGCTTTTTGGCAAAAAAGCTACCCTCAGGGTTGAACGTGAAACAAAGGGCAGTTGGTCGAACCCAAAGGGGAGCCACCCCCATTTCGAGAGCTTTTGCTAACTGTTAGACCATTCAGACCACTCCTTTCAGTTGGGAGTTCATCGCGTGCATGTTAAGGTCGCATAAGGGACACCAGCGCCAAGGCGTTAATAGCAAATTCCAGTCCAGTTCACAAGGAACATTCTCCACAAGCGAAAGTTGTCAAGTCGTGAAAGTGCTCGGCGGCTTACGCATATTTTCAAGAAAATCGATTGTCTGGCGCCAAAAACTAGGCAGCCCTCGACGCGAAAGTAATGTGAAATGTTCCTTAACAAGTGCCTGCTCCTCGGGAGCCCCAGCAAATTCATCCGTAACTACTGCAAGTCGAAGAAGGAAAAGCCTATTGGAATGTTTCGAAAAGTTCAGGTACACCCGATGTTCTCAATGTTTGCTTTTACACCTGTTACCCAGGTAACCCAGAAAATGTGATATAGGGGAAGACCGCAGTTCCACCGACAGATTTAATCTAATCAGTCTGCGTTACATCACGTTTGTTGATTTGCATATGTATATAAGCATTAATTGCTGTACGGTGACGGATGACATATATCTGGGGATAGAAACCGCAAATACGCAGTAAATGTCAAGGACGATAAAAATACAGTAGAATACGTTTGGGAAATTAGGAAAAGGTCATAAAGAAAGTCATTATTAGGTAGTTGAAACGAAATTTTATTCACGAAACCAACTGAAGATTTGAAATTCATTAAAATTGCGCCTAAAAGTGTCCCTTGAAGTATAACAGCTTACAAGATAAATTCATTGGCACATAAAATATTTGGCTTACTTTTGGGTATCTTCTTAATTGATTTAAAATCTGGAGATTGTTTTTATTTCCCAACTTCTACTTTGTGTGATTTTCTCTTAAAAAACTGTTATACTGGGCCATACCAAAATCCACTCTCAAGATCCCACCATAAACCTCTCCATCAACACATCATCATCCCCATCCATCAAAGACAGAGAACCCTTATTAAGTAAATACCAAACTCAATCCGACCTAGAAAATACATATAAAATCTCGCACGAGAGCATTAATTTAAATGGATGCTTGTGCCTGGGTCTGTGCCAAAAAATTAGGCCGACAGCCACGCTCCATGTGCGGAGCCAACAAGTGCTTTTGGGTTTAAACAATAATAAAAAATCCAATGAAAATACTTTGATACAATTTTTATGGATTGGCGAACAATCCGGAATAGTCTTAGGACATTTGCGTCAATTGCACAGAAACCCATGGAACGGCACGCACAGCCCCAAAATCATTTCCGAGAAATGATCAGGGAAAGATCGGAGGAGAACCAGCACCCAAGCCCCAACCCCTCTCACCATTTTTTGATTTATTTCCCACGACTTTACGCTCCGAAATTTTCGTCTGTTTCCTATGTGTGCTCTCGTTGTATTATTTTCGAAATTCTTTAGAATAAAATGCCTCAGAGCGACACGCGGACCTCAGTAGCAGATAGACAAGCGTCGCGAGCGTTTCAGCCATCGAAATATATGTAGTTGAGAATATTGAATGGAATAGAGAACATTATAATCATTTGCATATAGTCGAAACTGATGTGTGTCTGTGACTGAAACGAACTAAATACAAATAAATTGACAAACACTTCCTAATTAAAATACATAACAATTGTACCTCGATTTTTGTTTACGAAAGCGAATATTGTCGCAGGTGCAACGATTACAAAAGTGGAACACCTTTGACCTTCAAATTCTGAAAAATCACATAGACTGAATAGAGTCAGTGGTGAAATTATACGAAAAGAATAAGTAAAGAAATATTTGAACAAAGAGTCATAACGAAACTCCTTGACTTAACGAAAGTTGGATATTAATGATCCCCATAAATCTCGTGAGAACCCAACGAAACATAGCTTAACTACGGAAAATCGAAAACCTAACGACAGATGGCCTATCGCTTTCGCCGCTATGTGAGCTCCTCCTACCAATGCCTTCGTTAAGTCCTCCCCTTTTCCATCCAAAGTCAAAGCAGTGCAACAAGTGTTCGTTCGATTCGGTCATCCCATGTTTCGTCGTGTCAAGTGCCCTGTTAATTACCATTTAACTGTAAAATATTACAAGTTCTATTTGTCGGTCAGTGTCATACACACACACATATACACAATATATAACAGATACGAATACACAGCAACAAATACATCAGCAAAACACACAGAGAAAGTGACGGCGACGTCGACGCAGCCAATTTGTGCGCTATTTTTATGTGAATTCAAAAAATAAATAAAATACAAAGTACATAAGACTGAAAAAAATACGCGAACGAAACAGAAACATACGTCTCTGTATATACCACGAATATAGAGTGATCGCAATCGTTCCGACTTTGGCATTGAAATACCTGCCTCTGTCGCGTCAACGTCTTCTACTGAGAGTCTTTAAGGAAACAATGTCCCATCAGGCGCCTTGGCCCGTCCGCAAGGGCATCTACCGCTCGAGCGGCCAGTCTGACTTCACGCCCACCCGCTCTCCCAGCCCCATTGTCGAGATGCCGCTCTCTCCGCCGCCGGTGGCCACCACATCGCCGAATCGCTTCGGCATTAACTCTCCGCTCTCTCCGCCACCGCAGCCCATTCAGGTGGTGACGGCGGCGGGTTCTACGGCAGCCACTACCATGTCCACGGCATCGTCTGCTGCCAGAATGTCTGGAGCGGCATCGGCATCCTCGGCCTGTTCCTCCTCCTCCTCTTCGTCGTCGTCGTCGCAATCCTCTTCGAGTTCTAGTTCGCACACCAGAGTACGTAAGAGTTCTAACCCGCCCCCACAGCCAATTAGCAACTGTCCACTGTCGCCACCACCTCCTCCTCAACAACAGCAACAACTGCCACCACTACAGCCACCACCTACGCCCAACAACAATCACAACAACCACTCAGCAATTACAACACCCAATCACAACAACAGTAACAGCAACTGCAACAGCAATCATATGAAAAATGTGCGCGAAATTCCCATTGAGGTGGAGCAGAGCAAGGTACAACAGGGCTAGGGGGCGTTACTTTACAAAATGATTAAAGACTTGGTGATTCACTGGAGCTTATGGGATGAATAGGCCTGAATTTAGATATCAATATTCCATTTTATATAGAAGATCTGAAACGGTTGTTATTTCACAATTAATATGGTATTATAAAGTTATTTCCTCTGAATGAATTTATTCATATATCTGTTGATATAAAAGTTTGAGCCTGGTGTAATTTTTATTAAAAAATTTTGGGTTTTCTAGGATTTTAGACCAGTTTTATAAAAGTTACCCAGCTTAAAAACTTGGGTATTTAAGAGCCATATTTTACCACAAATAAGCTAAAATAATATTTCGATATACCAGATGATATAACAGATCTGAAGCTGCGTTGTTGTCTTCTTATAAGTAATTCTGTTTTATTATATTTATTTATATTTAAAAAAAAAAGTATCTTACATTTTTTATAAGTATACAGGTCTAAAATAATACTTAATATTTCAAATATATTCAAAGTATGACTAATAAATATCTGTTATAGTTAGAAATAAATATTTTACAAGTGAATTACTGTATAGAGTACATCAAAAGCTATAACATTTAAGCATGTCACAAGCTTGAAAGACTCCTTCTGTTATAGGTGATCATTTGCAGCATGTTATTAAGTCTTTTGCTGATATATATATATATATATATATTAAATTTACTTACCATTCTAATAACTAACGGTATCTCCATATTTCCACTTCACGTGGATATTCCAGGAAGCGCTCTCGCTGCGCACCGGTGACATCACACAGCAGGCGAGCAACAATGTGGCCGCCACCAGTATTACGGTGCAGAGCGACAACTTCTCCGCGGACAAGAAGGCAATCTCCCAGTCCCAGCAGTCGCAGATGATGACCTCCAATGGGATCATCAGCCAGGAGAAGCACGTGTCCTCTGCCTCGCAGGCCAACTACTCGATGACGCACAAGGGCGTCTCCAGTTCTGGCAGCAGCATGATCACCAGCTCCTCCCAAATGTCCGCGATGAACGGCCAGATGGTAAAGCTCACCGATCTCAAGTTGGACGACCTCAAGTCGCTAACAGCGGGCAGTGGCCAGCAGGAGATCGAGCAGACGATCAACAAGTATTCTAACATGCTGACCTCGATAGTTAGCTCCCTACAAGAGGACGAACGGGGCGGCGGCGGCGGCGGAAGTACGGTGGCCCACACCTCTGTCGGCGGCAAGGAGAAGTCTCAGTACCTAGAGAAGATCAACGAGGTGATACGTAGAGCTTGGGCTGTGCCAACACATGGCCACGAGCTGGGCTACTCGCTGTGCAACTCCCTGCGCCAAAGCGGCGGCCTCGATCTGCTGATGAAGAACTGCGTCAAGCCCGACCTGCAGTTTTCCTCCGCCCAGCTCCTGGAGCAGTGTCTAACCACCGAAAACCGCAAGCACGTGGTGGACAATGGCCTGGACAAGGTGGTGAATGTGGCCTGCGTCTGCACCAAGAAGTCGAATATGGAGCACTCCCGCGTCGGCACTGGCATCCTGGAGCACCTCTTCAAGCACTCGGAGGGAACCTGTTCCGATGTGATAAGGCTGGGCGGCCTGGATGCCGTACTCTTTGAGTGCCGCACCAGCGATGTGGAGACCCTGCGTCATTGTGCCAGTGCCCTGGCGAATCTGTCGCTGTATGGTGGCGCCGAGAACCAGGAGGAGATGATCGTGCGAAAGGTGCCCATGTGGCTGTTCCCGCTGGCCTTCCACAACGACGACAACATCAAGTACTATGCGTGCCTTGCCATCGCTGTGCTGGTGGCCAACAAGGAGATTGAAGCCGAGGTGCTCAAGTCTGGTTGCTTGGACCTGGTGGAACCCTTTGTCACCTCCCACGATCCCTCCGCCTTTGCGAGATCCAATCTGGCCCATGCCCATGGACAGAGCAAGCACTGGCTCCAGCGCCTTGTGCCCGTCCTGAGTTCCAACCGCGAGGAGGCCCGCAACCTGGCTGCCTTCCACTTCTGCATGGAGGCAGGCATCAAGAGGGAGCAGGGAAACACCGATATCTTCCGGGAGATCAATGCCATCGAAGCCCTGAAAACGGTGGCCAGTTGCCCCAATGCCATCGCCTCTAAGTTTGCCGCTCAGGCACTGAGATTAATCGGGGAGACGGTGCCGCACAAGCTGTCCCAGCAGGTGCCACTGTGGTCCGTGGAGGATGTGCAGGAGTGGGTGAAGCAGATCGGTTTCAATGACTATATCGACAAGTTCCAAGAGTCCCAGGTGGACGGTGATCTGCTGCTGAAGCTCAACCAGGACAATCTGCGCGCTGACATTGGCATCGGCAATGGAATCCTGCTGAAGCGTTTCGAGCGCGAGCTGCAAAATCTCAAGCGCATGGCCGACTACTCCTCCAAGGACACGGCCAAGATGCACCAGTTCCTGTCGGAGATTGGCACTGATTACTGCACGTACACGTACGCCATGCTGAATGCCGGTATCGATAAGTGTGCTTTGCCGCATGTCAATGAGGATATGCTGATGACGGAGTGTGGCATCCACAATTCAATCCATCGGTTGCGTATCCTGAATGCAGTCAAGAACCTGGAGAACTCGCTGCCCAGCTCATCAGAGGAGAATATGGCCAAGACCCTGGATGTGTTTGTGAGCTACAGGCGCTCCAATGGATCCCAGTTGGCCAGTCTGCTCAAGGTGCGTATACTTGATAAAAATCTATGAAAAGTAAATTGCGTATACGCAAGGGTGACCAGTAGAAACTTGTTGATAGTATTGATTTAGGAATTAAAATTAATCATAGAATATGGCGACTTACTAGATTTCTCTTTCCTCTTTTAGGTTCACCTGCAGCTGCGCGGCTTCTCCGTGTTCATTGACGTGGAGCGTCTGGAGGCGGGCAAATTCGACAACGGACTCTTGAACAGTATTCGGCAGGCCAAGAACTTTGTCTTAGTATTAACTCCCGAGGCCCTGCATCGCTGTATCAACGACGAGGACTGCAAGGACTGGGTCCATCGTGTGAGTAGCCCTCAGACCGCCTCTTTTCCCCCTCCAAACGATGCTCAATCAGTTTCTCTATTCTCTGATCCGTAGGAAATCGTGGCTGCCCTGAATTCGAACTGCAACATTATACCCATCATGGACCAGCACTTCGATTGGCCAGAGGTGGAGCGACTGCCGGAGGATATGCGCAGCGTGGCGCATTTCAACGGGGTTAGTTGGATCCACGACTACCAGGACGCCTGCATCGATAAGCTCGAAAGGTACATTAAGCGACGCATTTAGACCTGGATTAGCCTGGGACTAGGATGGTGTACTCCATTACCGATAGCCTGATAACCAGTTAATCAACTCCAAAAACTTGAAACTTAAACGATTCCCATTCTTCTGATGCGGCAGATTTTTGCGCGGCGAAAAGAATATCGATCGCATTGCGGCCATGGTGCCCGGCACGCCCGGTTCGGTCTCATACCAAAGAATGCACAGCAACGACTCCGACTACCAGAGCGGTGTTGGAGCTCCGGTCGGAGGCAGTGGAGCAGGAGGATCCGGAGGTGGTGGCGGCGGCGGCGGAGGCGGCGCAGGCAGTGTGGTGGATGGCCTAATGGCCTCGGCCAATGGCAGCGGACAAGGTGGGCCAACGAGTACTACAACTACTACTACTACTACTCCCAACTCCAACTCAAATCCAAGCTCAAGCTCAAGCCAGGGTCCCCAGGCGGCGGCTCCAGCGTAGAGTGAGCGAAGTTAAGCTAAAGATTTACAGAGCTAGCCAACTCGAATACTTATGTTTTTAGTCCTAAGCAGAGATCCTCAAGTCACACACACCCACACTCTCTAGTACAACTCTCTACCCACCCAACTCTCTACTCACTTTACTCACCACTCATCCCTTACTCGATACCCGACACTCACCAACCATTACTCTTTACTCTTACCAATTAATAATTGATTTAATTCTGGTTGCCACACACACTCGAAATCGCTTGAAACGCCGACTCACGCGCTCACAGCTAATCACCAGGCAAATAGGTACCGCCAATCCCCCTCGCCGGCCCGCCAACGAGGCAGCACCTCGCAGCTGAGCGGCTACTCGCGCGCTCCCTCGAAGCGCTCCCAGATCCTGCCCCCTATCGGACCCAGCAGGCCGCCCTGCTCCACAAGTCAGGGGCCGGGTCGGCGTCCATGCAGAATATGACGCCGTTGACATATCTGCCACCCAGGCGAAGCTCGGCGGCAGGACTGGGCCATGGTTCCGGTTCCGGGATGGGAAACAGCTATCGATCGCACAGCGTGGATGGGTTGCTGGATCAGGCGGGCTCGGTGCCCGCAACTCCCGAGCAAAGGATAGCAGCAGTTGCGGCAATGGTCACAGCGGGAAGTACAGCTCTAACGAATGCCAGTTCCACGTGCACCCTGCAACCGGAGGAGGAGGAAACGGAAGTTGTCATCGAGCCAGTGACCCGACGGGACAAACATAGCCTGGCCTCGCCGGCGAGCGTGCAGCAGCACAGGAAGTCCCGGAGTCTGGACCACATCCTCAGCAAGCAAACTCTAGCAGAGCTACTGCCTCCCCCTGGCGAACCATCAGAGGGTACGCAGAGTATGCAGAATCTGGCCATTCCAATGACCCCGCAACCTCAGCGTAGGGATACTTCCTCCTCTTCCAAGTCGCCCACACCTGAGCGGCCGCCGCAGCCGGCGAGGGAGAGAGTGAGGGAGCGCCAGAGTCCCGACGGTGTGAGCGCTACGGAGAGTGAGCGGGAGGATCAGTCGGATGGGTGCCTGAGGCATGGCAATCAACAGAGGGCTTCGGCCTCAGTCCATCGGGGAGCCAGCTTGACCAGCAACAAGACCTCCAACTCGTCCCTCGGCTCCAACTACAGTGCCGGGGGAACAGCCAACAACAAGACGATCTTCAATCGAACGATGAAGAAGGTCCGCTCGCTGATGAAAAAGTAAGCCATAACGAGGAGGCGATGGGACGAGGAGGACCAGGACTCGCTGACCCAACTCGTCGCTCGTCACTCGCTGTCTGCTTCTGAAACTGAATTCTAGCCACATTTTCACGAACTGATTTCGGTCAAACGAAAGTTACAAAAGAAACGAATTAGATAATCAGATCGTGAAAATGGGGCACTCGCTCACTAAATGCCTGTTAACCCGTTACTTGCCATTCGCTGCATTTGTGCCATCTAAAAAGAATCTCACCTGTTCACTCACTCATCCGTCCAATAAGCCCCTGCATTCCCAATCACAGCCCATATATATCTCTATCTCTCTATATCAAATCGCTGTCCATTTCTCTTTATCTCTCTGGTGTTGGTACTCGCTCGCTATATTTTACTCGCCACTCGTTGATCCGCCAAGCATCCACTAAAGCACTCGCCTGCGTTGCCCAAAAAGGCTAAAAAAGAAAGTAGAACGACGCCCGCGCCTCCCTCCTTTCTCTCTCTCTTAAAAAAAACTCTATTTGCCTTGTGATTAGTTGTTGATTTTGAAAAACAATTTTTTTTTACAAAAGAATAAGCGAATTTAAACTACAAAACTAATTTATGGAAAACAAGAACACACACTTAACGACTGCATAACTACGAAACCTAATTTATAGAGCACAAAACTAATTTTAAACACCACAAGAAACAAAAATACATACATTGGAAATCGAAACGAAAAGGAAACAAAAAACAAAAAACCCAACTTATATATTTAATACGCTATTTATAATTAATATATTTAAAATTTGTACATTTCTCGCGTATGCAATTTGTTCTTGTAACCGTCCGCAAGCGTAAATTTGAAATTAACCCAATTGTGTGGCTTAAAACGAAAATATTTAAGTGATATTTAAACTACGTATAATCGAAATTTACTTAATGCAACAATTTTACAACAGATGCTGTACAAAACCTAATTTTTAGCGCAGGAGTTTTTAAGGCATATTTTTATTGATTTTTGCAATATATTTTTAATATTTAACTAGTGCCTAAAAAGTTGAAAACAAACAAAAAACAAAACAAAAACAAAAGCAAAAATAAAAAAAGAGGACAACAACATAAATAAAATGCGACTTAATTGAAATGAACTGTGTATTATTGCCCCTGGCCCCCTTTTTCCCCCGCTTTTTAAACTCAAAAACTCCTCATACCTCATCATCTGCATGTCTCCATACCGATTTTGTTATATGATTTTGTGTTTCGTTCTTTGGAATTTGTGTTTGTGCCCGCTAACGGAACTCGATTTGTTTATTATTTGTATATATTTTATATATCTTTCTTCTCTTCCCTCTCTATCTCTATCTCCATCTATCCGGGACCCTGTGTCGGATTCTATTTGTAGACCGTAAAAGCGATACTGGCTACCGCAATCCGTTGTAACATAACTGTTGTTATCGTTGTGCCTGTTGTACTGCACCCCGCCCACAAAACCACCAAAACTCACCACCCTCCAAATCGAGTCGAATCGCATTCACAACCCGATGCCCTCTCAGCATCCAGCATACGCTGTCTCGACAACCAACCAACATTCATTGTTATTTATTGCAAAAACAAACAAAACCAACAAATTAAAAAAGATATAAAAAAAAAACCTACGAAGCGAATATCAATACCAATAAACGTGTATATATTGTATTGCATAATCGAACCGAGTCCTGTTAACCATTTTAATCCTCCTCCCACTCGACACAGCAATGAACCGGAGGACGAGGAACTGTCGGGCATTATCCTGTCCAAGGCCACTTCTCCAAATGCTGGGCGCATGATATTTTGGTAGTGGAGCCCATAAGGCAAGCGAACACTCAACAACGAACACCCATCGAATTTTTGTAAATATTGATAAAAAATCAAACGAAAATAAGACGATTAAAAATTAAATAAAAAATTAAATTATATATATCTGAATATTAATTATTAAAAATTATTGCCTATAATCCAATGCAGTATTATATACAGTGTGAGTTTCAAAGACAGGTAGGTTTGTAGATATATGTACTATATAAAATATTCCTGAAATATAGGATTGATTATGATTTAAGTAATAATAAGTTTGGAATTTGAACCCCTGCCGAAAGTCATTTCCAACACCATAAGGTACTACATCTTTCTATCTTCATAACCATGTATTTTTAACCATAACCATCTCGTCTTTAAATATCAAACAAAGTCGGCTATCCAGTTAACTTTAGTTTTCTCAGTTCAACTGAAAACTTTAACCTTCGGAATTTTATATTTTTCTTTCTGTTCGTTTCATTTGTCACTTCTCATTCGGACCCGTACTAATTCACATCGATTTAAAATACATAAAGAAAATAAAAGAATAATAATGCTTTCCCTGGAGCCGCGGGACCAGCTCGTCTTTGAAGGTCCCTTCGGCAGTTCTGTGAGCAAGAATCTCGTGATCAAAAATCCCGGAAAGAAGCAGAGTGTGGCCTTTAAGCTAAAGACCACTTCGCCGCATTTGTTCTTTGTACGTCCCAATGTCGGGGTTCTGGAGCCCGACCAGACAGTCTCTGTGAACATCACCATGCAGCCCACCGCGTCAAATGATGGCCAGAAGCGACACAAGTTTCTCATTATGGCGGCCAAAGCCTCCGGCCCTGATATCAATCTGCAGGACTTTTGGAAAGAGCAAAAACCAAGCGACATCTGGGACGCTAAGATCAAGTGTGAAATTGTCCCGGAGAGGAAATCAAACAAGGCATCGAACGAGCATTTAGATCGGGCTTTAGGTGGTGCTACTGACTCCCCAAGCAAGCAAGATGGTCAGACTGTGGTGGCAGACAAGCTTGAGGAAGCCCTTAAGGGGGAGGTTGAAATCCTGCAGGACCAGGGAATTCGTCCCAAACAACGGGGCAGGAACATGTTCAAATTTGCCTGTTGTGTTTTAACTATCATAGCCGCCCTTGTTGGCGCATATTATGGCAAACATTATTTGTGAGCTTGTCCAATAATTGGACACAAATTCATTGTCAATTAAAGCGAATAGCGATCCAGGCTTGATTTCCATTCTCACAAGTACATAAAGCTTTGCGTGCTTAATTAAAAGGAAGATGGTTATTGGTACTTCCCCTTGGCTCCTTACGAAATGGTAGTGATAAATATAAAAAAATATAAATAAAACGATATACAGAGACGAGGTTTTTTATACCCCTACGGTTTGTAGTAGGGTCAGTCAGAATCGATCCATTTCTGTTAAAATAAATACAAAATTCAATTTGGCCCAATGGAAACAGATATTCCCGAATATCACTGTTATTTTTCGGAAATGCTGTGCAGTGGAAATTCCCTAATTCGATTACTATCGAAGATGGCGGCAATGCTCATCGAGGCAAGCGCTGCTCACTTCGCTTTTGTCAGGGCAGAAAGTGGAACGAAAAATTTCAGTTTTGGAGTCATATTTCTTTCAGTTAGTTTTCTCCGATTTTTAGCATTTGGACCCGTACTAATCCGCTTCGTTTTTAGGTTTCCAAAGAACTATGATGAGCTACAACAAGAAGCCGGACATGCTATCCCTTGAACCTCGCGAGTCTCTCGACTTTGAAGGCCCTTTCAATCGTTCGGTCTGCAAGAGCCTGATCATCGAGAATCCCAACAATAAGTGTGTGGCTTTTAAACTAAAGACCACTTCGCCTCGCTCGTTCTCCGTGCGCCCCAATCTCGGGACTGTGGGTCCCAACGCAAAGATCACCGTGGACGTCTTCATGCATCCCATGATCCCGGATGTTGGCCAGAAGCAAGACAAGTTTCTCGTCCAGGCGGCCTTTGCCTCCGGCTGCGATATCGATATGCAGGAGTTCTGGAAGGAGCAGAAGCCAGAAGACATCTGGGAAGCCAAGATCAAGTGTGTCTTAGTCCAGGATAAATCGTCAGATTTGCAATTGCGTCAGGCTGGTGGCGCTAGTGCCACCCCAGAACCTAAACCGGAGGACGAGATCGAGTTCGATGCTGAGGAGATTACTCAGCAGGAAGCACAGCTGCTCAAGCAGGTCAGCATGCTAGAGGATGAGCGCTTAACTCTCAAGGAGGAGTTGGCTATGATGCACGACCAGGCAGCAATGCGTCAATCTAAGCCAACGGGCAAGGACTACTTTAAGTTTGCCTCTTGTGTTTTGACCATTCTTGCCGCCATTCTGGGCGCCTATTATGGCAAACATTACTTGTAAGCTGTGGCAATGGCATTGTAGGCACGACACCAAAAGCCTGAGATTTGTATAACGAAATATATGTCTATTAAACTGAATAGCAAATCCTTAACTAATTATGTCTTAAATTCAAAGAACAAGTCTTGAACTATAAAATCGTAGAAAAAGAAAGCCTGAAGTTTAGAGATAAGAAAACCATATTTAAACATCACAAGGCCCTGTCATTTTATTCAATGAAACCAATAGCTTTTGGCTGAACAGTAAAAATTTTGAATTGAGACGAGAGCCTGAAAATAGTACCAAATTTTTGAAAATATCACACAAATCATACAAATTCAAAATATCCAAACATTTTCAAAAAGCTTTAATTACCGGGGAAGTCAGGCAGTCAGCTGTTCCTTTTGCAAGTGTTGTAAAAACCCCCCACAGTGCAGACACAAACTCTTCAACACTGCAGCTGCGACTTTGGCGCTTTACAACACTCTTCCGCATGAGAATCCAGCACAGAAAATCTACGACGAAAATAAATAGAAACACGGCACAGGCAGACACCAACCGAAGACCAGGACCATCAGGATGTCTGCGCGAATGCTAAAGAAGCTGCAGGGCGACGCCGACAAGCTGGCGCCGCCGCCAGAGGACGAGGACAACGAGGAGCTATCAGATAACGATGAACTGGAGGACAGTGACATGCAGCGCGACCGCAAGACCCATCTAAATCCATTCGATCTGGTACGTGTCTTAGCCAGCTCATCATTAGCCATGAGCTAATCCGATTCTATTTGTCATACCAGTTAAACCAGCCCGGTTTGAGTCTCTCGGAGAGCGAGTTCAAGGAGGACGACAACGAGACGGAGCACCCATCTGCGGCTCTGCCCAATCCCAGTGCTGCGGCCCAGAAGAAAAAGAAGAAGAAGCGCAAGAAGAAGGCCAGGTCCAGTGGTAACCACATAAGCAGCGAGGACAACGAGCGACAGGACAAGTACTTTGAGAAGGTGGATCCGCTGCTGGGCAAGGTCTACGATGCAGTCCCCAAGCAATCGGCCAAGCAGGCGGCGGCCGCCGGAGGCTCTGCCACTAAGAAGCTGCTGGGCGTTGAACTAAGGCATCTAAATCCGCAGAACGAGATGCGACGCACCTTTGGCAAGCGGGTGGTAAAAGTGGAGTAAGTTCCAGGCAATAATCTTATCAAATCTTATCTCATATGACTATTCCCCTGATGAAATTCCCCTGGGAAATACTTAAGCTGATATAAAAACTATAATTTTCTAGGACAAAGCGCGGTCGTCAGAAGCCCACTCTCAAGTCTACATACATGGTAACGGCCAAGGAGTCCTGGCCGCCGCTGACCAAAAACACCATCACCATGAAGTTGCTGCCCGCTCCCGACTCGCCTTCGGTCTCCAGCAAGTCCATACTGGACAACGGCAGTGGCGAAGTCCAGTGGTTCGCCTTCGAGCATAGCCAATACTACCAGGGAGTGCAGCACATGTTTCTCTCGGCCTTGGAGCGCATCGATTCGGAATTTTTGATCACGCTCATTAAGCGCTGTCCCTATCACGTGGACTCCTTGGTCCAGCTGAGCGAGGTATGCAAGATGACCGAGGACTTTGCCCTGGCCTCTGAGCTTCTGGAGCGCGCCCTGCTGCTGCTAGAGTCGTCGCTGCATATTAACTTTAGCCTGACGTCGGGTAACTGCCGGCTGGACTATCGCCGCCAAGAGAACCGCTCATTCTACATTGTGCTGTTCAAGCATGCGCAGTACCTGGAGGAGCGTGCCTGCAGTCGGACTGCATTCGAGATCTCCAAGCTGCTGCTAAGTCTGCAGCCGGACATGGATCCGCTGGCCATGATCCTGGTCATTGACTACTACGCTTTGCGTAGCAAGCAGTTTGGATGGCTAGTGGAATTCTATGAGGAGTACAATGCCGCCAGGAACCTCAACCAATTGCCCAATATGGCCTACTCCTATGCCCTGGCCCTGTACACGCTCCATGGGGTGTGCGAGCGCTCCAATCAGGCCCTGCAGTATGCCCTGCTTATGTTCCCTGGGGTGCTGCGGCCGCTGCTGGACGAGATGTCCGTGCAGACGGACAAGCGGGTGCTGGCCTCCTCCTACTTCTTTGCGGATGTATCGGGAAAGTAAGTTCCATTTTATGATTAAATAGTAGAATCTATTCTTACCCTTTCCTTTTCGTCTAGTCAATCGCCCGCTTTGCACCAGCTGGTGTGCCTGTATGTGTGTCGCGCTCGCGTTGTGTGGCGACAGAACGAGGTCTTGCCCTGGCTGGAGTCCAATGTCAATGCAGTCCTCGATCGCATCGACAGCAAGGATCCCTTGGTCAACGAGTACAAGGAGAAACGATCACTCCGCTATGGCGGCACACCGCCTAGACCCATTCTCCGGCATGTGATACTCTCCGACTACAAGGAGAAAGTTCCCCTGGCCGTTTTCGTGGCCAAGGAGAAGCAAGCCATCATGACCTACGACCCACTGCCGCCGCCGAACAGCGTCAACTGCTATCAGCGGTAGGTCAAAGCTCTAGATATATTGCAGGTGCATAATTACTTTGCAAATCCTTGTAGAAAATCCTCGTCGAGCAGCAGTCCCACAACGAACACAAACAATTCCGTATCCATGTTTTTCCAATCCCTCTTGCCATCGTTTAACATCAACAACCTGGCAGCAGCTGCTCAGCAGCCCCAGGCAGGCCTGGCACCAGCTCAAGCCGCCGGAGCACCTGCTGAGGCTGGCGCTGATGCCGCCGCTGCTGCTGCGGCAGTGGTGCCTGCTAGGCAGGCAGCAAATGGCGAAGGCGAAGGTTTGTATAAGCATTTCTCTTTATATTCACTTTGTTTTTACCAACATTTCATCACAGAAAATGGGGCATAGTAATCGTCAATTGTCTTTTAATACAAAATTTAATAATAGATTCAAAAGATTCATTTAAATTGTTAATTATTTTGTAAATTGTGTTCATTTAAATCCTTCCGTTAGATTCAAATTTATTTACTTTAGAGCACATTTCCATATTGCAGAAGCTGGTCTACAGCAGTCGCTGACTTTGATGATGGACGCCATGCGCGACTTCCTGCAGAACTTCCGAATTGCGGAGCATCTGCGCTCCCCGGAAACGGCGGCGGCACAGTCTTCCAGCAGCAACGACGAGGAGGAGGGCTCCAGCGACTACGTGGACTAGTCGAAGGGTGTCAATTATTACGTTGAACGTAAAGGAGTTGTGGCATGGAACAAATGTCTTTTTGAAACCACCTTTTTGCTATTCCCTCAGTCACAAAATTTCTATATATAATATCGTATATACATATATTAGAGCAATTTGAACACAAACGAAACCTACGAACACTATGCATTGAATAAAATTTTCCATTAGAAGCTTTAATTAACGAGACCACCCCTTTTTCTTTACAATATATAAACTGTAAATTTAAAGACGTATGTTTTAAGCTTAAAGAATGCTTTATTGATTTATTTAATGCCTTTTCAATTACGCTTATCAATGTAACAAACAGATTTCTCATCAATATTTCTTACCGTTTTCTTCCCTTTGTTCAATTCATTCAGTTTTCTGCAGTTGTTGCAATTATAAATATTACTATGACAAGTACAGCTTTCCGTATGTAGAGTGTATTGAGCGGGGATGGAAAATGCCAAAGAGCTCAGTTCGGTCTGTGTATGTGTGTGTATGTGGTTGAGTATGGTATAAAATGCATCTTAATTAGTTGATTTTAACTGGCAGACATCGGAGTTGTTTAGGAATTTCTAACAGAATCACACAAAATGAAAGAACATAAACGATTTACACAGAAACTAGGAGGTAAACACAACATACAGTAGATAGAATTGAATCATTACTAATACTTTAGCTTGGAATACATATAATCAAATTTCAAATTGGGAAGATAAATCAATAATAACTGCTGCAGGCCACGCCGATTGGATCGGAACAATTATGTCATGGTGCCGAAAACGGGATTGTGACGGCAAATGCTGGGACCATACTCCTCATAGGCAGCCTTTGTGTGACACACCTGATAGAACTCGGGCTGGAATAAAAGAATATTAGAATGGGATAACCACAGTGAGTATTTCTGATAGATAACCCACCGTTGAGGCCAACATGCTGCCTCCAAACCACACGGCATACCGCTGCATGTGATGCGTAATCACCTGGACATCAATGGGTTTTGGCTGGAAGTAAGAAATAAGAAAAAGAAAAGGAAAATTATATACTGGACAGTTTTTTAGACTCTGAAAACTCACCTTAATGCGTCCCTCGGACAGATTTTCGCTTATCCTGAGGCGTGTGTCCACCGATCGCTTGATATCCCGCTGCAACCTCCGGCCAAAGTCCTTGAACATGGTGGAACCACCGCTCAACACGATATTGTTGTACAGCGGACGCCGCACATCGATTGGGCAGTTCTGGATGACATTGTCCACGATCTCCGACAGGGGAATGGTAAAATCAGGGTTCGAGAACTCCGGATGGAAGAAGATCTCGGGTCCCATGAATCGCTCGTGGCCAACATCCACGCTGAACGGCTGCTTGGTCACCATGTTGGTGCCCGTGTAATTGCGCACCCACTTGCCCGGCTCCGTGTCGTACTTGGCAAACTCTTTGGCAATATCGGGGCAGATGTAGCAGTGCTTCTCCTTGATCGCCTTGGCAGTCTCAAGGCTCTGTTCCGGGGGAATGCCCACCTCTCGGTCGCGCAGCAGGCTCTGGATGAACGAGGTGATGTTTCGGCCGGCAATGGGGATGTGCTTGATGCAGGATCCGATCACATAGCCCTCGGCCTGGAAGAAAATAAGATTGATTGAGGGTGAGAACTTAAACCGTTTTGTTTTGATTGATTAAAACTCCCACCCAACTTCCATAAGAGTTCCCATTCCTAAGATAACCCTTTCTCCCTCCTCACCCGCTGCAAACTCAACATTACTGATAAGATATCGAGCTTGTGATATTTACCACTGGTATAACGTGCGTCACTCCATCGCCGCTGTCCACCACAATGCCCGTAAGAGTGCGTTCCTCGGCGGATCGAGAAGCCCAACTGGCGGCCAAGGCGAGCACCGCCTGCACGGCAATGTACAAGCCAGGAACGTTGAATGTCTCAAACATGATCTCTGCCGTGTACTCGCGGTTCTCCGGAGTGTTTAGAGGCGGCTCAGTCAGCAAAAAGTAGTGATCCTCCGGCTCGGCACGCAGATACTTGAACACGCATTGCTCCAGAAAGCGCTCCATCAAGTCCCAGTCCTCCACCAGACCATGACGCACCGGATACTGCGGGAAAAGTGATGATTACAAACAAAAACTCAAGTGGCTGATTGATGAGCGGGGGCCTTACCTTGATTGAGTAGCCGGTGGCATCGAAGGCCTCGTCGCCGATGAAAAAGTCCAGGTCTTCGATGCCTTTTGTGATGCGCCGTGTGTTGGTGTCGCCCACTCGGGCAGACTCCTTAATGGCAATCGCCGAGGGGATGATGAACTGCGGCTCCTTATTGCCGGCAAAGCCCAGCTTGGAGTACCTAAACGGTTCCAAAATAAAAACCGTATTAGTCAGACGACCTCTTTTCTTCCAATCGGAAGCGGAGACCCCCGCGGGCAGTCCGCAGAAACTCACCCGGTGCCCACATCGATTACGCATGCCGGTAGCCTCCCTGCCATGGTTGCTGCTCTGCTGTTGCCTTTGCTGTATTTAAAACACTCGGGTTGCGTTCAAGCTATGATTAATCGCCTTCCTAATCTTTTTCTTTATGTTTTATGGCCGTTGAAACACAGATAAACACGGATTTCTAGATATTTTCAACCACACCTCCAACGACAACGATGTGTCACATAGATATGGCAAACCGTCGATGTCGATGCTATCGATAACAACAAAACCTTACGTTTTTGCCATTCGCTTGAACTCGCCTTTTCGCGTTGCCAACTTATTGATCTATCGATTTCCGATAAATTACGATAGTTTGCTTCTTCTACACGCTTCATCGTTCGTCTTGCAAATTTCGGCGGTGTGTGTGTGCGAGTGGAGCCTTTTCCACGTTTTTGGTGCAGGTGCAGGGAGCAGAGATTTACCAGATTTCGCCCCCACATAGGAGCCACTAGAGCGGCAAATCCTTTGAGCAGAGGACAACCAGGCAACAGCGGGTAGCACAGTGGGCGCATCGCGTGTCCACCAGCAGCAGCAGCAGCAACAACCGGCCGAAACGTGGGAATAGCAGAAACGAATCGCGAAAATGGAGGCACAAAAACTCACGGAACTGTTGCGCGCAACTATTGATCCAAATCCGGAGCAGCGCAAGGCCGCCGAGGATCAACTGGCCCAGGTGAGTGCCTGTCCCCTGAGGCCGTACGCCTGCAAAAAGATTCAAACGAACTTGGTGGTGGTGGCGCCATCGCCCCGAAACCATGTGCTTTTTAATTGTTCGCTTTAACCTCTCCCACTCTTCCTCCTCGCGCGGTTCGTCTTGGGCGTTTTGTGTGGGTGCGGGGGCCTGGTGTAAGCCGAGATATCGCTCAAAAAGGTTGCCCTTCAAATGTTTATCACTTGCTCCTTGGCCTTCCCTAGTGGCGGGATATGGCAACAAGTACACACATGTGTATATACATATATTTTTGGGCATGACTGTGTGCGAGTACTGTGGTTTCAATTTTATTCTGGTGAATCCAAAGGCCCATTAATAAGCAATGCTTTGATTTGGAATCGAAAAATACAACCGTAATTGGAGCTTATGCAATCCCCCCGGAATCAAAAGCGTGTCCAGAGCCAGTCGCTTAAACAATTAAACAATTACTTCTGCCCCACTGTGCAGGCATGCTCATTACGTCTGAGTCAGCATCTAACGATTTGCATGCCCCTCCCAACACCGCCCCCTTTTGGGTTAATTAACTTTATCAGCCTTAATGGCCAGCAGCAGCCCCATATTAATTGTACTAGCTCTGCGCACAGAATTTAAAGTGCTTCCATCGATCGATTCCTGCTTCAAATCAAACACCTAACCCCCGGGCGACCATCGTCCCTCGTTACTCACCACAACAGCTGTGTAAACAAATCCGTACATATTATACGTTCGCAGATACACAAAATCATTGGATTTGTGCCCACCATACTGCAGATCGTAATGCAGACAACGGTGGAGCAGCCGGTGCGCCAGGCGGGAGCTGTCTACCTCAAGAACTTGATCAACAGCAGCTGGTCGGACCACGAGGCCAAGCCGGGCGAGCCGATACCCTTCTCCATACACGAGCAGGATCGGGCCATGATTCGCGGTGCCATTGTCGATGCCATCGTCCATGCTCCCGAGCTGATCAGGTAGGTCTTTCTGAAATGTCCCCTGCCTCAACTTCAACTTCCTCTCTCCGCCCCATGCTATAGGGTCCAGCTTTCCGTTTGCGTAAATCACATCATCAAGAGCGATTTCCCCGGACGGTGGCCACAGGTGGTGGACAACATTAGCATCTACTTGCAAAACCAGGATGTCAACGGCTGGAACGGAGCCCTGGTGACCATGTACCAGCTGGTCAAGACTTACGAGTATAAGCGCAGCGAGGAGCGAACGCCGCTGAACGAGGCCATGAACTTGCTGTTGCCCATGATCTACCAGCTGATAGTGCGCCTGCTGGCCGAGCAGTCGGAGCAATCGGTGCTGCTGCAAAAGCAAATCCTAAAGATCTACTATGCCCTAACGCAGTACAGCCTGCCGCTTGACCTTATCACCAAGGAGATCTTCTCCCAGTGGATGGAGATCTGCCGTCAGGTGGCCGATCGTGATGTGCCCGACAGCTCCCACCTCGATGACGACGAGCGAACGGAGTTCCCCTACTGGAAGACCAAGAAGTGGGCCCTTCACATTATGGTCCGCATGTTCGAGCGGTGCGTTGAGTAAAGATCAAGCCTCCCTGGCCTTTTTGGTTAAGGACACCCAATGATTTCGAAATATTCTGTTGCAGGTATGGAAGTCCCCAAAATGTGGTTAGTGAAAAGTACCAAAAATTCGCCGAGTGGTATCTGCCCACGTTCAGCCAGGGTGTCCTGGAGGTGCTGCTGAAGATCCTTGACCAGTACAGGAACCGGGTCTACGTTTCGCCGCGAGTCCTCACCGATGTTCTGAACTATCTGAAGAATGCGTAAGTAAAATTTGCATATTATTTTATTAATACTATTTATTATATTTAGAAAATCGTAACTATAAGCACTGAAAGCTAATAACTTAAACATTGACCTTTTCAGTGTTAGCCACGCCTACACCTGGAAGCTCATCAAGCCCCATATGGTGGCCGTTATCCAGGATGTGATTTTTCCTATCATGTCGTTCACGGATTCCGACCAGGAGCTCTGGGAGAGCGATCCCTACGAGTACATTCGCCTGAAGTTTGGTAAGAGAAACTCCTCCATCTACCCGTTTATGCGTTTTATTTTAAACGCCTCTTCCCTGCAGACATCTTTGAGGACTATGCCACACCAGTGCCGGCTGCCCAATCCCTGCTGCATTCCATCTGCAAGAAGCGCAAGGGTGTCCTGCCCAAGGCCATGGCCACAATTATGCAAATAATTACCTCACCGAATGCGGACAACAAGCAGAAGGACGGTGCCTTGCACATGATCGGAACACTGGCGGATGTGCTGCTGAAGAAGGCCTCGTACCGCGACCAAGTTGAATCCATGCTGACCACGTACGTGTTCCCGGAATTCCAGAATCCCGCCGGGCATATGCGGGCGCGTGCGTGTTGGGTGCTGCATTACTTCTGCGACGTGCAGATCAAGAATCCCCAGGTGCTGGCCGAGATCATGCGGCTGACCACCAATGCCCTGCTCACTGACAAGGAGCTGCCCGTTAAGGTGGAAGCCGCCATCGGTCTCCAGATGTTCCTATCGTCCCAGAACGATGCGCCTCCATACGTTGAAGGTCAAATCAAGGAGATCACCAAGGAGCTGCTCACCATCATACGCGAGACGGAGAACGAGGATCTGACGAATGTGATGCAAAAGATTGTGTGCACCTTCACCGAGCAGCTGTTGCCGGTGGCCACCGAGATCTGCCAGCATCTGGCCACCACCTTTAGCCAGGTTCTTGAATCCGAAGAGGGATCCGACGAGAAGGCCATCACGGCCATGAGCCTGCTCAATACAATCGAGACGCTGCTCAGTGTGATGGAGGAGCATCCCGATGTCCTACTAAACCTGCATCCGATCGTGATCAATGTGGTTGGACACATTTTCCAGCACAACATTACCGGTGAGTGCAGCTTGAAATCTCTCTGGAGATGATTTTAAACGTGATTATTTTTCTTTAGACTTTTATGAGGAAACCTTCTCATTGGTCTACGATCTAACGGCCAAGGCCATCTCCCCCGAGATGTGGCAAATGCTGGAGCTGATCTACCAGGTTTTCAAGAAGGATGGCATGGACTACTTCATTGATATTATGCCGGCGTTGCATAACTATGTGACAGTCGACACGCCAGCCTTCCTGTCCAATCCAAACAGGCTGTTGGCCATTCTCGACATGTGCAAGACGGTAAGCAGTTAGGCGACATTATCGTGTATACAAATATGTTTACACTATTATTCATTCCCTCAGATGCTCACTAGTAATCCTGGCGAAGATCCCGAGTGCCATGCCGCCAAGCTGATGGAAGTGATTATCCTGCAGTGCAAGGGCCAGATTGACTCCGTGATACACCTGTTCGTGGAACTGGCCCTGTCCCGCCTAACCCGCGAGGTGCAGTCCTCCGAGCTGCGCACCATGTGCCTGCAGGTGGTCATTGCGGCGCTCTACTACAATCCCCAGCTGCTGCTCTCCATTCTGGACAAGATGTCGCAGCAGAACAACGAATCGATTAGCGCACACTTTATCAAGCAGTGGCTCCACGACACGGACTGTTTCCTGGGGTAATTATAACCTTTTAAATATATTATTAATTAATTATTCAAACCCCTGCAATCCCTTTAGCATTCATGATCGCAAGCTCTGCGTCCTGGGTCTGTGCACGCTCATTTCCCTGGGCGATGCCAAGCCGCAAGTGCTGAGCGAGGTGGCTGGAAAGATTGTGCCCGCCCTTATTTTGCTCTTCGATGGCTTGAAGCGCGCCTATGAATCCAGGGCCCAGGAGGAGGAGGAAGAGGAGGAGGAGGAGGATGGCGATGACTGCGAGGAGGCTCTGTCTAGCGACGAGGATGACATGGACGAGATGGCGCCGGACTATCTGGACAAGTTGGCTGAATTCACCAAGACGAAAGGCGACGCTGCGGGCTTCGAAATCAAGGCCGAGATTAAGGACGAAGATGCGGACTCGGATGACGAGGCGGAGGAGTCAATTGGTGATCTGAACGAAACGGGCCTGGAGTCTTTCACAACGCCCATCGATGACGAGGAGAACGAGACGGCCATCGATGAGTACTGGACGTTTAAGGAAGTTATTACTGGTGAGCTGGAATGTCCTAAAATATCTAGTGCCTTGTCCTGATTCCATTCTTTTCCACACAGCACTTTCCGCACAGGACCAGGCCTGGTATGCGCTCCTCACCTCCAACCTCACACCCGAACAGGCCAAGGCGCTGCAAGAGGTGGTGGTGACCGCCGACCAACGCAAGGCTGCCAAGGAGTCAAAACTGATAGAGAAGCAGGGCGGCTTCGCCTTCCCACAGACCGCCGTGCCCTCGTCCTTTAAGTTCGGCTCGTAACTGGATTGACCACATCTGACTTGATTGTTTCTCATATTCTTTCCAAAAAAAACAAAAACAAGCAAAAAAAAACATACATCTTGCATGCTGATGATGGCTTTAAGGCATCCATTCTCCTGGTTTTCGTACACTCTGTGTACCAATACGTGCTGCGTCGGCTTGGATCGGATCGATCCGTTCGGGCGGCGTCCAGAGGGCACTATATATTTATTGTAGATTTATATTTTATTATTTCCTACTTGGCACGCCCGGCTGCCAACTAAATTATGATAACAATTAAGTCGAAAGTCCATTGTAAATCTTTGTATGTAAACAAAACAAACGTCGAGGACGAGAAGGTCTCATGAAATGAGACGCCCCCCGCAAAACTCCCAAAAAAGATGGCAAGTCCGGTGGTCAGAGAATGAGAATTCAACGCAGAGCATTTCACAAACATTTTCTTTATACACACACACATACACGTATATACTGTACTAAATGGAGCGATATTTTTGAAAAATAAAAAAAAAACATTTTTAACGTTTGAACTGGAAAAAAGTGTTTTTAAGAAAAGATTTAAAGTGAATTAAATTTTTTGAGCTTTTTTAAATTTGTTCCTGCTGGCGCTTGATTGCAATCGATAGGTTTTCATTGCGATAAGTCGATAAATCAGCTGTTGTAGATGCTACCTTAACCAGTATTGGTAAGTGACCCAATGCCATTCTGCAACTAAAGTGTAATTTCGATTTGAATTTAAAAACAAAACAAAACAAACCAGATTATATTAAAACCATGAAAATAGCGGTTGAAGGCTGTGCTCATGGCGAACTGGAGCGCATCTACGACACTATCGCAGGCATCGAGAAGGAGAGCGGCACCAAGATAGACCTGCTGCTATGCTGCGGCGATTTCCAGTCCACCCGGAATCTGGAGGATCTGCAGACCATGGCGGTGCCAAAGAAGTACCTGGATATTTGCACCTTCTACAAGTGAGTGCCATGATGTCCTGACTTAGAAGTTTGCTCCTAATCCCTACCATTTACAGGTACTACAGCGGGGAGAGAGTGGCGCCGGTGCTGACAATTTTCATTGGCGGCAACCACGAAGCCTCCAACTACCTTCAAGAGCTGCCCTACGGCGGCTGGGTAGCACCCAACATCTATTACCTGGGTTACGCCGGTGTGGTTAACGTGAACGGTGTGCGCATTGCGGGCATAAGTGGCATTTTCAAAGGACATGACTTTCTGCGTGGCCACCACGAATTTCCGCCCTATTCGGAGGCCACATGCCGCAGTGTCTACCATGTGCGACAGCTTGAGGTGTTCCGGCTGAAGCAGCTGTCCGGGCGAGTGGACGTCTTCCTCTCCCACGACTGGCCCGCCGGCATCTATGAGTATGGCAACAAGGCGCAGCTCCTGCGGAGAAAACCCTTCTTTGCAGCGGACATGGAAAGTGGTCAGCTTGGCAGCCGTCCGTTGGAGGAGCTGCTGAAGGCGATACAGCCAGCCTACTGGTTCGCCGCTCATCTGCACTGCAAGTTTGCTGCTCTAGTGCCGCACAATCCCTGCCAGAAACGACAGGATGACGGCGCCGCCTCCTCCTCCTCCTCCAGCAGCAGTGAGGACGAAGATGAGGAGAAAGCTGCCCCCACTCCCCCACCGTCGAAACCTGTTCCTGTCACAAAATTCCTGGCTTTGGACAAGTGCCTACCGCGTCGTGGCTTCCTGCAGGTGGTAGAAATACCCAGTGACCCAATTGAGGGTAATCCCCGCCTGCAATATGACCCCGAATGGCTGGCCATTTTGCACAGCACCAACCATTTGATTTCTGTGAAGGAGAACTACTACTATTTGCCGGGAAAGAAGGCTGGAGCGATCACGGAGCGCTTTAACTTTACACCCACCGAAGAGGAGCTGGAAGCTGTGACGACGAAATTCCAGAATCTCCAGGTGCCGGAGAACTTTGAGCGAACTGTTCCAGCCTACGATCCCGAGGAGCAATCCAACTACAAAAACATGGCGGTGGGTCAACCAAAAGCCCAACTGAATCCACAGAGCAACACGTTTTGCGCAGCCCTCGGCATTGATGATCCCCTCTGCTTGGCTATGCTAGCCAATGGCAAGGATCTGCCAGTAGCTGAAGCTACGGTTCAGCAGCTTTCGAAGAGTTATGAGGAAAAGATGCCACAGGAGGAGGAGGATCTTGGCGAGCCCTTGATCACACCAACGAAAAGAAAATTGAACCTTTCCCTGCCGGCGCCGACGTCTAGAGAAGCAATTGATCTGCCGGATGAGACGGCGGCTGAGGATGAGGGGGAGGAGGAGGAGGCTGAAGTAGAAACAGAAGCTCCAAAAGAAGAGGAACCAGCTGCGGTGACGGCGTCCACTCCATCTCTCAAGAAGCTGAAGCGACGCAACCAGAACATCTACCAAGCCGATGAAGAAGAATAAAACCCAACGAATTCCGTAGTAAAAGCGGAGCGAACTTAAAAAAAAGAGGCAATTTATTTAAATAACACAGAAGATACTTGGCCGGCTTGGCAGCCAACGGGTGATGGGCGAATAAATAGGAGGGTTAAGCTGCGGCACGCAGAGACTCACTGCGTCTCGCTGGCATTTGCGGCGTTGTAGGCCTCGTCGGCGCACTGGAACGCAGCCTCCAGCACAGACTCGGGCGTCTCCAGCACATCACAGTAGTAGGTGGTCGGCGAGGGGATGCATTGAAGCTGCAGCTGGCCACCGTCCGCTCGGGGGCTGTAAAAGCGGCACTGGCGTGGCCCGTACACGGGCATATCCGCATCGTAGGGCGGGCTGAGGATGTCGAAGAAGGCGGCAACTCCTCCGTTGCCTGTCTGGGTGATCTGATGGTAGTTCCTCCTCCTGGGCGTCAAAACTGCGCATGGGCTGTCCGGCGTAACCAGACTGGGCTCTTCAGCATTCACCTTGACCACCGTGGGATGCGGATCGTAGATAATGGGCTCGTCTGATCCAACCTGCTGCGTGTAGCTCTGCACCAGCAGCTGGCCCCAGATGCAGCGCAGCAGGCCAAACATCATGGGGTGGTCATGCAACGGAATGTCACTTCTTTCCCGGACGATGAACAGGCTCATGGAGAAGCGCTCGTCCTCGAAGATGTGCATATAGCTGCATGGCGCCCGTCGGCTGGCGACGCCGACATCCACGTTCCGGAAGAGCTCTTCGCGAAGGTGCAGATCCCGGTGGGTCAGCTCGTCCGTCATCTGGCGCAGATGCTGCAGGTTGGCATTGAAGCTGGCGTGGTTGGCCCGGTCGAACGTCTTGAAAGCCTGCCGCAGCACGTTGGTGAAGTGCGTCGTCATCTCGGCGCGTACGTAACTTCTTCAACTTCAGCCGTGACACTGCGCTGACGTCCGGAGAAAAGGCAAGAGCGACTAAAATCCCCTGGCTTCCAGAATCAAGATAAACAACAGCAAATGTGTTGGAAAACGCCTAAAGGGGCCACCTGGGTGGTAGTCTGTTTTATGTATTTTTCTTTTATTCTTAACACGCCTTCAACTATGTAAATAGGTCTAAAAGCCCCGCTCCTTGGACTGCGTGGCATGTGTGAGGATCCAGGACTTGTAGTCGCGCTTTTTCATCGCCATCTGCTTGTGGCGCGGATGCGTGGGACAGATGACATAACCGCGCTCCTGCCGCACCACGATGTAGCAGTCCTTGCAGCGCCGCTTCAAACGACCCTTCACTTTGAACCCGGCCACCTGCTGCAGCAGCGTCGAGCAAGGGGTCAGGAGTCCCAATGATCCTTGCTGAATCGGAGCTGAGCCGGTCATCAGTTGTGTGCTTGGTATGGGGGCGCTGACAGGCGCCGCCGGCCGCACGAGCATATGGAAACCTCGTGCCGAACTCAGCCCACTCCAAAGGCGGGAGCTTTGCTGCAAAATTCTGCTGGCCAGGGACATCTAAGGAATCAATTTTCATTGAGAAACGGTCAAAAATTTAAGTGAAAACGCTCACCTTTCTTTGTTTTTATAACTTGCCCTAAACCGATAACACCCCTAGTCTTGGAGAGTTAGCCAACACTGGTAACGACAGTGTCGTAGGGAGGGGGATTTTGGGGGAAAACCTACCTCCCCAGTGAGCCTGTTGCTTCCTAGACGTTGCACGTCGAGTTATTTTTAATAAAATTAGAATTAATTTAATACAAATAACAAACAAACTAAATAAATTGTTTTTAATTTTATTCATTTCACTTGAGCGGATCCAGTAACTATTTATTATTCGACTCAATTTCAAAGTGAGCGTGTTAAATAGTTGCAAATGTACATTTGTATTCATTACAAGATATTGGGCCACTTTAGAGTTTAGTTGAGATTTTATCCAAGTAGTTTCTTCCGTTTTTTTTTATGTGATTAATCGATATTGATGACTTCTACGGGTTGGGACAGAGACTCATCCAAACGGGTTCGCTTGCACTTGGTGGGTCCCGCTAGCTCCTCGTCGGAGGAATCCATAATCTCGGTGATGTCCTCATCGTTATCTTCAATCACCTCGCTGGGCTTGCGTTTTGTGCCGACCTTTGGTGGACTCTGCACCGATAGCTTGTCTGTGGCGACTGCCACTGTGTCTGCCTCATCCTCGTCCTCTTCGATCAACAGGCAGTCGTCGTCGTCGTCCTCAACCACATCCACATCGGCTGGCTTGCTACGCTTGGATGTCGAGGGTCCCTCGTCTGGGGCATCACCCCCACCATTGGCCGAACGCTTCTTTGCAGATTTCTCTGAATCTTCCTTCTTCTCCTCCACCTTTTCCTTGCTCTGCTCCTCTTCTTTGGGCTGCAGTTGTTTGGCCTGTGCCACCACTTCGAACAGGTTATCCTCCCTCTCTGCATCGAAGTGGGAGATTATAATCCTCAGTTCGTAGTTCTGGAAGAAGTCGTCGGCCTTAAGGATCACACCATCAACGATGTTCATCTCGCTCAAGAGCTTGCCCTCGATGTCATCGGTCTCGCCTTCCTCCGAGGAGAGCAAAACGGTGCTAGTTAGAGGTACCTCCACATCAGGCTTCACCATGTTGAGCGTCTTGATCAGAACCTCGTCGCGCAGGTCCCGGATGGTCATGCGCTTCGTATCAATCTTCAGGGTAATAGCCGGATCCTTGGAACACACCGAGCAGTCGGGATTGGGACCCGGAAGGGAGGCATCTGGCACCAGGAACTGGTTACGCGGATTCAGCCTAAGGCGTGCGTAGACGGTAATGCACTGAGTCCACTTGGCCTCCAAAACGTTGAAGGCGCGCAGAACGGAAATGCCAGCAGTGATTGCATTGGTAGTGGCTATAGCCGGAATGATATTGCCCGCCATCGACTTGATCTCGAAGCGTGACTTGCGCTCAATATTGAAGATGTATGAGCGCACGTTGGCGCATGCTGCCACAAAGTCCATGGCAGGCTGGTCATCCTTGTCCCAGGATAAGGTATCATCACCCTCCAGCTTAAGGAAACTAGCACTCAGCTCCTTGAGAGCACTGGCAAAAACGGATGCACACTCCTCAAGGCTCCAGACCTTGTGATGCTGCTTGGCAATCTCCGGGTTGTCATCGGACTTGCCTTCGGGCAGCAGTGTATCCCATTGTACAGGTACGGGCGCCCTACGTTTCAGCCAGAGATTCCCCATTAGCAGCAAGCAGTTGATGTCCTCGTTGAAGAACTTATTGAACAGGGTGCCAGCATCATAATTGCAATCCTTGGCCCACTGACGGGTGTTAATGCGCACAACGTTGCCATTGTCCGTAACATCATCCTTGCCGTCCTTGGGCTTCTCCTCGGCTTCCTTATCGAGCTCTTTTGGCGTAGCATCTCCACCAGCTCCATCACTGTCTGCACTCACTGCCGCATCCTGGGCATCTGGATCAGCTGCATCGGGCGAAATATCCTCATCATCCAGAGACTCGCCAAAGAGTTGACTGAAATATATTTATGTTAAAAGCTACTTCTTGATTTTCAATTACTTCTCCATTACTCACTTAAACAGATGCTTGGCCCAGACGATGCAGTGAATCGGCTCCGAGGGCGTATTGCGGATAGTGCAGCCTGGAAAGCTACGCTGCTTCTCTTTGGGCGTGCACTCATAGCACTGCGTGAGACCGCGTTTGATAAGCTCCACCTGTCCGCTGTAGCCGGCGGTGCCGCTCTCGATCAGAGGGACGTCGGCATTCAGACACATGCGATTTACATGGATTCGGGCAGCCCGATTGTCCAAAGCACTGAGCACCACATCAAACTTCTTGTAGAAGTTGACTCCGTAGTCGGTTCTGCAAATAGGGTCCAAATATATATACAAATTGCGGAAAATAGAGGAATATAAACCTACGATGTCACACTATCATGGTAAGCGGTTATTTTGGCATCCGGATTGAAGCTCAGGGCGCTCTCCCTTGCCACACGGGCCTTCGACTTGCCCACGTGCTCGCGATGAAACAGGAACTGCCGATTGAGGTTGCTTAAATCTATGGTGTCCAGGTCAATCTGTGGAATTATTCATATTAGCAGTGGCATCGACACCCACTTGCATGAAAAAACTTACAATTTCAATATCTGTGAAGCCGCTGAGCACAAGGTTTTTCAACACCTCGCAACCGATTCCGCCGGCTCCCACGACTAGAACTTTTGACTTCTTCACCAACTCCTGCAAAGTGGACGGAAGAACGCCATCGATAGCTGCAGCCATATTCTTTTCTTATCCTGTTTCTTTCAGTCGTTTGATTGCAGAAAATAAACGCGAAAAATATTGGCAAGTGACGCCGCCGGCAATATGACCACAGTGGCTTTGTCGAGATAATACCATAACGCAAAAAAAATACTAAAGCCCCGCATGCGGTCACCCTAAATCGACCTAAATCAGGAGAAGTTAAATTGATTTATTATTTTTGTACAGGTAAAAAAATTAGACGATTTATTAACAAAATATTCCAATAAATGTTCATTAAAAATTGATTAACTTCCGATAGTAAGAATTGGCTATCGCATCTATTTCCCTGGAAATAGCTGTAGCCCTGGTCATTTTGCTTTTAGCTCTACTGGTCACACTACCAGCAGCGCTCTAATCAGAAATAGAGAAAAGTCGGGCATTTGTATTTTTTACTGACAAAGTGCTGGTGAACATTTTCACGGAGCACGGATCTCGGCAAGCGTAACACGGAATTTGTGCGAAGCGGTCAAGTCAGTTACGGGAAAATCAATAGAGCAATAATGACCGAAGTGCGTCGCAGGAAGGGGGAGGAGGAGGCTTTGGAGGATTCCTCCGCCGTTGCCGGATCCGGATCGGAGGCAGCCAAGCGCAACTCCGCCGCTGACTCCTCGGACCATGTAAGTGCCAATGACTTCTATGTGGAGCAGCAGCAGCAGCGGTTGTTGCTACTCCATTTGCATAATTCTTGGAGCGCAAAAGAAACATTGGAACCGAAGCTAAATGTGTGTATACCAGCATATGTGTGTCGGTGTGTGTGTGTGTGTGTGTTTTTGTTATTCTCTGACGCACGAGCAGGTGGGCACGAGAGAGCGGAGGAGAGTCAGGGAGAGCAGGAGAGAGCAGGAGAAAATCCAATAACAAGCACACTGCAAGAACACAATAACAATGACAGTCACCCCCACCACCCACCTGCTGTGTTGCAATATAGCGCCATTATTTCCAGCAAATCCAATTAAGAGGACGAAAACATTACGGAAGCATTGGCCATTACCCACCCCTCCTTCGTTCTCTATTTTCTTTTTGCAATAGTTCCGGCTAAGTGTTTTTTTTTTGTGATAAGAGAGCCCTCCGTCGCCCCGCATGTCCTCTTATCAACGGCGCGATTTGGCAACAAACAAAACACGCCACCGAAAAAGCCCGCAATTCTTTCCCTTTCCCATTCCCTCGTGTATGTGTGTGCGTCTTGGATAAACGAATGATTCTGATTATGGGTATATAGCCCCACATACATACATACATAGACGTATCTTGGACTTTGCACAGCGTACCTAATAGAAAGTGCTTAAACCCTGCAACCCGGTCGGGAATACATTTCACAGCCAATCAATATGTGCACTCTAATTATTTCGACTCCCGCTTCCCGCCCCTGGCTATCACGCAGGTTGACTCCGAGGAGGAGAAGATTCCCGAGGAGAAGTTCGTGGAGGAGCTGGCCAAGAACCTGCCGCAGGGCACCGACAAGACACCCGAGCTACTGGACTCGGCCCTCAAGGATTTGCCCGATAGGTGAGTGAATTGTAAATTAATGTATATTATATATAGAATTACAATATGACCCGAACTTCAGGGTATTTTATCTCAATTTTAGGAAGCTTATTTTCTGTTTTTTGAATTTTCATTTTAATTTATTTATTCAATTATTTATTTACTAATATATAAAGTGTTTTATAGTTTAAAATAATTTCATTAATTATTTTAAATTGGTAAATGTTTTTGAAAAGGATCTGTGACATATTCACATTACACAAATAGGTCTTTATTTTACAAAAAAAATTGTTAAGAAAACATTTATAAACAATAAAGTATTTCTTAAAGTAGTTTTCCGTAAAAGATCAAATTGTAGAGACATATTTTGGCCATAAGTTGTGTACAATATTCACGATACAGAAGAGTGTGAATTATTGAATTTTGAATGTGTAAGCTTTCCAAAAATATTCCATCCACAGCTGGCTGCAGTTTGCCGCTAGCAAATACTTACATACATACATATATACTAAATAAATATCTACATTTGCAAACAATAATTTCATGCGCATTCCACAGATGGAAGAATTGGGTCATCCGCGGCATCTTCACATGGATTATGATCTGCGGCTTTGCACTGATCATCTACGGCGGTCCGCTGGCCCTGATGATCACGGTGGGTATTTTAAATCAATTTGAAATCTATCTAAAAATTTAATTAATTAATTGCTTACTTTGTTTACTTTCCCCAAAAAAACAGACACTGTTGGTGCAGGTGAAGTGCTTTCAGGAGATCATATCGATTGGCTACCAGGTGTATCGGATTCATGGTCTGCCCTGGTTCCGCAGTCTGTCCTGGTACTTCCTTCTCACCTCCAACTACTTCTTTTACGGTGAAAATCTGGTGGACTACTTTGGCGTTGTCATCAATCGAGTGGTCAGTAATTTTTCCGCCTCCTTATGAAGCTTAATATTAATTTAATTTATTATTTTGTACAGGAGTATCTCAAGTTCCTGGTGACCTATCACCGCTTCCTGTCCTTTGCCCTGTACATCATTGGCTTCGTTTGGTTCGTGTTGTCGCTGGTGAAAAAGTACTACATCAAGCAGTTCAGCCTGTTTGCCTGGACTCACGTCTCCCTGCTGATTGTCGTCACCCAAAGCTATCTCATCATCCAGAACATATTCGAGGGCCTTATTTGGTTCATCGTACCTGTCTCCATGATTGTGTGCAATGATGTCATGGCGTATGTGTTTGGGTTCTTCTTCGGCCGCACGCCCCTCATCAAGCTGAGCCCCAAGAAGACCTGGGAGGGCTTCATTGGGGGTGGCTTTGCCACCGTCGTCTTTGGCATTCTGTTTTCCTATGTGCTGTGCAACTACCAGTACTTCATCTGCCCCATCCAGTACTCGGAGGAATTGGGACGCATGACGATGTCCTGTGTGCCCAGCTATCTATTCACGCCACAGGAGTACAGCCTTAAACTGGTGAGTTGTCTTTTTACTAGTTATTTTAAAATTATTTGGATTATTAATGTATTTTATTTATTGTTATTTATTTGTTTTCAGTTTGGCATTGGTAAGACCCTAAGCCTCTACCCCTACATCTGGCACTCGATCTCGTTGAGCCTCTTCAGCTCCATTATTGGACCGTTTGGCGGCTTCTTTGCCTCTGGATTTAAGAGGGCATTCAAAATTAAGGTTAGTAGAAAGACTTTTGCAAAGAATTCAAATATCATTTATTTACGACTCTCTTTGTCGTGTGTGACAGGACTTTGGAGACATGATTCCTGGACATGGCGGCATCATGGATCGCTTCGACTGCCAGTTTTTGATGGCCACCTTCGTCAACGTTTATATTTCCAGCTTCATCAGGACTCCTTCGCCGGCGAAGCTGTTGACGCAGATTTACAACCTAAAACCTGATCAACAATACCAAATTTATCAGTCGCTCAAGGACAACCTGGGCGACATGCTAACCTAAGCCTAACCGAAGGCTACCTATTAGATTCTGACAACATGTTTGCTTTAGTCATACGTTCTGCATATATATATAAAATCGAAATTTATATATACTTGATGATATACAACAACTGTAGGCATATACGGGCGAGCGCACTTTGAGCAGCCGCATAAAATAAGTCTAAATTACGTGCATAATTTTTGTTATGTTATTAGTTTCTAGATAGATTTTGTTGCTACATTTTAAATTTATTTTGTAACTTAAGACCTTCCTTTCAGTATCGGATTATCCGCGACTTTACCTTTGTTGTTAAGCGATTCCATTACGTTTTAATGACAAGCAGGACAAAGCAAACAGAACTATGAATTTAATATTTAGACTATGTGTGTGTGTGTGTGCGTGTTGTTAGTGAATTTACTTACTATTACTTAGTGAAGATCAGGCAGCAACAGCTGGGGATTAGCATAATTAAAGCGCATTTTAGTTGGATTTAAAAGAGAGGAACGATATCGATCAAGTTATTTCGGGAGCTGTAACTCTATATAGTGCAATATATATGTAGAAAGTAAACAATTTCAATTGAATATTTATTATTTCCCTTCTTTGGTATATAAATCATCCATCCTGAACTCACAAAATAGTTAATATATACGTATAACCTGATGAATTACGATCTTAAAGGCATTTACAAAACGAAATGCAAGTTGGCGGTGTTTGAAAAGGGTTAGACCAAGCCTGAAATTAATACAAAAAATAATAAATAAATAATACGCGAACCGATAAAGCTTAATTTCATTTTTATTTGTAGTAAGAATGTCTTAATTTCAAATACATTTTAAACTGAAGTCCCAAGGTGTCTGCTTAATTTAAATTCCTGCAGTTTCCCTGAATATTTGCAAAAGAAATCCCTGACTTTATGCCAAAAAAGAAATAAATATTTTACTATTTCTAAAAATGTTTTTAAGCAAGTCCACTTCGCAGTTTAAATAAACAATAATATATTAAAAATTCGCAGAATGGTCTAATCCCTTTATAAAATAGGTGTACAAAGTTTTCAATGAACAAACTTCAAGTCTTTAATTCTCTATCAATGTGTTAAATCAATAAAAACAAATTAAATAAATGAATGTAAGGAATACAAAAACAACCAATCTTTATTCAAAAACGAAGGTACACGAAGTGACGTGCTCTTAAATCTAATAGTTATCATAAGGCTAAAGTTTCTTATACAATAATCATTGGCAATCACAAAGGTTTCACGAGGAGCTTCTGCATCAGGGAGTTTCGCAAATCATTTACTTCGTCGCGCTTCAAATCGAAGTAAACTTTCCGTTGGCGGGCATCATCGAGCAACTGTCGCCACATGTCAACAGACTGGATAAAGAAAAGTAATCATTTTAGAAACACCTTTGTATGCCAAACCTTCTGCTAACTCACCTGCAGATCATCAAAGTTGCCACAAATAACCAGGCATCGCTTCGGTCTTGTTAGAGCCACATTGAGTCGCTGATAGTTGGCGAGAAAACCACATCCTCGAGTGCGTGCATTTGAAATGATGACCACGTCCTTCTCCAATCCCTGGTACGAGTCCACAGTCTGCGGCGTCAGGTTCATGTGCTGTGGAATCACCTGGCTCAGGGCGTAGCACTGACTGCTGTACGGCGAGATCAGGCCGTAGCTGTAGCGCTGGCTGGGCATGTGCTTGTCCATCTCCGCCAGCAACTTAGCCACGAAGCGAGCCTCCTCGTCGTTGCTTATGCTCCTGTTTGCACTGGAGCTACCAGTGTCCTGCGTGTAGCTCAGGTTGACCACGCAGTAGGGGATGAGCGGCGAGGGCTTTGAGGTCAGATCCGCACTCACCAGTTGGTCGTCGTAGAAGTACTTGTTGGGCCACCGGCAGATCTCTGGGTGCATGCGGTACTGCAAGCTCAGCTTGAACAGTTTGGTGTGCACAAGCTGATTGCCGCCCGGCTGGTCCATGTTCAGCTGCTTCACCAGACTCTTTTGGATCCTGTCGAACATGGAGTTGCCCAGGCCGAAGTCGATGGCCTTCTTGGACAGCACCACCGCCGGCAGCTGCTGGGTATCTCCCACCAGGACAAGGTGTTTTATGCCAAATCTCATGGGCAGAAGCGTCCAGGGCTCCGTGCACTGTGTGGCCTCGTCGATGATGCAGATGTCGAAGAAGTCCACGTAGTTAGCCAGCTTGACGCACGAGGAGAGCGTCGTGCAGACGATGTGGGCCCGCTTCAGACACGTCTTGGAAATGTCGTACTCCTCCCTTGGCGTCAGCGGCGGATTCAGTTGTTGGCTGATCAGCAGGAGCTGCTTCTGTTTCTGTTCCAACTGCTGCTGAAGGTAGGTGGACTTGAGATTTGAGTTCTGCTTCAGCTGCTGGATCTCGGCACTCAGGTCGCTGTGCTGCTTCTTCAAGATCTCAATGTTCTCCGGAGTTAGACGCTTCAGCTTGTCCTCCCTGGCCTTTTTAAAGTGAGCTTCTAGTGAATATTTTCGGGAGTGTTGGCTTATTTTTTCATTTAACCCGAATCGCAGGAGGTGGAAGTGGTTACGACTCATGGCGGAGTGGGCTTTACTTAGAGCCCTTACCATGTGATCCACGGCCGTGTTAGAATGAGCACAAATTAAGATCTTTCGGTCCAGCATCACGGACGCCCTTCCGTACAGACACTGAAGGCTGAGATTCGACAGAAGTATGGATTTCCCAGTGCCTGGCGGACCCTGAACTAGTGTCAGACTTGGGTTCATGGCGTCGATGACTCTCTCGTAGACACTGAGGCAAATGTCCTCTTGGTCCTTGTTAAGTTTACTGAATCCCTTGTAGGCGAGCGCCTCCGCCAATGTGGGTATTTGTAAGGTTTTCACTGCCTCAGTGGGCATCAGGATTCGCCTGCAGAGCGGCGAACGGTAAAGCTGATGGATAGCGCTCAAAGCTCCCGATTCCACTCGGAGGCTATCCACCACCGGACGAGCGGTTACCTGTTTCAGGTTTTTCAACTTCTCTATGGGTACCTGTACACAAATTTGAAAGGTCATGTCCCAAGCGCTGCCTGATGAGAAGATGGTCAAAGAGTGGTGGACATGGTGGAAGAATAAAGCTTACCGCCGACAGTCTTTTGGGCCAACAGACTGGCAAAGGTTTCGCTTAGTTCGGGGCCACTGGACAGAGTGTAAAGATCGAATTTTCCAATGGGTTTGGCCTTAGCTGTGAAGTGCAGAAAGATAATTGTATAAAGTGAGGATATTTCCAGGATTTTATAGTTTATTAACTGAATTTACTCTGAAATTAGTTTGTCAATACTTATCCACTTACTTCTGGCCACTAAGTGGTAGCACTCCTTCTCGCAATATATGCCAATAACCTTGAGATCCAGCGTAGGCTTCGAGTTTTTGTAGTCCCTTTCAATGGTGGTCAGTAACTCCAGTCTCATCAGTGGCAAAAAAGTCCTGCCACCAATATAAGTTAATGTTTTATTTTCCAAAGCCAGTTTTAAACTCACTTGATGTAGTGCCGAAAGCCACTAAAGTCGGAGGGAATGGGCATCAGGACATCCGTTTCCCCTACAGCGTCCACGCTGCCATGCTTCAGCCACTGGTTGGCCCACGTGAGAATGGTACGCTTGTGGTGGAGGATGTCGTTCACCATGTAGTTCCCCTTGAGCGTCCATTCGCGTCGTTCGCTGTACGTGCTGAGGCAGATCTTCGAGCTATCCTTGCTTTTCCGCACGGGCTTACAGGCCCCACTTACACTTTCGATATATATAATGTTGATTTTGTCACAGAAACGAACGCGTCTTTGCTGTTTCTTCCTTCTGCTTTCACGTTCCATATCAGCAAAGTTAACGCGATTGCATGTCCGCTGATTCCTAGCCTGCTGCGCCTCCTTGCGTTCAGGCCGCCGGGAGCCTTGTGGCTCTGGACTTTTGGCTAAATCCTCCGCTGCCAGGAGCTGCTGCAAGGGAGTATTAATGGTGGAGCGTCGCTTGGGAATCGAATGCTTAACCGGAGGTACTTGGGGTTTCTCCACCTTCTTTGCTATTTTGGCTGGAGGTCCTCTATCGATCTCTTTGGTAAGGAATTCCCCGCGATTTGTGTTGCTTATGGTGGGCACACTGGTGCAGTTCTTCCTTTTACTTGCGTTCGAGGTGGAGGGGCTATTCTCCTCATCTTTGCGTTTATCAGACAGCTTCTTCAAAGCCTCTCGTCGTTTCTCCTTGATCACTTGGTCGTCCTTTTTCTTATCCTTTGGTTTCTGGTGCCACTTGGCGGTCATTTCGGCTTGGTAATCAACAAAGCGCTGGCGATCGATAACCCTCTGCTTTTCCTTATTGTTAACCTTGCAGCGATTTTTGGACATAAATGGAGCCTCGATTATGGCAGGACCGCGGGCATCCTTAGTAGTCTTGGTAATATTATCCGGTTGGTCTATAAAACATGACTTTGAACGGTTTAGTAGCCGAGGACTTGGACCCTTATTGACTGGAGTTACATCTTCAACTGGAACCTCTCTTTTTGGTGTTAAGCTATTCCTATTATTTATGGGTTCCTTAGCTTTCTCTTTAATTTCTTCACAGGCACGAGCTGTCTTCTTTTTTCCAGGTTCCTTAGGCTGTTCGCCGCAATCCCAAACGTCGTCCTGCTTTTCCTGCACATCTTTTTTTTCAAGGGTTTCATCTATGGGCTTCGACAGTGACATCTTTTGAGCAGCGTCGGCGCTGGAGCTCACTTCACCAGTGGGGGACTGAATACGAACGCTGCAGCTGCGGTCTGTTGTTGTGCTGTCCGCTGTGGATAACGGAGACAAAGGTCCTATATATATATTTAAATATTTTAATATTTCAGCAACTTCTAAGTATATTACCTCTGCATAAAACCACGTCGCTGGATTCGTCCTCGCTGGAACTATCGATACGAAGTGACTTCGTCGGAGGCTTTATTTCAAAATGCAATTCATTCTCCTGATCCGAGCCCGAGTCCTCTATCTGGGGATAAGCTTGCGACATTTTGATGGCTTGCGGAGCTCTTTGGCTGAGCAGTTTGTTGGACCAGTCGGCCACCTTGTCGTACAGATCATCGTCGTCACTCTCCTCGATAATGATTTCATCGTAGCTTATTTGGGACGAAGGCGAATCCAGTCCCTGTTCGTCTTCCATGTTTTTAAACGCCAGAACGTCTTCCTCGTCATCGCTGGAGGCCATTTCGGTCTTCATCTCCTGCAGCACGGCTTGCGACATGGCGAACTGCTCGTCGTACTCGTCGTCCTCGACGTTAACGACTTCCATGATCTCTGGTGGAGGCGGTGGCTGCATCACCGTCTTATCAGGCTCCGTATCCAGTTCTATTACGTCGCCGTCGTAGATTTTAGCGCTCGTTGAGGCAGTGCCTCCAGATTTTTTATTTAACTGGTTGTACAGATACGGATTTATATCCATAACGCCACCAAGAATAGCCTCATCCGCTTCGCCAAAGATATTTGTTATCTCCTCGGTGGTCTTGCTCACCAGCTCCTGCTTTACATCGGGAATCTTCGGCAGGTGCAAGTTGGTACAGGATCCCTCCTGGTCTGTGGAACTCATCTTTTTTCCCAAGTCCGGTTTAATCTGGGCAAGATTACCATCATTGGACAGGGTATCCCCATCGTCGTCGGATAACAGCACTACCTCCTCCGCCTCGGTAGCCACCTTCCGCAGCAGGAAGATGGGATAGCTGCGCGGTATGTCAGTGAAGTGACCTTCCACTCCCAGGCTGATGATGGTGCCCTCCACGACCGGCATGCGTTTGAACTCGCCACTCATCCGCTGCTCATTGATGAAGACGCCGTTCCTGGAGTTCTGGGGAAGCAAATCAGGTTAGGTGTTCATACAAACTAAGGATCTGTTTGTATGCAGGACTCACCATCTCCTGTACTATCACGCCGGATTCGCTCACGATAATATTTACATGCTCTCGGGACACAAAATCATAGCTTTGACCTAACGAAATCCTGCAGCAGGAGTGGCGGCCCATCAAGTTCTCCCCGTGGTTCAGATCGATGCGGTCGCGTGTGGTCACGTGCTCCAAGTACCAGCGGCAGGCCATTCTGGCGAATGGAGTCGCCCTTCCCGGGTAACCAATGTTATTTCAACTTTGAATAAAAAGAAAACAAATTGCGGGGGATACGAATGTGTGACCGTCGCTTTTATTTATGAAAAAGCAAAACACATTGCAAAAATACCGTAAAATATTGGTATTTGGTATATTAAGACACTTTTCGACACTTGCGAAAGTGTCATAAAGTCAAGCCTTTGAGGGTGTTATGACACTGACCGTCATTACATTTCCTCTTTTAAAAATTTTAGAATTATTTTACGTACTTCTTTGTCAGCTTCGTAAATTTAACCATGATCCCTGGCAGGATATTATAATTTTAGTTGGAAGCTATTGAAACTATTAAGGAGTCATTTCCGACCCTATAACCCATATACATATATTCTTGATCAGCATCAACTGGTGAGTGTTTGTTGTCTTTTTCTTTTTTTCGAATTAAATTTGATACATTTTTTGTTTAGTTATGATATTTTTAAACATTAAACATTTAAACATTAATTCAAATATTTTAGGTATTTCTGATGTTTGTCAGTGAATGAGTCATTTCCGACCCTATAAATCATATATATTCTTGATCAGCATCAAAAGGCGAGTCTTTCTAGTCATGTTTGAAAGAAATCAATTTTTTTTTAATTATTAAAAATTTTTATAAGGGGTTACATCATTAAAATTGTGAAAATTTTACCAAAATTAAAATTTGTTTAAGAGGTTAAATAATGTATGCAGATTTGTAAACCTAATAAAAACAAACATAGCACCGCTTTCCGAACTAAACTTAATGCTTTTTTGACTGAGCTATGTTTTTAAACTTTGATTTGTACCAAAAAAAATCTATTTAAAATCTATTTCCATTGTCCAAATACATTTACAAAGATTTTAATGAACAAACTTCAAGTCTTTTATTCACTATTAAGGCATATAAAATAAATAAAAAAGTACATACATATGTATTAAAGTTTAAATGTAACTAAAGTGGTAACAAACTGAGTTCAAAAAGGCACCTGAAGTGGTCTGCTCTTAAATCTAGTAATTACAAAAAGAAAGACAATTCCAAATGTACATTTCCTTATTTAAGAATTTAAGTTAAGCACGAATTTCACCAGGAGTTTCTTCATCAGGGAGTTCTGCAGATCATCCACGTCGTCGCGCTTCAAGTCGAAGTAAACTTTCCGTTGGCGGGCATCATCGAGCAACTGTCGCCACAAGTCAACAGACTGAATAAAGAAAAGTAATCATTTTAAAAACACCTTTGTATGCCAAACCTTCTGCTAACTCACCTGCAGATCATCAAAGTTGCCACAAATAACCAGGCATCGCTTCGGTCTTGTTAGAGCCACATTGAGTCGCTGATAGTTGGCGAGAAATCCACATCCTCGAGTGCGTGCATTTGAAATGATGACCACGTCCTTCTCCAATCCCTGGTAAGAGTCAACAGTCTGCGGCGTCAGGTTCATGTGCTGTGGAATCACCTGGCTCAGGGCGTAGCACTGACTGCTGTACGGCGAGATCAGGCCGTAGCTGTAGCGCTGGCTGGGCATGTGCTTGTCCATCTCCGTCAGCAACTGACCCACGAAGCGAGCCTCCTCGTCGTTGCTTATGCTCCTGTTTGCACTGGAGCTTCCAGTGTCCCGCGTGTAGCTCAGGTTGACCACGCAGTAGGGAATGAGCGTCGAGGGCTTTGAGGTCAGATCCGCACTCACCAGTTGGTCGTCGTAGAAGTACTTGTTGGGCCACCGGCAGATCTCCGGGTGCATGCGGTACTGCAAGCTCAGCTTGAACAGTTTGGTGTGCACAAGCTGATTGCCGCCCGGCAGGTCCATGTTCAGCTGCTTCACCAGACTCTTTTGGATCCTGTCGAACATGGAGTTGCCCAGGCCGAAGTCGATGGCCTTCTTGGACAGCACCACCGCCGGCAGCTGCTGGGTGTCTCCCACCAGGACAAGGTGTTTTATGCCAAATCTCATGGGCAGAAGCGTCCAGGGCTCCGTGCACTGTGTGGCCTCGTCGATGATGCAGATGTCAAAGAAGTCCACGTAGTTGGCCAGCTTGACGCACGAGGAGAGCGTCGTGCAGACGATATGGGCCCGCTTCAGACATGTCTTGGAAATGTCGTACTCCTCCCTTGGCGTCAGCGGCGGATTCAGTTGTTGGCTGATCAGCAGGAGCTGCTTCTGTTTCTGTTCCAACTGCTGCTGAAGGTAAGTGGGCATGATATTTGAGTTCTGCTTTAGCTGCTGGATCTCGGCACTCAAGTCGCTGTGCTGCTTCTTCAGCATTTCAATGTTTTCCGGAGTTAAACGCTTCAGCTTTTCATTCCTGGCTTTTCTTAAATGCTCAGAAAGCGAAAACTGGCGGGAGTTCTCACTCATTTTTTCAATCATCCCAAACCGCACTAGCTGAAAGTGGTCGTGGCTCATGGCAAAAAGTGCATTGCTCAAAGCTTTCACCAAGTGATCCACGGCCGTGTTTGAGTGAGCACAAATTAAGATCTTTCGGTCCAGCATTACAGAGGCCTTTCCGTACAGACACTGCAGACTGAGATTCGACAGAAGTATGGATTTCCCAGTGCCAGGAGGACCCTGCACTAGGGTCACACTTGGATTGATGTTGTCTATGACCCTCTTGTAGACCCGGAGGCAAATATCTTCCTGGTGGTTGTCAAGCTTAGTAAATCCTGTGTACGTGAACGCCTGCGACACCTTTGGTATTTGTACAGTCTTCACCGCCTCAGTGGGCATCAAAATCCGCCTGCTGAGAGGCGAACGGTGAAGCTGTTGGATAGCACTCAGAGCGCCCAGTTCTACTCGGAGGCTGTCCACCACCGGACGGGCGGTCAGCTGTTTAAGGTTTTTCATCTTCTCAAAGGATATTTGCATAAAAATTTCAAATGTCATGAAAGAAACGCCGCCTGATGGAAAGGGAAAACATTGTATTGAGGGCTTTTGGAAAATGATTCAATCGTGTTTATAGCACTTACCGCTAACGGTCTTTTGCTCCAATAGACTAGCAAAGGTCTCCGCCATTTCGCTGCCACTAGAAAGGGTGTATAGCTCAAATTTTCCAATGGGGTTGGCTTTGGCTGTTGAATATTAAATGTTATTAATATTACTGATATAGTTGTAATACCCATATTATTACTTACTTTTGACAAAGATGCGGTAGAATTCTTTCTCGGATTGCACGTCCGTCACTTCGAGATCAAGCGTAGTCTTCGAGCTCTTGTAGTCCCTCTCGATGGTGGTCAGCAACTCCAGTTTTATTAACGGTAAGAAAGTCCTGCCAAAAAAATATAAAAAAAATATGTATAAGCTTATGTTCCTTTTTTAAAAGCCAGTTTTAAATTTACTTTCTGTAATGCTGAAGGCTTTCGAAATCGGAGGGGATGGGCATCAAGACATCTGTTTTAGCTACAGCGTCCACGCTGCCATGCTTCAGCCACTGATTGGCCCACGTGAGAATGGTCCGCTTGTGGTGGAGGATGTCGTTCACCACTTGGTTTCCCTTGAGGGTCCATTCGCGTCGCTCGATATACGTGCTGAGACATATCTTTAAAGTATCCTTGCTTTTCCGCACCGGCTTATTGGCTCCACAGACCCTATCGATATACTTAATTTCGTCTTCTCCATCGCGGAAACGTACGTGCCTTCTCTGCTTTTCCATTTTCTTAGCATCTTCGGCTCGTTGGCGGTAACGTTCCATATCAGCGAAGTTGACACGATTGCATGTGCGCTGATTCCTAGCCTCCTGCGCGTCTTTTCGCTCCGGAGGACGAGAACAATGGGGCTGTGGATAATTTTCTAGATCGTCCGTTTCGATGGTGGAACGTCGCTGGGGAATCGGATTCTTAGCAGGCGGTGTCCGTTGTTGGGGTTTCTCCACATTCTTTGCTATTTTGGCTGGAGGTCCTCTATCGATCTCTTTGGTAAGGAATTCACCGCGATTTGTGTTGCTTATGGTGGGCACACTGGTGCAGTATTTCCTTTTACTTGCGCTCGAGGTGGAGGGGATATTCTCCTCATCTTTGGGTTTATCAGAAAGCTTCTTCAGAGCCTCTCGTCGTTTCTCCTTGATCTCTTGGTCATCCTTTTTCTTATCTTTTGGTTTCTGGTGCCACTTGGCGTTTATTTCGGCTTGGTAATCAACAAAGCGCTGGCGATCAATAACCCTCTGCTTACGATTTTTTGACATAAATGGAGCCTCGATTATGGCAGGACCGCGGGCTTCGTTAAGGGCTGGCGAATTATCCTTAATATTCTTAATAATATTATCCGTTTGGTCTATAAAACATGACTTTGATCGGTTTAGTAGCCGAGGGCTTACGCCCTTCTTGACTGGAGTTACATTTTCAACTGTATCCTCTTTCCTTGGTGTAACGCTATTCCTATTATTTTTGGTTTCCTTAGCTTTCCCTTTAATTTCTTCACGGGAATTGTTGGTTTTGTTGGACTTATTCCCCTCGGAATTCTTTGGTGGCGTCTTCTGCTTCTCTTTCGAAGCGTGACAATCTTTTTCGATTGATTTGTGGCGCTTCCTAGTCCGAGATTCTTTCTGCTTATCTTGTTTATCTTCATTGGCTTGTTTGCTGCTTAGGGATTCATCCAAGTCTATTGGCCTCTCCATATAGCAAGAACGCGTACGATTTCGTAAGCGAGTGTTTTGACTTTTGGCCTGAGTTTCAGCTGCAGTAGCAGTAGGTTTGTTTTGGTATTTCTTTCTTGGGGAGGTCCTTCTCCCATTCTCTTTAGGCTCCTGAGTGATTTCTTCGCCCTCCTCAGTGGAGTTGATTTCCTTGCGTTTTGTCCTTGGCTTGGCTTTTTTAATTGGGGTTTTCTCTCTTTCCTCAGGAGCGTGCATAGTTACCGGCAAATCTTCGCAGGAATTTCCTACATCTTTGCCCTGATTTTCTTGTATATCTTTGTTTTCAAAGGTTTCATCAATGTCTATTGGTCGCTCCATATAGCAGGATTTAGATCTGTTGCGCAGCCGGGCACTAGGTAGCCGCTTAGACGTCTCTAATTTGTCACCTAACGTCTCTTTTTGGCACTCCTTCGGGGTAATGGGCTTTGGAAGTGAGGAATTATGAGTCCCTGATATTTCATTGGATCCAGAAGTACTATCTGGAATCCCATTTTTCTGATCTGTATCTGAAACAGTCCTCTGGCGACGCGAGAACAACTTAGCATCGTCGGTGTAGTCTTCCTCTCTAGCAAAGGTCTTGGGGGGGTGTAAATGTGAGGGGCTTCGTGTTGTACTGTCCGCTGCAAATAATTTTGATTAAGTTTTTGCTAAAATTAAAAGCTTTAAAAAATATTTACCATTCCAGAGAATCACGTCGTTGTCTTCGTCCTCACTAGAGCTATCGATTAAGAGTGACCTTGGTGGTTTCTTCATTCCAAAACGCGAGTCGGCTTCCTGATCCGAGCCCACGTCTTCAATCAGCGGGTTTACTTGCGTCGTCTTAATGGGATCTGGAGCCTTTTGGCTGAGCAGCTTGTTTGACCAGTCGGCCACTTTGTCGTACAGCTCATCGTCGTCGCTCTCGCTGATAATGATAATGTCATCGTAGTTTACTTGGGACGAAGGCGAAAGTGATTCGCCCCCCATGACATTGGACGATAGAAAGTCTTCCTCGCCATCGCTGAATGCCATTTCAGATTTGATTCCCTGCAGTACAGCTTGTGAAATAGCAAACTGCTCGTCGTACTCGTCTTCCGGTGGAGGCGGTGGCTGCATCACCGTCTTATCAGGCTCCGTATCCAGTTCTATTACGTCGCCGTCGTGGATTTTAGCGCTCGTTGAGGCAGTGCCTCCAGATTTTTTATTCAACTGGTTGTACAGATATGGATTTATATCCATAACGCCACCAAGAATAGCCTCATCCGCTTCGCCAAAGATATTTGTTATCTCCTCGGTGGTCTTGCTCACCAGCTCCTGTTTTACATCGGGAATCTTCGGCAGGTGCAAGTTGGGATGCTTCTCCTGTTCAGTAATATCTTTTTTTATTGAAGCCAACTCGGGAATGCTATACTGCATGGGCATGGTGTCATCATCGTCGTCCGAGGACAGTTCTATCAAATCCTCCTCTTCGGTAACCACTTTCCGCAGCACAAAGATGGGGTAATTGCGCGGAGCGTTAGTGATGTGCCCTTCCACTCCCAGGCTGATGATGGTGCCCTCCACGACTTGTTTACTTGTAGTCTGGTCCTTCATTTTCTGCTCATTGATGAAGACGCCGTTGCTGGTGTTCTATTACGATTTAGACATATAAAAACATATGTACATATGTGTATGTATACTATTCAAAAACACTAGACTTACCATCGACTGCACGAGCACGCCCGCATCGTTTACGGTCATCTTCACATGCACCCGGGACACATAGTCGTAGGGCTGATTTATAATGATCTTGCAGCTGGAGTGGCGACCTATCAGATTCTCCCCCCGACTCAGGACAATGCGATCCCGAGTGGTCACATGCTCTAGGTACCAGCAGCTGCCCATCCTGCCGAATTGAGTCACTTTTCCATGTGAAAATATGCACGCGAATTTGAATGAAAAGAAAACAAATTGCGGGAGTCAACAGTGTGGCCACCGCGGTTAATACTAAAACGCTTTACGACTTGCATGTTGCATCCTGCACAGGCTACCTGCCTACGGCTGACTATAAAAAATACTGAATATAAGTTAGTATATTTCAGTATAAGTGGCACACCATGATATAATGAAATAAGGTGGTCTCGTTGCAAGTTTCATCATGATTGATGCCATAGTTTCTGCCCCTTTTTAGCAAAATTCGCTGTTGTTATTTTCGATGATATTAAGTTAAAGAATTCAAGAATTACATACACAAAGAAAAGCCCGATTAATGGTATGCATGAATGGTAGCAAACTTGAATAGATTGCAATGCCATCACTTGCGTCACCTTGCGTTGGACGCATGATGTGGCATGTGATTTTGTTATTTTTTTAATTTTCTGCAACGGCTGCACTTTTGAGCGCCAAATGTCGAATCAGCAAAATAAAAAAAATGTCCAAATCATTTGCAATAAAAGGGCTTTAGACTTGACCGAAGAACTCCCTGGAAGACAAGAGGAAAACCATGCCAAGCGCCAGTGCACGGAGGGCCTCTTCTGGCCGGACAGCGACGATGAGAGCATCTTTTCCAACGCAAAGCTGGAGGATTTGCTCAGCGGGCGAAAAGATGAGCTCTTCGGGACGCAGGTACAGACAAGCAGCAACATGATGCAGAGCGAGCTGCCGGATGACGGGCTTTTTGGCGACACATCCTTCGCCGACACATCATTGAAGCTGGAACCCGCGGGTACCCGGGCTGCAGCGGACCATGATCAGCAAATTGATCTGTCCGGCGATGCGGACGCCAATGAGGTGTTTAAGAAAATCAACCTAAACGACCTGAGCGTTGCCGAAATGGAGGACATATTCCACGGAGCCGAAGACTTCAGTGAGCCGCTGATGCAAAACACGCAACTTTTCCTGGACGCAGTGGCTTTCAAGGTGCTCCGAACGCCGGAGAAGCTGAATCAGTCGTCGACAAAGGGCGACGAGTCCATGTCCTTTATTTCCAAGTCTGTGCTCGAGGGCATAGTGCAGGGAACGCAGTACGAGACATGCGAAGAGCTTAGGAATCGCTCCATACTCGATCCCGTGAACTGGGAGTCCCAGGCCTTTGCGGATTTCGAGAGGGATAACCAGGAGAGAGACAACTTCCCCAGCAAGGGCGAATTTTATGGCCTGCCGGATAAGGTAAAGAGGATGATATTAGAGCACAAAGGCATCAAGAGTTTATACGGTAAGCAAAGGTAATTACCCATTAATTATTATTTTTCTGAGAACCCACCATTGGGTTTTTTACCTTGCAGAATGGCAGGACGAGTGCCTGAATCTACCTGCTATCAGGCAGCGAAAAAATTTGATCTACGCGCTGCCCACGAGCGGAGGAAAAACCCTTGTGGCCGAGATTCTAATGCTGCGCGAGCTGCTCTGTCGCGAACGCAATGTTCTGTTCATCCTGCCATATGTGTCGATTGTCCAGGAGAAGGTCAGCGCCATGTCGCCGTTTGCCATCGACCTGGACTTTATTGTGGAGGAGTACACGGCGGGAAAGGGCAAATGTCCGCCGCAGCCACGCCGCAAGAGGCGCAGCCTTTTTATTGCTTCAATTGAAAAGGGAGCTGTGCTCATGGACAGCCTGATAGATGTGCAGCGGCCCCATGAGATCGGACTGGTAGTGGTGGACGAGCTGCATTTGATAGGCGAACGGGGACGCGGAGCCACCTTGGAGGCCTTTCTAACCAAGGTGATGTTTCTGAATGGCAAGTAAACAACACCTTGCACGATAACCTTCTTGTTATAGCTTTAGATTTTTCCTTGCAGCAAATATTCAAATTGTCGGAATGAGTGCCACGATAGGCAATCTCAGTGAAATATCCTCGTTTCTCAATGCAGATGTCTACACACGAGGTTTTCGGCCAGTTGAACTGAAGGAGTACATCAAGTGTGGCTCGGACTTGTTAGAAATCAATGCGGCTGGTCAAACGCTGGACGAGATCTTTGTACCCAGTCGCAGCGTCAACTATCCGGTGAGCAAAATTCTTTTTTAAATTTATCCGATTGTATATTGAATTATTATTATTTATTTTTAAATGAATTGCAGTACAGCGAAGCTGTGAAGAAAGCTGATCCCGATCACCTGGCGGGCTTGATCAGCGAATGCGCCCCGGAGCATTGTTGCTTGGTATTTTGTCCCAGCCGCAAGAACTGCGAGAATGTGGCTCTCCTGCTCAGCCGCATTGTGCCCAAGCAAAAGTTTTTCGATCATCGACGCAGCGAAAAAATCGATCTGATGGATGCCCTGGACAAGATGTGTGGGATCCTCAGTCCAGTTCTGGCCAAGACATTGCCCTACGGCATCGCCTATCATCACTCTGGCCTGACGACCGATGAGAGGAAGTACATCGAGACTGCCTACCGCTTCGGTGTGGTCACTGTCATTTGCTGCACCTCCACACTGGCGGCGGGTGTTAATCTGCCGGCCAAGCGGGTGATCATTCGTGCCCCCTATGTGGGCCAAGAGTTTATGACTCTGTGCAAGTACAAGCAAATGGTGGGTCGCGCTGGACGAGCCGGACTGGGTGAGGCGGGTGAGAGCATTCTGATTGCCCAGAGCAAGGACAACCTGCAGGTCGGCCAAATGCTATTCTCACCCATGGACAAGGCGCTAAGTTCGCTGGATCAGCAGGAAGCGGTGGGACTGCAGGTGAGTTGTTAATGTGAATAATATTGAAATATTACATGGAAGAGTTGACCGCTTTGCGGTGGCTAGTTCTCGCTTCCTCTCTACTTTAACAGAAGACTTAGTTTCTCTTATCTTTCGCCTTTGCACTTTTTGAATAACTTGTTTTTGAAGAACAAGTTAAAAACTCCTACCTCATTCAGAAGGTTTTTGTAATTAGATTACATGGACTCTGTCCCTGTTGCTTTCATTTGTTTTAGTTCTTCTGCAGAAGTATATCTTATGATTCTTTTAAATTAAAAAATTTTAAATTATAAAAATGATAAAAAAGTTTATTACGGTTTGTATAAAAAATTTAAATATTTTCTGTTGTCAAAGGCTAATATTTCTTTGCTTGCACTTTCACGTTCTGCCACAAACTGAATTCATAATCGAATGTCAATGCCTTCTACCTCTTTCAAAAAATTTATGATTATTTTGCATTATTTATGTTTATTAGGGCTCTATTGAATAATTGGTTTAGATTTCTGCTAACCTGACATTTTCCATAAAATAACTCGGAAGTTTGGCAATGCTGACTGGACAAAAAATGAATTGAGTGAACATTTTATTGAGTCTACAATTGCATTGAGACTTTGTATTTAGACTTTCTGCAACATGTACCAATGGTGTTGCTTAACAAGCTGCTAGCAACATTTGTCTTTGTTTGGATGTTGTACAACATCTTCCTAGCAACATTTTTCAGCCATCTGCCATCAGCACTTTTTTATTAAGGTTATTATTATTTATTATTATTTATTATTTATTTTATTTTTTATTATTTTAATTATTTAATTAATTGTATTATTAATTTATTAGTTTTATTATTATTTATTATTTAATTATTAGTTTTATTATTCCTCTATTTAAGCAATTGTTTTATTTTAGCGAATAAGTAGCTTTCCTACTTGTTTCACTCATAAAAATTCCACTCTTGCACGAATTTATTTGTGCTATTCAGTCGTCTAGATCTACGTATTCGTTTTAATTTTAATTGATAATTGTAGGGTAGTTTTCCGTTTCAACAAACAAAATAATTAAAAAATTGAAAATTTATTGAATGATAACCATAAAGTGGGTGGTGTTCGATTGTTGGAATTTCACTCTAAAGCAAAGAGTCATGAAGGCAGCACTAAAAATTGTTGTTATTTTAACAATTGTTTATTCCTGGAGATCAGCTGTAAGTTTAATGATTTACGCAGAGATTCCCAATAAGCTAAACCAAACTTGTTTAGGACTCGGTCACCTATAAGCTGACAAATGTAGTCTGTGCCAGCTACAACATATCGTGGGTTAGGATAAACGAGTGTCGCTTGAAGGCGCAACAGGACTGTTTTTCAATTTCAATGCCACCTTCGTCCATCCGGCCAATAACATTACCGTGCATACTCAGATGTTTAAGCGGCTGAGCGGATACAAGCCATTTCTCTACAACAATAAAATCGATGCATGTCGATTCTTAAAGAAGCCCTTCAACGCCTTCAATATTTACATATATAATGTATATAAGCCCTTTTCAAACGTCAATCACTCTTGCCCGCTGAACGTAAGTAAGGTCGATTTTCAAGTCTAATATAATCTTTCGATTGTGCGCTTGAAGGGTGACATTTTGATAAGAGGAATGTATCTAACAACTGAAATAAGGACCCTGCCCTTTCCCACTGGCGAGTATATGGTGAGCCTGGGGTTTTTGTTCTTCGGGAAGCGCCAGTTCGTGACCAACGTTAGCTGGGAATTTATTGAGAATTTAATATGAATGTGCGGTAGAGGAAAACAAAATAATGTATGATGGCATTATCCTATATCTAAACATCCAAAATATATTGTTGTACCTAATTAAAAACAAATAATAAAGGTTGAAATGGTCATAGACATATTGTTCTTTGGATATTAGGAGGATGGATACCATTTTTTATAGTAAAATAATATTAATTTTCTATAAATAAAAACCTATAAATAACTGTGATTCATGTTTTGACTTTGGCTCGTTAACTATTTGCTATTGATTTTTATAATAATGATTAAATACAAAATAAAGGTATATTTATTTTATTTAAACTTTTAAAGTAGTAGTTAAAAATTGTTTTTTATATTTTAGTCTCTGATTCTCAGCGTGATTGGCCTGAACCTGGCGGAGTGTCGTCGGGATTTGAATCGCCTGGTGAATAGCACTCTATTATCTGTGCAGGCCAGCACCCTGGAGGTGGCCGTGGACGACATAGTGCTTCGCATTTTGCGCGAGATGTTCAAGAACAAGGTGCTCCAGGTGACCGAACCATTGGGCAAATCGAAGATCAACTGTTCGGAGATCATAACCACACAGGATGTAAATCAAACTTCTGCTCGTCCTGCCGGCGATCGGCGCCTACTCATTGGTCAGTCCACCCGATTTAAGCTGACCAACCTGGGGCGAGCTGCCTTCAAGGCAGGCATTGATTACAAGCGGGCCAATGCCATCCACAAGGAACTAAGGCATGCTCAACAGCAGCTCATCCTGACGAACTATAGCCACCTGCTGTACCTAATCGTGTGCTTCAACTCAAACGAACGTGGCGATGAGTTGTTCCCGGCCGATGCCAGCATTCTGTTTCAAGTTTACACCTCGCTTCCGCCTGAGTCGCAGGCTCTGTTTAAGCAGCTGGGATTCACAGAAGCCCATGCAGCCAGACTGTTCAAGAAGCAGTCGGTCCAGGGCCCACTGTCCCTGCAGCTGAACCGCCTGTACAAGGTGCTCATCCTGTCTGATATTCTGGATCTTCTGCCGCTGCCCAATGTGGCCACTAAATACAACGTTGAGCGCGGAACTCTGCAGCACCTAATAAGCCAATCAATCGCCGCCTCCAGCGCCATTGTTCGACTGTGCGAGGAGCTGGAGGAGTTCTGGTGCTACAAGCCCTTGTTCGAGCGTATCCTTCACAAAATGGACCGATGTGGCACCTTGGAACTGGAGCCGCTAATGGAGCTGCCAGGCGTTAAAATTGTAAGTTAAAAGGAATAATCTTTGAATTTTGCATAATGATATCATATTCCCAAACCAGAATCGCGCCAAGCAATTGTATGCCGCAGGATTCAAAAGCATTGAGGACCTGGCCAGGATAAGACCCATGCTGCTGGTGCAATCAGTGGAGCATATGCCTCTCAGGGTGGCCACGGAAATAGTCTCTGCAGCTAAGGTGAATATTGTTTTATTAGAATTTAATTTAAATTAATAACCTCACTCTGTAATTGACTTGTTTCAGATAATTTTAATGAAAAAGCTTGACCATTTGGAGGAGGAAACTGAGAATCTGAAGGTCTGCCTGCAATCCTCCAGCAAAGATTAGTGCAAGAACTAGTTTAATTAGGTTTTTTTCATATATTTATTTCAGTTTTTGTTTGTTTTATGTTATATGCACTCCGACTTAAGTCTTGGATCTGTCGATCTCCGGACAAGGCTTAAATATTACAGACAATTTTTTGTGCAAATTGCAATTTAAAATTAATTGAATTCCTTCTGTTCTGTTCTGCTGATTTGATTCTTGATTTGGCGGAGATAAACGTGGAGGAGGAGGCTGTGTTAGTTAGTTTCATAAACTACTAGATACGAGCTAGCAGACAAATTCGCAAGCTGCTACTATCACGACATTTGAGTATTATACAACGTATATATTAAGTTGAAAGGTTCGGGACATGACATGCCTTGAGCTGTGAAAAGTAACTTTAAGCTTTAACTTTATTGCCAATTTGTATTTTAATTAAGGAATCACTAAGCTTCTTTTCATCAAATGAAAGGCAATAATGTCCCGAACCTTTTTGAATTACGAGTAGGTTTTTTTTGCGGCTAAACAACTAAGGGTAGAGACAGATTTGTTTAAGAAGTTGCAGGAGCCGTGCACCGAATGGAACTCTCCTTGTGTGTGTTGGGGGAAAACTTATTTACAGCTGAAGAAACTGCAAGAAACAAAATATCATATTCCTTATCAAGAAATTCGATTCTTAAATCAAAGGAGCAAACCACTCACCTTATTACACGCGAACTATTTAGTAGGCAAAGTCGTCGTAGAAATGCTGGGCAATCCGTCCGCCCGCCGCCGCCGCCGGCTGGTAACTCCGGCTCACTCCGGTTGCTCCTCCGCCGCCGCCTGCTCCTCCGGCAGCAGCGTATTCGAGTCGATGTGGACGCGCGGCTTGCGCCGGGACAATAGCCCGCCGGCGTATATCTGTCGACGAGAAATAGGAATCACTATGATAGTTCGCTGGCTGCGATTGAGATGCGGATGCGGGTGCGGATGCAGGTGCGGATGCTGAAGCTGAAGCGGATGTTGGTGATTGATACGCTGCTGGCTGATAGGCGAATGGATTGTATGCACTGGCATACTGCCGCTGCTGTTGCTGCTGCTGCTGCTGGTATGGAAGCTGATGCGGATGTGGATGCGTATTGGTATGCGGATGCTGGGGCGAGAGCGGTTTCAGAGTGGGGTCGAGAGCATCGTTCAGCGTCACATCGTAGTCATTCTCGTAAAGCTCGTCGAGATTTAGCTTGGGACGCGGTTGCTCCACTCGCTTGGACGTAGCCGGCAGAGCACTGCGCGGCGGGAGAGTGGTCCTTGGCGGACTGGGAGACGGAGGTGGCTCCACCTCGTCGTCATCTTCGTCGCTGTCGGGCCGTCCCCTCAGCAAGGGAGCACCGTGCTCGAGCAGACGCACACCGGAAATGGTGGAGCCCATGTCGATGGGCGTGCTATCCGTGGTGGGCAATGGTTTCAATGCTACTCCCACCGGCTGAAGGCCACGGGGCAGATAGGGACTTCCGCCCCTGGAGGGCAGGAAGGGTCGCTTGACCACACGTACCGATGAGGGACGCTGCGACTTTCCAATGCCCGCCGTTCGCGCGTTGAGTGAGTTTACTCTCGTTCTGGGCGCCGGTGCCTCCTCCTCGACATGCTCCACTGGCTGCTCCTGGTGTTCCAAGTCTTCTTCCTCCTCCACGATCGGCTGACGAGGACGGGGTGGCACCGTTGGCTTCCTGGTGGTGGTAGTGGTCTTAGCCCTCAGTCTTTGATTTCTCGCTGGAGCGGCTGTGGAGACAGGCGCTGGACTCTCCTCGTAGTCCTCGTCCTCGAAGTCCACATCTGCTGCTGGGGCACGGGATCTGGGAGCCAAGGGACGCTTGCGCTTCCTCACCGGCTCCTGATGCTCCGCGGGCTCATAGTAATCGTCCTCCAACGGCTTCTTATCGGTCACGGGCTTCCGCAGAGTGGTTCTCGTGGGCTTCTGCTCCGCACGCGGTGCTGGAGTCCGTCTCCTGGGTGTGTTCCTGGCTGGCGGTTGCTCGTAGTCCTCCTCCGCCTGCTCCTCGGGGTAATCCTCCTCCTCTTGGCCACTGCTGGATGGGGCTGGGGTGGTGGCTGTGCCCTTTTGCACTGGATATGAGTACTTTTTCTTCTCGTTGATGGGAACGGGACGCGCTATCCTGGGAGGAGCCCGCGGACGGGCATAAACGGAGGCAGCTGCCGCCTTAGGCGTGATGAATTCACTCAGTGGCTTCGGGGTTGTCTTCACCTTCTGGGGTGTCTGCTCTTCGGCCGCTTCCTCTTGATCTACCCCTCCGTATGGCTTCTCGTACTCATCCAGCTCATCCAAAGCGGACGATGGGGTGGTTCTCTGCTTCTCAACGCGCCTCCTTCCCAGCGGCCTATCGTCATTGAAGCTGCGTCGCTCGTCCACGCGTCCTGGCTTCCTAGGAGACACCTTGCGTCCCGCTGGTCCTGAAGTGGATTTACCTCTTTGCCTCTTGTTGGGTCGCTCATCGTAGTCCTCCTCCAGGGTCTCCTCCTCATCCCGGTAGCGGTTTCTGTTGCGTCTGTTTGGCTTCTCCGCCTCCGCTCGCTTCTCGTCGTACTCATCGTCGTAATCCAACTCCACTGGAGGCTTTCTCGGACGCGGTCGCTGCTTTTGCCGCCTTATGGGACGCTCTTCGTAGTAGTCATCCTCGTACTGATCCTGCTCCTCGTAGTAGTAGTCGTCGATGGGTCGGCGGTTGTAGGGTCGCCTCAGTGGACGCTGCGGTCTCTGGGGCCGACGACGCGGTGCCGAGGGCTGGGTGGGTGGCGGTGGCGTAGTTGTGGTGCTCGTGGATGTGGTGGTGGTGGCCATGTACAGCTCATCGTTTCTGGGGGGTTAGGAAAGCAGGGTTAAATATGCTTAATATTCAAATAAATGTGCTAAATTAATATATTAAAATCAGCTTATATTTCTAGCGTTGTGTTTTAATTAATATATTATTTAGTAATAGAAAAACACCAGTAGAAAATTGAAAATGTATTGATTATCATGAGAATCTTCTTAATTTGTATACCCTTGCAGAGCATTATAATTTTAGTCAGAAGCTTCTAAAGCAGTGAAGGAGTCATTTCCGACCCTATAAATCATATATATTCTTGATCAGCATCAACAGGCGAGTCTTTCTAGACATGTTTAAAAGAAATTAATTTTTTTTTAATTTTTTCAAAATTTGATAAGGGGTTACATCATTAAAATTTACAAAATTTGACAAAAATTTTGATTTCTTAAAAATTTTAAACGTAGTAATCTGATTTATTAACCTATTAAAAACTAGCATAGAAATGCTTTCAGAATCGAATTTGATGCATTTTTTACTTGGCTATGATGTTTTTAAGTCAGAAGCATTTTAGGCTTAGTTAATATATTTGTTTATCCTTCTTAATAAGTCAGTTACAAACTGCAAGGGTTTACAAACTTCGTCTTGTTGTAATAAAAAATAAAATAAATATTTAAAATAATCTTTACTTTGATTGAAAGACCCACCACCTCTTTTAAAGCAATTTGCTTTTACCGATTGAATATTCAATAGATGGTGCAAAACAGATAATGATTTGACCTCTGCGAGTGGGGGCTTCCCCGGGAAGCTCTTTTACCTGTTCCAGTATTTCTGGGATCCCTCGCAGTCCACGTCGGAGGCAAAGTGGCAGATGAAGGTGCGCTGATCGAAGGCCGTGAAGTTGGCGCACAGAAAGTCGTGCCTGATGCCGTAGACACAGTGGTGGTAGATCTGCAACGAGTCCGAACTCTGGTTAATCACATTTTGGCCATAACTAATCCGCTCGGTTAGACATAGTTTAGCGCTTCTCTTTGCCCGCTTTTGGGGTCAAGATCGAGGCGCAAACAAGTTTTGTATGTTTCTTTTTTTTTTTGACGTCACGTCGGCAGACGACAAAAAAAAAAAAAAGAAATTGCTGGACATGCACATAGGGTTGGGCTCGGTTTGGTGACCAATTGTGTTACGTTTCCATTAGGCCAGACAAGGTCACGTTGCTGCTCACCTGGCACTTGTACTCGATGGAGGCATAGAAGCCGTCGTGCAGGCCCTCGCACTTAAAGTGGATCTCGTCCATGGGTGGCACGGTGGACAGGAAGGGATAAGTGGATAGGTTGTAGCTGCGAAGCAAGAACGAAAAGTAAATTAACATTACCTAATCTTAATATCTTGAATATTCTCTTAAAGCATAGCTTACCCCCTCAGCTCCCTGGGCAGATTGGGATCCCAGATGTAATCGATTTGTGGGATGCCTGTCAGCTTGGAGTTCTTCGACAGAGTGCCATTGTCCGACTAAAATGAAGGATTCCACCCAAATGAGCAAGACATGTTAAAGTCTCTATAAAACCATTTCTCACCTTGTTGCTGTCACCGCCCTCGCTGGTGGGCACTGACTGCTCCTCCTCCAGTTCCTCTTCCTCGGCAGCTGCGGCGGCCTCTGTTGTCGTTGATGTGCTGGTTGTGGTGCTGCTGGTGGAGGCGGGTGTCTTGGCAATGGATACCTTCTTGAAGGGCAGGGCGGCATCTGTGGAGGCCAACAGGCTCAGTAGCAGCACTGCGTCCACCAAAAGGTAAATGAAATTTCAATTAATTAAAAGCTTCACGGCTGCCAAGGAGTTGCATAACCCGGCCAGGATTGGGATTATGTCACGGTCCGGTTCGGGGAAACGTTTAAGTGGCTTTTTGGGTTTTCATTTCAGTGTCCTCCGGTACCACTCACCTGTTGCTGTCATTAACAGCCAGCCTTTGGCTCTTCTCATCTTGTCGGCTTCAGTTCTCTGTTGTTTTTTGGCTCTAACTCCTCTGGCTAACTGAAAGAGTTAAAATATACAAAATATTATGTAAATTGTACATTGGACACACCCCACACACCTCGGCAGAAGATTTATGTTCTGGCAAAGTCGTTGAACGCTTCCCGAGTGAACAACAAAATTTAACAGAAAGAAACCTCTGCGGCATTCTCTGCCCCTTTGAAGGCTTTCAATTGAGTTGTAAGCTCAAGAGTTCTGGATTTTTGGATAATGATTAAATATTCAAGACATGTTCCGCGATTAACGCTACTCTTTGCGTGCTTGTCATTCATTTCGCCGGGGGAGAGTTGGATTAAACAGGAGATGGGGTAAATGTAGGGGAACTGACTGGTGTAGAAATGCATTCCTCCCTAAAATGGTTGTAGAAAGTGTTCTTGGCTATAGTTCCTAGTTTGGTAAGCTTTTCAGTTTTGTTTTCTTGGGAGTTTTACCTAAGGGAAATCAGTGAAATTTTACTGGGAAAAGTAAAAATGGGAACTTTTTATAAGCAAACAACAGCAGGTAAAATATGCAAAATAAAACAATATTTGGCTATAAAATGTATATTTATATGTTGGAAATGTCTAATTTAAGGCCTTATAATAAAGGTTTTAATATTGCTGTTGCTCATAAAGTATTTAATACAAATTTTCGTCTTAAATTTTTGATTTGCTTTTTTTTGAAGAAATTATCGCTCGATTCGAGCAAACTAAACATCATTTCCATTCACTACTAAGCGATCAATTAACTAAATAAAATCGGTACTCATTTCGCGCACACACTCATTGTGCGCAGAGCCTTAATCAGCTTCACTTTCCGATTTCCGTCTCTCGGGTGTCGGGTAATTGCATAATTAGCTTTGGCAGCCTTCAATGTCACTTTGGTTTTCGGTCGCTCGGTGGCTCGGCGGCCTCACTTACGTAAGGAGAGCGATCGCGAACGCGATCGGTTGGGCGAAATTGAAAGGGTGGCACCAGCACCAGCAGCAGCAGTAGCCGCAAATAAATAAATAAATACTGTGGCCACATAATAAACACAATGCATAATAACTATAACAAATTGAAAAGCGAACGAGTACAAACTTTCCTTTCCCAATGCGTTTGTTGAAAAATTAAATGCAAAACGCTTGGATTCGAAAAGATCATTGGAGCATTGTAATTTGGCAATGCAGTTGGTTTCTCTCCCGCAAAAGTAATTTTATTGTGCATTGTTTGGCTGGCGCACGGGGCGTATACTTGATGGGCCATTAGGATTGGCTAGGAAGCTCCTCGCCCATGAGTTCAAAGATTCAAAGCCGTTCACACCCAGTTTTTGTGTGTTTTACCAAAAAGTGTGTCGTGCATTTTAAGTGGTGATTTGATTGGATTTGATTTGATGTCTCCCCGCCAGTCCCATTGAGTGTTTTGCCATTCTGTTTGTCTTTTTGACATTTGGCGGGACTGAGTGGGTCGAGTGCGGAGATAAATATCCAAGTAAAAATATGATAATCGTTTTTGTTTCGACAGAGATAACAATTTTGATGGAAATGAGTTTGAGTTCCTCAAATGTCAAAGGGTTCTTGAAGAATTTAAAAGGTATATGGTTAAGATTTTTACTTATAGTAATAATGAGATATTGTTATCTTTATTTAATTGCGTTCTTTGTTCAATTGTTGTTATTTATCTTCACAACTAGGGACTTTTTCAATTGAGTCTAGAGCTTTTTTTGTTTAGAGTTCTGAACGGGTTTTATTTATAAAAAAAGTAAGTCATTTATACATTTCTTATTCTTGGGAGTTATTTATTTTATGCTTGAAAAAGCAAGCTTAATTACTCTACTGATTCTTATCCAAGTCAATTTATTTAATTCATTATTTTATGGCTTTAAAGATAGTGTCACACAATTTACTATACATAATTATATAATTGTTTTCTTAAAAATTTAAATTTAAAATTTGTGTTCTAAGCATTTCAGAATTAGTAGATTTCTTGCTTCCAGAAGTTTGATTTTATTTATAATATTTCTTTGATATACTGCTGTGGACTTTCAGTTAATATTTAAATATTTAGAAGCTTAGTAATTTTTAAAATAAATAAAGTTTGTCTTGGAGGAGATTTGCAATATTTTTGGGGTATTTGATTGATTCTATAGAATTATCCCAAAAATAGGCAACCACGTGTTAGAACTTACTCAGCACTTTTATAAAAATTCTCTTAAACTGCCTAAGCTCATTATTAAAATGCAAATATTCCCGTGTCATGACTACCTAAAAAACCCACACATGATCACCGAGGCCTGCCACATCCATCAACTTCTGTTCAGTTTTTCCCATTTGTGTGTACACAGAGCCTGCCCATTTCCATTTCCAAGTCTACGGCTGAAAGCTAAGGTCAGCTTAGCCATCAGGTGTCTTCGGAAATTGGTGATAAATTGCCGTGTGCTAAACAAAGCTAATTTATGGCTCCGCTTTTTGTTTAAAGTCTCGAATTTAGTGCAGAGCATTGTACGCAAATGAAATATGAACTTAATAATTTCTGGCATCTAATCGCTTACAGCCCACGGAGAAATCAGAAATCAGAAATCGGAGAGTCGGGGCAATAAATGATGTCTCGAAAAGTCGATATGCCTAGCAGGCCAGGCCTTATACATGTATTGTCTCTTGGCCAAGTTCAAATTCAAGGCTAAGCACGATGATGACAAATACCGGCAAGTTGTGGCTGTTGTTGTTTTATTTTTTGTATGCCTTTGTTTTGGAATTAATTGATGAATCTTTAGACGTGTCCGACTGCAGCAAACAAAATAATAACAATAAACGGAAACACAATAATGAGTTAAACAATAAAATTTAGATCAGGTTTAGGATTCGTCTAGAGGGGCTTTGAAATTTATATGATTTTTTAGTAGAACATTTGCATTAAATATTCATTTTGATGGCTGCTAACTTGTTGGAGGCTTTTCCTTGAGTTTTTGCAAATTTTTCCATCTGTTTTCAGCGAATCTGTGACTTTGAATGGGTTTTTTTTTAGACAATAAAAGGCGCCTAGAATTAAAAGCCTCGAAGGTTGCCTTAAGTTCCCCCCACACACAGAGTCACAATGAGCAATTAAATAAAGTTTTATAATTTTGCATTAATTCGTTGTTAGATGCATCATGGCCGTCGTCTGGGGACCAAACTCTCGTTTTCATTTACATCTTGTTTCGTGCATATTTTTCGTATAAATTTCTTCGACGTCAGCGACGGGTTTCTTGATCGAAATTTATAACCCGAGTGAGTAGCTACAAACCCGATCCGGTTGCTCGATAGAAGCAGAAGTCGGTGACAACTTTTTTCGCCGTCTTTTCGGTCTGCCATCATCTCTCTGTCCAGCTGCTGGCCAATACAAGTTGCTAGTTGTCACAAGAAATTAGCATCTCCATGGTGTGTTATGCGATCTTGTCTTTTGGTACTTTCAAGGTCGCCTTTTTGCGGTTTATTGGTGCAGTGCAGAGACTCACAAAAGAAACAATAAATAAATAAAGGGAATTTCGAGGTACCCACTGGCACCAAAAAAAACTAAAAAATGTTTATAGTTTTTACGGCTCACCTGCCCTAATCGTCGTTTATTTTTATGAATTTATGAATTAATAATTCACTCGACTCAGGTTACTGGTTCACAGGAAGGGGAAGCTAGTTCTTAAAGAGTTAATTAAAATCATCGGAGCATAAAAACTAATTTTTGCCTTAGTTTATTTATTTGCCATATGGCTAACGGAAATAGCTGACGTTGTTTAAGTATTTAGTATACTTCTTGGAAGCCTTGATAAATATTAATTACATTTCTGGGAAAGGCTTTGTATTTTGCTGCTCAATTTGTTGTGTTTTTTTAATGTTTTTGGGGTTTTTAGAGCCGTACGAACTTTGAATTAATTTAATTTGTGGAATGACAAATGAAAGAACCCTTGATAAATATTTATAAGGTAGCTGAGAAAATAGTTAACACGCGTTTTTAAGTACTTTATTTATTTATTTATTAAAAGCTAACAGTTGGGGAAAACTAAATGTTATTTTAATAATTTAAATTCATTAGCTACTGTGTACTTTAATATTGTTTACTTTCCGAAAACTCTTTATAAATCATTTTCTATCTTATATTTTCCATATTTTCTGTCACTTATCATCTTTTATCAAAGGAAATTTCTCCTACTTTTAATTGCTATAATCTCTCATATCTGTAACCTAAATCTGCCACAAGTTGGACTCCATTAGGAGTTTTTCTCAATTTTATTTTGTATTTTTTTTTGCATCTGACAACAGCATCTTCATGTCTCCAAGTCGTTGGCAGCAGGAGAAAACCGAGTTTCCTTTTCAGCCACACTTAAATCCAAATCAATTTGTGTTTGTTTTATTTTTAAGTTTTGTAGTTATATAGTTGTTGTTTTTTTGCATTTACCAAAGCTCTTCGGCAAATAGGTTTTATCGCCCATTCCGGTTGGCCAACTTTTAGACTCTGACCTGAACTCTTATGGAGTTCAGTTCCCAGACACAGACACTCGAGAGAAGCCCACAGAAATTATTATTTAACTTCTACCAACACCCCAGGGACAATTAAGCAAATATATTATTGTTAAATTTCTTAATTGTGGAAAACTGTGGGCAACGAAATGGAGAGTGAAAAGCGCCAAAATAAAACGTTTCAGCCGCAAGATGGATGAAAGTAAAATTTCAAAACTTCAGTTGTTGCTGTGCCTGCCAGTCTGTCTGCTGCTGCTGCTGTTGCTGTTGCTGCTGCGTTGATGATGAAAGTAAAATCTTGGCTCAGTTATGTTGGCCATATTCGCCGATGCCTCGGTGTTGGTTGCTGCTGTTGTTCGCTGAAGATGCGCAAACAATTTGAACATCTCTTCGCACAAACACCGATAGAAACTGTAACTGCAGATGTCTGGGGAGGGCGGGGGTGGTGTCTTTGTGGCCAAAAGGGGGGGTTCGGACTCTCAAGGGGGTGCTTGGTTTGGTCCAACAATATACAAGGCGCAGAGAAATAATTAGCAACGCCTGAGATCATTTTTGTGTTTGCAAAACGCTCTTTTGGCCATGAGCGGTGGGTATTGCTACACCGCAAAAATTTCACTTGAAATGTTATAAGATTTTAACACGTTATCACTTAATAAATATGTTATCTTATCTATGAAAAGTTTTTTTTTAGATTTAGATATAAATATTTTTTCCTTAATTTTAAAAGGTTAAGGAAGAAATTGTAATGATTTTTTCAAAAGTAATACGAATTTTTATTGAGAAAATATATTAATATATAATCATTCAACAAGTTTAAAGAAATGTATTTAGTTTTTAAATGATCATCATTCAACAAGTTTAAAGAAATGTATTTAGTTTTTAACATTGGTCAATCCATGGAATAGGATTTACATTTTATGAAAAACGCTGTCTTATGTTTTCTTTTATTTTTTATAATATTTATAAGAATGTTTACTCATTAAATATATTCTTTATTAAGACCCTCAATGTTTTAAAAAAAGAATAGGATAAAAGGCTTCAAACAGAGGCTATAAGAAAGCAATTCTTATATTTTTCATATTATTTAGAATAATCATAAATCTTCTACCATTTTCTTCAAAAAAAACTTAAATTTTTTTCTGTGTAACCCCAAAAATAAGGGCAAGGGCTTAAAGGAGGCGTTTTGCACCAAGTAAAGGTGTTTGACTTGCAGATAAGCTCTAAACTTAATGCAAATTTTTGGTCTTACCTCTTTGCAGGCGGTCAAAATGTTGCTTTGTATAATCCACTAAAGGGTTTATCGTTTTCGCATTCGTTTTATTGGCGTATGCAGATTTTTGTTGAATTTTTCCAGCTGATTTTTGTGTTAATTTTAATGTGTTTCCTAAATGAACAATAAAGATTTAGCCTCATAAAAGAGTTGGCACTCACACAAGCCCAAGCGATCTCACACGCAAAATCACACAAAGGCAAAAGTCATTTATGTTTTTCCTTTTCTTTATGCTATTTTTTTTTGCACTTGTATTAAGTTGCTGCAGTTTTTCTTTGACTGAGCGTGTGTGTGTATTGGTGAGCGTGTGCGCTTGTGTTAGTGCACTTGTGGAAATTTTTATCGTTGTTTGGATGATTTTGTAACTGCCTTTGCGGTTACTTTGATTTAATCCACAGAAAAAAGGCTTTAGCCCTGGCTATATTCTATGCGTTCCATTCACTATTATTTCTTGGACACTTAAGAGACACTTGATACAACATATTTCGATTGATTTTCTGTGGATTTTTCCATATATTTCGATCACTTTTTATATAATTTGTCCAACTCTCTCACGCACAGAGAGATGCCCGCCGTCCATATATGTGTATATTTATTTATATATGCACCGATCGGTTCGGATGGGATCGCCACGCCCACTCACTCAGTGCCCAGGTGTGCTGGCTGCCGTTCACCTGGCTGACCGCTTGCAGACTGAAATTGCAGATCGTGTATTGGCCAACTCGCAGCAGTTGGCACAAACTGGGAGTTCGGCTGGCTTGTGTCTTTTGGCTTTTCGGATTGTCTTTGGGCCTGGCTTTGGCTCTGCCTTTGCCCACAAAAGCTCCTCAGCTCGGCGCTCGCTAATTTTGGTCCGTCTGCGCCTCTGAAAACGGGTTTATTGCCGCTTCGACGACGCTTACCACTTGCCGAAGCCGCTCCGCGATGCCTTGCGCATGCGCGGCACGTTGTCACCGAGCAGCAGAGAGCAGCAGAGAAATCCGTACTCCGGAGCTCCAGACCCGGAGAGCCGGAGCCCGAGCTGAGCTTTTCACGTCTTGCTTTTCCTCTGCCAGCATTCTGCAATCGGAGCTTGTGTCTTTGGTGGCTTTAACTTTGACTTTGCCCTGACTTTGCCTTTGTCTTTGGCTGACTTTGCTCTGCATTTTGAGCTTGGGCTGCTTGATAATCGTGCTTAACAGGTTTATTGATTAAGATTTTTTCAGACGTTTTGCTATGCTTCTTGCAAAATATTGGAAAAATGTAACAGAAATTAGTATGAGCTTATCAGAGAAGGTGGGGAATAACATATAAGGAGTTTATTTATATTTTAAAATTATCTCTGTTATTTAAATATGTTATATTTATAAACTAGATATATTTAAATATTAAATAAATTTGTTAAATAATTTCTAGAATTATTGGAAAATGTTTAATTGTCAGAATATTAAGAAAATAATTTTTGTATTATTCCTAATTTTTAAATAAGAATAAAAAACATTTATTTTAATTTATTAATTATTATTTAAATTATTATAATAATGTCCTGTAATTTTGTATATTTTTTAAACAACGTAAAAATTTAAAAAATAAAATAATACGTGGAATAAGCTTTAAAATACTGTATTATTACAATAATTTATTTTTATTTATATTGGAGGTTAATATTATGATTTTATATATAGATTTGGATATTTTATTGAACTATAAAAATAAAAATATATACAATTTTTGCTCCAATTTAAGCTAAAAATAAAAAAAAACATTTTATTCCAGTAATTTCCTTTACCTTAACTTTAAATAGCCGTCTTATAATAAAGTTGCTACTATTTATCAACGAAAGTTATATTTCCTTTTATAATTAACCACTTCCGATTAAAAATCCATGCTTTTTGTGGCCTTTTCCCATTACTTAACATAGCTTGATCGTGATCCATTATCGATTTACCAACTAATATGCCTGTGTGCATTGTTTATTTTTAGTGCCTTAAATGCTTTTCCTTCTGCTTTCCTACCCAGCTGACCGCAATGACATAATGGTAACAATAACACAACCAAATTACGGTTACAGTTCAATTAATGAACCGCGTTTCGGGCCAAAACAAACGAACCAACGAACCAACGAGCGAACTCGGGCCATCTGCCAACGCATTAGTCACACACACAGAAATTATTTAAACGCCTCATGAATTATTGCGCATACGCCGCGTGGTTCGCTCGTTTGCTGGTTCGCTCGCCCGTTCGCCCGTTCGAGTGCCTCGCTCCGTTTGGCAATTAAATGCTAGCCACTGTAGTTGGTCAAGACTGCACTTCCAGCTGGATTCCATTGACCGAAAACCCACAGATCGAAATTCAATTCGAATGCAAAATAATGCAAAACATTTCGCGGCTCTCATCATAATGGAATCAATCAAGCCCCGTTCACAGCGGCTTATGGAATATATTGCTGCCTTTATTACGTCACAAAGTATAGCAGCTTTAAGTACATAGAAAGAAATTATATAATGTTGAAATTAAAAGTTTAGAGTAGATTTATTGTAGTAAAATAAATATATAGGCTCTTCAATGGTGTTATTTTTTGTAAATTTTTTTTTATAAGCAATAATGGATATATAGTTTCATATTTATTAAGATTTTTGATAGCTCAATTTTTTTCTCTCAGCGCAATGGCAGTAGCAACAGCATTAATAGTAATAATGCTGCACTGCATCTGCGCTGCGGTTCCGTATGTGAAAGTTGAATTTAAGCACTAAACCCAACTGGAGCGAACTGAACTGAACTCAACTTGCCGCTTAGGCTGCAACTGTCTGCGTATTCAAATTGGAACAGAGCCGGGCTTAAAATCTTAAGTAGTATTAGTATCTGTATCTGTAGCATGCGGAATTGTCGAGTGCTTTATCGCTAACGGCGTGTGCCTTACATCTCACATCTAGTTACATTCAAATACGGAGACCCCTTGGGTGACACTAGGTAACAAGGTTTTGGAATACAACAAAAATAGAAATAAATAAATAACAAAAATATAAATTTAAATACATATTTTTAAAATTAAATAATCATAAGATAATGACACATTTTTAATTAGTATAACTAAAATAGACACTTAAATTAATCGAATTTTAAATTGAAATAAATTCCAAAGATAAAGTATATTCAAGTTGTTTTATTTAAAAAATTTAAATGTTTTTGAAAGTTTAATTTTGAATAGTAAAAGTGAATAGAAAATATACATACAAAATTTATGTACATAATAACTCGAGCTTGTTCTAAATATTATGAAAAACTATAGCAAACAAAAGGAAATGCCCATGAAAAAACCTTTAAAAATAATCTAAATAAATACTATATATTTTGTTTAATTTGTAATACCTTCAAGACTTTATTTTTTGTTGCCTAGTGCTATATCTGTGCCGTGGACTATCTGTGTATGAGAATGAGAGCACCGTGTCGCCCGGCTCTGGATCAGTGTGCGTTGGCGACTGTCAGTGTGTGAGTGTTTTGTGTGGGTCGAACGGTTTGTTGAACCGGTATTCCACATTTGTTGCAGGTACCACACACCAACAAAATAAGTCACAAAAAAAAGCAACAAGAGTCGGCACAACGTGTTGTAACTACTACTTAACTGGTCGACTAAGCACCGACCAGCAACAATCCAGCGATCAATAGATCCAAACTGTGATCGCTCGAGTTATGCCAGCTGATAAAACGAGCAATTTGTTAAAAAATATTGTTTTTTTTCGGAGAGGGGCTGTCCGTGATAACTATGCCAAATTGGCAAGGAAATGCTGCGATGAAAATAAATTATTAAAGTTTTACGAGTCTTTGAGTCTGAGGTATTTTAATATTACTTAATAAAACTATTTTATAATATTAATAATTTTAATTGTTCAATTATTCGATTTGATTAATAAATTACCAAATATTAAAAGTCTTAGATTTAATTTAAGCTTAAAGGAAAATATTTCAATTAGTCAGGGAAATGCTTTAAATGAATATAAAGAAAGAATGATATAACCTAATCTACATATAAGCTCTTGTAAAACTTAATTATAAGAAATTTATTCATGTAGAAGCAATATTTTATATAAAAGGTATAGTTAATACAATTATTATTTAGTAGAAACTATAATTTTAATAAGACATAAAATATACAACAAAAAACTTGTAGATTGGTATGATAGAAAATTAAATTAAAAGCAAAATATAAGGCTTGACTCTTTATTTTTTGAAGAAATGTATTTCATTTTGCTGATAATATATTCCAATAAAAAATTTCGTCCAAAAAGTAAACATTTTTACTCCTCATTATTATTCTTAACAATATTTTTGTACAGTCAAAGCTAATGAACTTAAGAATAATAATTATTAATGTATCTTACCTGAGGCTTTTTAATTTCTCTTTATAAATATATAATAAGCAGTATAAATAAATAAAATGGAAAAAAGGTGGTAATATCTTTCTATATATATAATATAATAACATTTTAATAAATAAATTCCTTTCTTCTGACAAACTCTGTGGATTTCTTTTCTTTTTCATTCCTTTATTTCAAATGACAATCCCCTGTGATGAATGTCTGTGGTAATAAAGAAACCTTCTTAAGAAGTCTATAAAAAGTATCATTATTACATTTAAATTTCCCTGAGTGCAATTCCAATGTTTATAATGCAATTTCTTGAGGTTTTCTTTGTTGTTGTCAAACTGCCAACTGTGTAATTAGCCCAAATTCGTGGAGACCCCACCCCAATCTGATTTTGAGTCATTCTTATTTGCTTAAGCCAGAGAACCAAACCAAAGGCTATGTAAAATTTAAACAATAATGTTTCCTTCGGTCCCCCTCAATCCCTACAAAAATCAAAAAAGCGGTTCAACTTGTTTTTGTATAGCTCCTTATTGTTATTGTTTATTACATATAAAGATTGTGTTTACTTCGAGACCTTTGCCTTTGTTTTGTTTTGTCGTTTTTTCTTTATTGCCTTTTAGTTTTTATTTTTCTGTTTTTTTTTTCTGTTGTTAAATGCAACTGGTTCGATTGTATCAAAAGTGGTTACATTCTCCTGACGGGGCGGGGGCCTTGAGCTGTGGCTGGCTGAATCGAATTGCAATTCCGCGAATTCAGCTGCTCAATTGACCTTGTCGAGTGTATATTATTGAGTCGATTATAGGATGAAAAAGTTCACCACGAATCGAAACACCTTGCTTAGCGTGCTGTTCGATTCGGGTCGCTCCGGGGACTCCTGCCGCAGCTCGGCGCCGGCCACCAGGTGGGCATCCAGCTCGGCCTCCAGCTCGGCGCCATAACGCAGGATATACCACTCGGCCAGGAAGTAGATGACCAGCGTGATCAAGGCAAACTTGAGGTAGATCTTAAAGATGTCGAACACGTTCAGCAAAAGCTGATGCAGCAGCTCCATTAGGTCCATTATTACGGCCCACGGTACGTATACGTCATGCAGGTAAAAAACACTGAAAAGTAAGGAGAACAGTTTTTGTACTTAAATTTATCAGCATAGTGGGCTAGTGAGCTTAGAAATAAGGTATTGCTTTGGGGTTTAACCTATTATTTCAAGTACCTTGACAGTTTTGCAGTAAATAAAAAAGAAACTAGAGCTTGGATATTTACAAAAATGATTTACTTGTAGCAAGTGTGTATTATATATGGAAGGTTTGAAGTTTAAACTAGAAAATGTATACAAAATATTAGGGTTTATGTAGATAATGATATATGATTTTAACTGGAAGAAGTTTAAGTATTTCAGTAAATATTTGTTTGCTTCAGTTACTTAAAATGTTATAAGACAGCCTAGAATTATTTTTGTAGTAAACAAATTATTGTTTCAGTTACTTTAAATTTTCAAAATTATTAGAATTGTTATAAACAAGACAGAAAGCTTTCTCCAGCACTCTGAAGTTTGTTTACCTCTACAGTTTGCACTTGATTTATTATAAAGGGTACAAAAATATAATAGCTAGGCCAAAAATGCTTCTGGCTTAAATTTATAACATTCTCAAAGGGGTATACAAATTTAAATATTTATCCATCATTTTATAGGCTAATTTTTATTTAATTAGCTAGGTCAAAAAAGCATTAATTTCAATTTGGAAAGCATTTCTATGCTAGTTTTTAATAGGCTAAAAAATCTGTATACTACATTTAAAATTTTAAGAGATCAAAATTTTTGGTTAATTTTTGAGAATTTTGACAATGTAATCCCTTATCAAATTTGACAAAAATTGAAAAAAAATGTATTTCCCTAAGACATGGCTAGAAAGATTTGCCTGTTGATGATGATCAAGAATATATATGGTTTATAGGGCCGGAAATAACTTCTTAAGGGTGTAACAAACTTCTGTCTAAAATTATACAATCCCGAGGGTATAGTACAAATTTGGAAATAAAATATAAAATAAGGTTTTACTTTAAGGAACATTTTTAAAATAGGTTTAACTGCAGTTGAGCGTCTTGTGGCACATTTTTTTCCAAGTATATTTTGCTTGCCAAAGATGTAAGAAAAATATTTGTTTAATCCACAGAGTTGTTACCCCTCAGGTTTACCTGTTCGTCTGCTAGTCGGCCCGTGTGTTGTCGTCGATCGAAGTTTTGCGATTTTGTAAATGAGGTCGTGTTTGGTTTTGGTTGGCTCTATTATGCAATTGCCAGCTCTAGGTCTTCGTGTTGACGATGCACATTTCGCTTTCGGCCGCTGAGTGATGTCGCCTCATTTGCATTGGACTCGAGGCGAGCGGTGTTGATGGCCGCGGCACAAAAGTGCGTGTCTTTCCCGATATATATCTCTCTCAATGGCCAGCCATTGGGCAGGCACCTTAATTATGTTAATATGTGTAGAGCATCCAATCTTTTGTGGTCTTTTCTCTGGGTCTTCCGCCTTTCTTTCGGCCTTTGTCTTTGTCAGACCCCTAAAGTCGCTGCTGCGGCTGCTTTGGCTCCCTGCAAACACGGGCATAAAAACAAATTTCGTTTTAATTTGATTGAAAATTAATTAGAGACTCACAGAAAGATGAACGGGTAAAAAGGGTAAACAAATTGGATTGCGAAAAAGTGGTCCAAAAACTGGAGCACGAGGTGTGACCGAATTGGGAGATCGTATGGAAATCGAATCGGAGGCTTGGGGCAGGTCGGATTACCGTCGCTGGAATTAGCATAGAAAATGGTTTTTGGTCAGATTGAATACTTAATTGAAATAGAGACAAATGGGAGGGCAGGGGGAAACAAGATCGAATTAGTCAGGGTGAACCTTGAATTAGCCGGGGATTTTGTAATAAAATAATAAAATATTTAAAGATCGAGACGAAGAGGGGAAAACATGAGAAGATAAGGCTGAAATAAAACAAGATAAGGTAATCAAATGGTTATGGTTTTTGGCTTGGCATTTTTTAGATTGTTCCCTGTGAAATCGGAACTTAATCAATAAAATATTTAAAAATTATTTAATAATATTTATCTAACAAGAATTATGTTCGCAAGTATTTCCTTTAATACCTTTTTTCTTATAGTTAGTTTAGACTAATTTTTAGTTTTCCTTTAGACTAATTTAAGGCACTTTTGCAGATTTTCCTTTATAAATAATCGGTTTTTACTAATGGTGATTAATATTTATTTTTATTAATAAAACTCAAATTAAGGTTTAAGAAATAAGTAATTACAACAAATATATAATCACAGGTTCATTAACAAAACCATCAATAATTAAGTTAAGGTAATTTTCACACTCTAGCCATTAGGTTAATCAACTTGATGTATCCCAAAATAAATCCATCAAATTTCTTTGCAGCCACATTGACCTTACATTTTGTTCAACAATTTTAACAGGTTAAATTTTAAATTGATCCAAGAGCAGTAACCTACCTCTGTCACCCACTTTGTCTCCCGGTCTGACCCTGATCTCTAAATCCACTTAATTTTTCTTTTTATTAATTCATAATGCTCGTCATTTGGAGGAAGCTTAAAAATATAAATTCAAATGGATCAGAGATCAGTCAACTAATTATGCCACTTTACCTCCCAGATGACCCTGATAATGAACGTTCATCAATTTGTATATGTTTAGGTGCTCATAAGAGTTCAAATCAAACTGGATCATAGATCTGTCACTTTTTGGGAATGATAATGAACTCTACAGGGGAGGAGAATAAATAATAATAAATAAATTAGTATTATATTGTAAATAAAAACGGATGATGTAATTGGCCTCAAAACTATCCATAGTATAGTTCCTGATACTTTTCAATAATTTTTTTTAACTATTTTAAATGCTGTTATTATTATTTTATATTTTAAACAATACTTGTAATATCTACATTTTCCTTACAAAACTTTTCAAATAAATTTCCTTGAAACCCCCTTTATAAGCCACACCCAGTGGTCAGTACCATAGCCTATCCATCAGCGGGCAGATCGACAATTCAAGACAGGCCGCAGTCAAAACCTGGCCGGAGATTGCATCTCTCGTAGTTTTGAATACACTTGACAATCGCTAAACGCAAACCACCGACTTAACCTTACCCACGACTACGAGTTGAGTTGAGATGAGATGAGGCAGTGCTCAAATTCAAACAGAAACTCAAATTCAGAGTCAAACTTGCCTCTTCGGCAACTCGATAATCGCAGCAATTATACTAAGCACACAAATCAACTTCAACTTGAGGGGACCTGTTCCAAAGAGACGCCTCTTGGCTGGAGCTGGAAATGTTTTGCATTAATTTTCAAAACGCATGCGAAAAGACGCAACATATTTATAAGACAGCGGCCAGAAAACCCAAACTGCAGTGGCAAAAATAAAAGAAAACCAGTTGCAGATGCGGATTGCCTTCGCTTTTGCGGGGGATTTTCAGAGGGGGAAAGGAGCATCTTCCTGATGCAAAAATGGCAAATGCTGAAGTTGAACTGTCGCATAAAGTCAGCGTAGTCTCCGGACAGCCCGATTCGGTTTGACAGGTCGTGCAAATGGGCAAGAAGATTTCGCAGAAGCCACCTCTCCACATCCACATCCGATGGAGATGAGTTCCGAGCGCTTGGCTGGTGCGTGGATCTACCGGTTTTGCGAGACCAGACCCAGACACCTTGAGAGACCTTCTGACATTTTGCCGACTCGGTTACCCTGCTTTTTTCTCGGACCCTGGTCACTATTTGGCAAAGCTTTTCAATAAAAAAAAAGAGTTTTGGTGTGCAGCAATTATTACTACAATCAAGCGAAGCAAGCAAAGTGGTTTGGCAATTAAGCAAATTGTTTCTATAAATAATAATAATTATGCAACCTAGGATTTTGTTGAGGTAAGGCTATAAATATGTTTTGAAATTCAATAGACTAGTAGCCAATGGAATGGTAAGAGTGGTATTATTTTTTGTATATAAAGAAATATATATATATAAGTAAACACTAATTTTTAAATATTCCAACTTATTAAATGGGAAATTCTTTAAAATTTCAGGGGATATTTTTCGTTTTAATTGTAACTTGATTTTCGATTGTTAACCATATTTAAAACTAAAATTAAATACCAATTATTAAAAGTAGATACAAAATTGTGAAAAAAGCCTTATAATATCAATAACTCCCTCAATTTAATTTCATTATTTCCCTTAAAATTCCTTTCATTTCAAGAGCATTTAAGCTTCCCCGGACTCGGGCACAAGCTACCCCTTCCTGCCTTCTGGCAAATAAATTTAATTTGCGCAATTTATTGAAGACAATTTCAACATCAAGCCGAGTTAATGAAATAATTTCTTGTTTTGCCCACAACGTTTTCCCCTCTCCCACCACCACCAGCCTCCTCCTCCTCTGGCATCGTCTCATATTTCGGTTCATATTTTGCATGAAATTCGCGTCACATTGTAAATTATTTAGTTGCATATTAATTAGTGGACACTTCCAGCCAAAACCGTAACAAAGCAAAAGTGGGGGAAGGAAAAAAAATATTGTTTAAGCTCCTTACATAATGCAAATGGTGTTAACTTGACTCCAGTTACCAGTTGTGGTTGTCTAACCCATTAAAAAACGTGAACCGAAATTGGGGGGAACGACGCGAATGTGGGTGACCGGCGAGTGAATGGTCAAGTCAAGTCGAGAAAATGAACACTATTTGTGATTTACAGGGCTCACTTTTGGGGGGGGCAAGAGAGGGTTAAGACGAAGAGCTTCAAACAAAACTGTGTCACACTTTGTGCCGCTTTCGGTTAATGACTGAAATTGAAATTGACTTTTAATTAGGTTTCTTGTTTTTGGGGTTTTGGCTTTAGTTTTCATTTTGATTTTGTGTCTTATTTCGGTCAGTTCATTTGCTTAAAGCCCCGATATTTCCGCATCGCAGTCGTATAGGCTTATTTCTTATGCATGAGCGGCGACCAGCATTGCGTAGGTGTAGTATGTATATACAGGTATATATAATTACCTGCGATTATTTCGCCTTTTGCCGTACGCAGAAATGAAGTCTCCCCGTGGTGGCACACAAAACTTGAACTACTTCTTCTCCATTTCGGTTTTAACTCTTTTTCCCCCTCATTTCGAATGTAGATGGCGTGGAAATGGCCCGATGGGAGGGTAATGGGTTACCATCAACACAGATTAAAGGAGGGAGATAAACGTTCAACACCTCTTTCATGGCTTTGCCTACAAATTTAAGTGGGAGTTTCTTCAACACTTTCTTTTAAAATGAGCGTTAACAGGGAAGTTGTTTCCTGTCAATTTATAAAAAAAAAACTAATTAAAAGTAAACATAAGTAATGGATATATATAAAAATATATTGCACATACTATAAAATTATGAGGTATTTATTTACAATTAAAATTTTGTTTGTATTAAATTAGAGACTAGCAAAAAAGCTTGTTTACAAAGTTAAACATGTTTTCTTTAAGCCTGAAACTTAGTTTCTGATTTGTAAAATAACTTATCTCATTTTCTATAGAAATCAACCTCAAACGATTTTTTATAAAACCCTTTATTCAAGATGCTAAGCCAGTGAAGGGCTATTAGCTAACTTAATATGTCGGCCTAACCATTGCAATGCATTGTCTACTTTTCCTCTTCCCATTTAATTTTAATCCAGCTTCATGGCAAGGCATTCATACACAGAGAGAATTTTTGATTGGGTGAGAAGAAAAATTCAATCAATTTGATAATAAATAACTTATTTAGTAAGCGGTATAACATACTCCAGAGCAGTCTTAAAATTCTCAAAAAAGGTAAACGAAATCCTCAAATTATTGATTTTTAAAATCTCAACCTATAGTATTTCTCTCTGTGCATTCATCAAGCATTTATTCCGCGTTTTTATATACATTTTCCAAAAGTTTTCAGTGCTCAAACGAGTAACTTTCAATTGAAGTTGCTCTTATAATAATGACCCCATACTTACGTCTCTGTTTATCCCAAGCTCCTGGCACATTTTCAAATCATTAAAAAAATATATAAATAAAATAAAACAAAATAAAATGTGGGACACAGCACAAAACAAATAATTTTTGATAATTTTGCTAATCTTCTTCTTCTGACAAACGGATCGAAAGCTTTAAGACCATATGTTCCACAGCTGATTGCTGTCAAGTTGAGCTTTAAAAATACTCAAAAGAGTAAGAGAGGCAACTATATTGATCATGATCTTTAAAGTTAGTCAGCCAAGCAGTTGAAAAGCTTTTGGCGCACTTGGACTGCTTTAAATTTAAATAAGCTAACTAACTAAAACAAGCAGTGAGTAAACTTGAAAGCAGTTATTTTTTAAAATTTTATTTACTTTGATGTTTTTGTTTAAATGAACATGAAAGGTATGTATGTGTGTGTTTTTGTGGATATTTAACAATGAAAGAAATGTGTTTTCTTTATAAGTACTAACAAATTATATACAAAAGATAATTTTGGGAAACATTCAAAAAACATAACGTGGAATTTAGCGCCAAAATTTAGGTTTTTGTGACAACAACAAGAACAATGAGTACAAAGCAAGTACACAGAGCAAAATATATAACTTTTTTTATAAATTGGAAAAATTATTCTGTTTTTTAAGGGATTTTAAAATTTAGGAATCTACTTTTAGGAATCTCTTTGCCAAAGACAAATGTTATTTGTGCATTTTGAAAATTTGCTTACAAACAAATTCAAACATTTGCTTTATGCTTTTCCTTGCTGTGCATTTAAAACTCATTCGATGGCCTCGATTATTTCATATTCTTCATCCAAAGAATGGTCATAATCGATGTTGTATTTGTTCTTGATCTTGCTCTTGTAATCCTTGAGCTCCGCATCGTTTTCGAATTTGTTAGTGTTATAGCGCTGCTTGCCTCGCGAGTTGTTGTGGGTGTTTTGGGTGTTGGAATTGCTATTGTTTGGGTTCTTTTTTTTGCCTTGATGCGGGCTATTGCTGTGAGTGCGATTCCTAGTTCTAGTTTGGTTGCGGTTGCTTTCCCTATCGCTATGGCTAAGTCTATTGGGCTTATTGCTACTGCTAGGCTTTGATTTTCTTTCGCTATTTTTACTAGATTTATGTTGCTGTTTCTGCTGTGGCTGCTCCTGTTGCTGCTGCTGCTGTGATGATGAGTACGACGATTGAGGATTGGTACTTGGTGTGGTAAATCTCATGCTACCTCTAAAGCTATTTTTGGTCATTTTACTGTAGTTGCTGCTATCTACGATTCTATTGTTGCTGTTGAGTTGATGTTGCTGCTGCTGTTGCTGTTTCTCCTTTTGAAATTGCCGCTGTCTGCCTCCGCGCTGCTGTGCTGTGGTTCCGTTTGCTGCTGCTGTCCCAATCTTATACTCATCATCGGCCTCATATCATACATCACTCGACGACTGCTGCTTCTCGGGGATGCGATAGAGCTCGTCGTTGTTCTGGTAGAGCTGCTCCGAGCCGGCGCAGTTCACATTGGACCACCAATCGCAGACGCGAACGGCCTGGTTGAAGACGGTGCCATTGGGGCAGAGGAAGGAGTACTGGTGGCCCGAGTGGAGGCACCAATGCCACACCTGTAAAAGGGGGTAATTAATATGCAATATATATGGCCATTTAAGGTTCTACTTCACCTGACAACGCGTCTCTGTGTCCGCATAGTAACCTGGCTGGCGACCCTGGCAGTTGAAGGCCAGACCCTTGGGCACAGCATCGTAAGCGGGGTAATCCTCGCCAGCAATATAGCCATCGATTTGCTGGAAAAATGTACATAAAACAATTAAGAGTCAGCTATGAAGTAAAGCAAATAATTAAGCAATTATATTTGAATACCATTGGCCCCCATTTCGTATATAAAATATTATTATAATGCATTTAATAGCAATTCTCTCAACACCTAAAAAAAATATGGAATTAAATTATGACTCCATTTGGCGGATCTCCGTGTGAATTATCTCAGCTCAGTGGCTGGGCGACCTTCAATTGTGGGTGGCATGTGGCAGCCATATATTGCTCAAGCGGCAACAACAAAATGAACTCTAAACAATAACAAATTACAATTTGAAACAATTGCCACACAGACACACATTTAAAATGCAAATGCAGCAACACACGAAAAACTAACAGAAACCAACAAAAGAACCAGTGAGTGTTGAAAATTGTGCACTTGCAACAGTTGCAAATAATTGTGTGCTCCGCGTGTGTGCCCCATGTGACAACCGACTGTCAATCTCATGCGTACGAAACCATGAAAAGCCAAAAAGCTAAAGAGTCGAAGAGCTGAAAAGCCAAACAGTCGAAAAGAGCGAAAAAATAAAACAATAAAACCCAACACACACACACTCGGAAGGGATCCAAGCACTTGGATTCTTTTGTGTCGATGGAGCAGACTCATCCATACATCGGTTCCAGCCCCATGTTGCAGGTTGCATCTAGCCATCTATCTTGATCTTGCCTCAATTTCTAATCCGAATGCAGTTTCCCATTGTTGCCGCCACCACCGCCGTTACGCTCAAATAAATCTCTCTCCCTTCGGCGGCATCTCCTTCTTCCAATTCAGTCTCCCAGGGGGTTAAGGGGGTTATTTGGGTTAATGCCGAATTTATGCTAATGGAAGGTGTTTCGACGGGGCAAAAGTGATTGGCAATGTTCAGCCGTTTGAAGGGGGTGAGAAAGGCTTGGGATTTCTTCTTGGGAAGCATTAGGGATTGCTTAGGAGATTTTAATATCTTTATTCAAAATGGTTATAAATTTCACATAAAATAATAATAATAAAATACTTAAGAAAGACTACTTTCATTGGAAATATTAGGGATATACGAGGAGCTCAATAGCAGAGTACTTGGTCTAATTTGTAAATAAAGTTATATCATAATTTCTGGTAATATTTGCATAAACCTGGAACTGGATGACGACTTTCCCTGGCACCTAAAATACAAATTTCAAAAATCTTAATTTCTTTTAATTACATAAATTAATTTTTTCTAAAAATATATGCTACTTTTTCCTAACTCCTTAAAGGAAACTACCTTTCCCACTTTATACCCCACTTAAAATACCACTTCAAACATTTACACTGCCTCGTTTTTCGGCTTAACTTTTCTCAATCACTTGGCAATTTTCACGCTAATAACTGGGCTTTCCTGGGCTTTTTAACATTTTCAAGAGACACTCGAAAAAGGCAGAAATGAAACAACAAACCATGTTAACCGCCCATTGCCTCAGTAACCCAAAAAGCAAAGCAGACTCAGTCCCAGTACCTTGGATCTACTGAAGATGCGCTCCCCCTTCCCGCACCATCACCATCAATTATTTCCCTCCACTCTCAACCTTTGGCCGAACCATTTTCCTTTAAATATCAACCAGACGAGACGGCATGAGAGTTACAACTGGAAAATGGTTAATTTTCCCTGTATTTTCCTTTTATTTCTGTTTGCCGAGCGCGGCTGAGGGGTAACCAAGGCTAATTGATAATGTAACACACAGCGGACAAGAGGGTCTCAAATGGTAAAAAGCGAATGTTGTTTACACTTTATGTTGAGCCTAGGTAAACTATATTATGTGTAGATATTTATGAATATTATTATATTTTTTTAAGTTCTATATTTCATAAATTAAGCTTCTTTAAGTAGGAATTGCAGAAATATATCCCTATATATATTTTTTGAATTTACTATTCATTTACTTAACAGCTTCCTCTTAGTCCCTAGCCCAATCTAAAAATAAACTTCCCCTTAGCCAGTGTATTTAAAACAGAGGAAGAAAGACTCATGACGACACCTTTTTAGAAAGAGCCTCGGCTCCTCTCCAGGGGGAGCTCTTTCTGTGTGCATTTCTGGCGGGGACGTGAGAAGTTGTCTAACACTTTGGCAGACAGGTTGTCTGCTTCGTGTGTCGGCTACACCCCCTTTGGGTGCCCCCTCATTTTCCCAACCGAACTCTTGGCCAGCTTCTTTTGGCTCTTCTGCACTTGCAACATTGCATGCGGCATGAAAGGAAGATGGCCAAGCTCTTTTTTTGGTTATTTTTTTCTTTTTAGGCAACAATTGTAATTGTTGCTGGTGTTGCTGTCTGCTGTCTGTTGTTGTTGCTGTTGCTGTGTTGTGGCTGCAACTTTGCGTGGGAGTTTGTTGTTGCCGCCACTGTTGTTGCTGGCTGAGTGAGATCCCAATCAAACAAGAGACAAATGGTGTGCACAATCTTTCTATGCGGAATGAATGTACGAAAATTATCTCAGATGACACTTTTTTGTGTGGCATCTCCGGCTCACATTGATACACCAAAGATATACAACCAGGCACGGCCAATGAAGTTGTCAAATCAATGCTTAGATTATTATTCAATAAGCCATTTCCCAAGCTCATAAAAAGGCTTTTACACAAGAGAAGTTGTTTATTTTGCCATGATGGCTGGTTATAAAAATGGTAATTGGAAAAGGGAACGGGGTTTCTGGGTCTCTATGCACTTGGATAAATTAATTTTGTAAATGTAAGGAAAATGTCTTGAAGAGGAAAATCATTTTAAGTTGGAATATATATATAGTTTAGCATGAAAATACTTTAAGATTCAATACATTTTGAGTTTCTAGATTGTTCTAGACAATATCTTTTTACCCTCTTCTTAGATCTTTTTTCAAGTGTGCCCTATTTTGGTACTGTACAGGATTAGGATTACGATTACTGTTACTATTACGATTACGATTACGATCGGTGGGAAGAGGACGACTTACCCCATTGACACAGTTCCCCGCCAGCATCGAGAGCAGTCCCAACACGACTATCAGAAGGCAGGGGCTCCTCCACCAAAACTGAAACTGAATCTGAAGATGTTGCTGCTGTCTGTGATGCTGCTGCTGCTGCTGCTGCTGTTGCTGTTCATGCTGCTGCGGTGATTTGTTCGCTGCCATGATGTCTGTTGTTGTTTTGTGTGTTTTTTTCTTTTTGGTAATACGTAATTTAAATGTGATTTTTTTGCTATCTAAAAAATACAAAACGAAAATCGAAAGAAAACGAGTCGAGTGGGTTGAAGATATTAATTTTCTGTTTTCGGGCTTAATGCATTTCGGTTTTTCAGCTATTTTAGAAAGGAAGCTGGCATCTTCTTCTCCTTCTCGGTATGTAATTTTATTTTATATCTATCTATCGTACATGTCTATTATGTGCTGCTAGAGGAGTAGGCAACCACAACTGCTAATGGACAATCGGGTATTGCTGCTGCTGCGATGTTGCAGCTGCCGCCGACGATTGCATTCACTTTTTTTTTCTTTGCGGGGCAGCGGATGCTTCTAATGGATCTTAATTGATAATAACTCCAATTGTTTATCTTGGGGTTAAAGCTATTGCGCAGAATTCTTGTTTACAACATTGTTCCATCATAATTTGATTACTGCAAAGCTGGGATTTTATGTAGTAAAGCTGAGCGTTAATGCTAGCCAGCTTGTTGGGTATTTTTATTGTTATTGGGAGGCAGTTTTACAATCAATTTAATGCTCTTTGGGCATTTATTTATTTAATGGAAAGCTAGCTCGATTATATAATATAATTATTATACGTTTAGTACGTCAATAAATATAGTGACTCATGCAAATGTTGAATTTAAGTTATTGAGATTTAACAGCACGGGTTTATGAGTTTTACAAATGAGAGTCTTATGAGAAAAAGGTTCCTTGTATAAGGATTTATGGAAGGATTTTAGTAGAATTATAAAAAATAATTTTAAAGAAATCTATTTGTTATACAAATATATTTAAATATTTATTTTATATTTAAATATATTTTTTTCCATCTTAGATTTAATTTTTTGTATTCACAATTAAATAAGTAAATGTCCCATAAATGTATGGCATTGAATAAATACATAATTGTATTAATTATTTGATATATAATTTAAATAGGAGTTTCAATAGGATTAATTTTTTAAAAATATTTTGTATATATAATAAGGTATGTAAATATCAAATAAATAAGCATATATTGAATAACGAAATTAATGTTTTCTTTAATTGAAATTCAACAAAGTTAAACTCTGTTTAAAAAATTGCCTTTTGCCTATCCAATTTAGTTAAATTTTCATTCACAAATTAATATGTATTAATCCAACTTTTTGACTTTAATAAACAAAATAAATAAATAAATATACTACAAAAAATCCCTGCATCTATAAAGCTCCAACCCGAAATCCCATTTAAAGGGTTTCCAAGCTACTTTTCCTAGCCCGCAGATTTGTTCACACTTTTCAAATTTAAAAATTCCCAGTTCGTTCTGACTATATCCAGCACTTGTTGCTCCTCATGGGAACTAATTGATTGCTCAACTCTGCAGCACACAATTTGAATGCCACGCACTTTGCCGCCGCGCACGAGAAAAACACACTGGTATGCGATGCCGTATCGTTTCGGATCTCGTATTAGGATCGGGACTCACTTTAAGGCGATGCGAGCCGAGGAGCACGTGTGGCCGCGTTTGAAGTTGATGCAAAAGTTGTAAAAAAATTCGCATCAATTTTAGTTTTATACTCAAGAGCAGTGCACTCGCTGGGCCGCGATCAGTGGGCCCCTCTCTGCAGATGAGCGAGGCTGCCAGCGACCAAATCCACAGCGTCATCGCTGGAATTGCCAAAGAGCAACCGCAGCCGAAGCTGGAAAACTAAATCATCGTGTCTCGTGGAGCTCTCCGAGCTGCTCCAAAGCTGTCGGGTATTATTCTCTCATTCATGAGTGCGGGGGATCTTTTTTTTCCACTATGCGAGTGAATCTCTTTTGTTTTGTTTTGTTTTCGCGGTTTGTTGATGTTTGCTCGTCTGTGTCGCAAAGCCGCCAAAAAAAAAAAAAAACAACAAAAAAAATTAGTGCAAATTTCTGCTTATTGATGATGCCACTTGGCCAACTTAACGGCAATTCCATTTAATTGTCGCGCGCTTAGTGCGAAATTTTCGTTCATTAGCGCTGGATAAACGAAAGACTTAGGCAACGAACTCGAGGCGGCATTGATTGGAAAAGTAGGGGGAGAAAGAGCGGAAAGTAAAAGGGAGTTTAAAGTTGAGGAAAGAAAATAATGGAAAATATTTAAGTTACTAAAATATTCATTAAACAATAAAGGTTTATATTTTTAATTATCTTTAAACAATGAAAACGAATCAAATGAATTTATAGATGTTGTCAGGATTTAATTTCAGAAATAATTACAAAAATATTAATCACCATTTTAATTGCTTATAATAAGTAACCGGATATATTTATGTTAATACAATCATTATAATTATCTTCTATATTAAATTATTATATATATATATATATAAAAGCTAATAAGTGTCTTCATTTTCAATGTGGCCCTCCCAGAACTTGCACTCCCAACGGATGCTGTGCTTTTGCAATTCCGCTCGACAACTGACAGCATTTAATTTCGATTTGCAAAAAATTATCATAAATTAGACTAATTAAAATCGAATGCTGCAATAAATTTTCATCGCTGCCGTTGGCAAGAGACATTCATTTGCTCTAGAATTGATGAAGTCGCAGCGTGGCACATCGCAGCACTCGGCCGCTCACTTTCAAAAGATGTGCACGGTGGCAATCCGGTTCAGCTCTCGGTGCGCTTCAATTGCCCAGACATCGACAGACCTGCGATCCGAGACTAGAGGCTAAGAGACCTGGGACTGGAAAAGACCTGGGATCCGAGATTCGAGACCCGGAGACCCGGAGACGTGGCGGTGGCAGTGGTGGCATTCTGGTTCACCTTCGAGAAAAGCACAGACAATCGTCTGGCCGTTGCCAAACGTCTATCGTGGCTTAGTTTGCTTGATTTTCGGTTTCGAGAGCAAGTTTCGGCGTATCGGTGCGGTGGATTGTGTGAGAAATTCCCTTAATCAGCGCCAGTTGCACTGCACCAGTCCCGCTGTAAATGGGCAATGGCAGTTGCCTTATGGACTTCTTGTAAATATCGTAAATATCTTATTATCATTAGGCGTTGGTCACTGGCTCTTTACCCCTCTGAAAAGTTATCCAATTGATTGGGCTATAATCTACAATTAATCGATCTAAGCCATGGCTTTTCCACCGCCTCCGCACAATTTCCAATGATTTCACACGCCGTGTCGACGACGGCCTTGACTTTTACCCGCCCGAAGGCCGTAGGCGGGCAGATCCATCATCATTATCATCAGCAGTGGCTTCTTCGGGTTTCATATTTTGTTGGTTGGCGCTGAAAAAATGTTTAATACGTGACGAAAACAATGATCAAGTAATTATGTGGCTTATAAATGTCGGCTTCCCTTCGCTGCGATATGACACTTGCTACTGGCTAAACGCATTTTCCCTGGGCTCTTCCGTTTCCATTCTGTTGTCAGCCGTAATGCCGTAATTTATTAAATTATTTTAGAAATGTTTTTTAATTCCACTTGGAGTGGGGGGTCTTCTTTTGTGTGTGGAGAACTGGATTACTGGCTGGGTGTCATTACATCAGGGTCAGGCCTGGCGTTGACCTCTAACTGATCGCTTTTTAACCACAAGGTGTGTAGTGTTTGTGGGTTGAAATCAATAAGGTGCCTTATGAGAGCAGACTTGATTCTTTATTACATTTAAAGGCATTTTAATGGGTTGTAAATTGATTAAAATTACACTATTACAGAGAAGCCCTATTTGTTTCCTCCATTAATATCACCCAACTAGTCCAAGGCCTAGCTGGACCATCTGCATCCTCTTTGAGCCGATTCATTCATCAGTTGGCCATACCTCATCCCCAGCATCATTTGTCAATTGCTAACGAAATCCTCTCCACCTCCTCCCCAAAAAAAACGGAAGAGAATAAACAAAAAATACTGGCAAACAGACCGCAAACATTTTGATAAACGCATTTAGTTCTCATTGTTCTGGTTTGGGGTTTGCAACAACAACAAAAAAACGCCCTGCCATTGCACAAAAACAATGCACTTCGGCGGTTCTCTTTTTTTTATGACTTTGGAACAACTTGATTATTGTGCAAATAAAAATTCTAATGACGATTTCGGCAACAAACAATGCAATTATGCAAAAGCCAGAAGTGGAAGGTAATTAAAGGCAGAACGGCTGTGGAATGATAATTATCGCGGGGCTGCAATCAACAATGGATATGCTAAGCAAGTTCCAAAGTTCCAAGTTCCAAGAGGAGGAGAACATCCTCTGGAGATGGCTCGGCGGCACATGCCACATCCGCCAAAAAAAAAAAATAAGAGACGAAGAAACGAGCCGTGATCTATCATCACCAGTCTTTGTCTGGGCTTTGCGCAACTCCGCCCCTTCCTTCCACCCGGCCACTCCGCTCTCCAAAATCCCACACATCATCTGGGCTAAAAGGTTTCGCTCCGCCACAAATTGTGGCAAATTGTCTATGGGTTTTGTAATCGAAACGCGAAGCTCCTTCATCGAATCGAGCAGAATTCCCCTGGCCGAAAGTGAATTTGCGAAATTGTTTTGTCACTCGACGGATTAGTTGAGTTCATTTGTGTCCCAGTTGGCCAACATTGATTGATACTTTTCCTCCCTTTTTCGCTAACTTGCCAGTCATCCGTTCAAGTGACTTTCTGGGGTGACTTCATTTATTTGAAATTTTTGCTTGGCAATTTATTTTTTGGCTTCGATAAATTAGTGCTTAGGGAAATACCCTAAATAAACGTACGGGTTTAAGTGGGTCACTGGGAGGATAAAGGTGTTGAAAAGCAAGCCAATTTTTAGCTGTCTATGGAATTTATAGATTTAAATAAAATTTTGAAACATTTACAAAAAGGAAGTAACCATTTTAAAAACCATTTGCCATAGAAGATCATTAATCTGTTCTGTAAAGTATCTCAAACAAGGTAAAGAACTTTAGGAATCTCAAACATTTACAGCTAAATTTTAAGTTATTCCCTAAATACAAGCCACACTCTATCAGTTTTATTATTATTTATAACCAAAATTAGTGACTATTCTTAGAAAATGCCAAGAAAAATTGATTGAATTGCCATTTGATGAATGGCTGTTGTATATTTACCGAAATTATTCAGCAGCAAAGTGACAAGGGAAACAACACAAAACTTTGAATTTGAAGCTTGGAAAACCAATTACAAGCACGATGGCAAATGTGCTGTTGAGATGATTGAAATTAATGGCAGATCCATTCAAAAATATAAAGACACTACTGCCTTTAGAAGGCCAAAGGCATCTGAACCCCGTCTGATCGGCTGGCAAAGTTCACAATTCTTTTTAGCAGTGATGCTGCCGATGATAGACAGCGCTTCGGGGGAAATTTCATACAGAAAATGCCATGAATAAAGCGAGAAAAGATTGCATTTCGAAGATACAGAGATACTTATGAAGGAGCTTGGCCAAATGCCAGCGGAGGCATAACGAGGTGCGAACAGGGTCAGCTCTGCCAGTCGCTTAGAGCTTGACTTGAACTCTAACGCGAATCGAATGGCCAATGGCCTGGCAGACTCTTTGGCCAACAGAATCTGGTCCAAAAATCAGGTAGCAAAATTGTCAGCCAAGTGCTAAAGTTTAGTCCAGCTGCCAGGTTTAGTTATGCTTTTCAGCTGAGAGTGTCAAATTCCTTCTTTATTTATAAGAATTAATTGCAGTATTGTATAGTTTGTGGAATGTTTGTCAAGGAATTTATTAACGACTGTAAACTGATTGTTGGAAATTGGTTGTTATATTTCTTAAATAATGTCTTAAGATATGAATATTTATATATTTAAAGAATTTTGTTGCTTATTATTATTTTTCATATTTATTTTGGAGACATAAACAATTCCTTGTTCGCTTTGACTATTTTTATGTACATAAATCGCTTTCAGAAGAACATGTTATATTTAAATGTGGAAATCTAACTTTAAATTGTGAAGCAAAATTTAAATAAATCCTATATATTATAATAGATAATCTCAGCTTAACAATAAAAAATCATTAACCAGATCAGCACATCACAAGGCTTTATCTTTCAATCGCCAGCAATTGTTGAACATTAAGCATACGTCATGGGGTCCGTGGCTCCGACTTACTATTCAAGTTTTTTCGCTGCTCCGTAGTTTTTCCTTTATTTTTTCATTTTTTTTTCTTGGTCTCCTTTGTTTTTGTTGTTATTTTTCGTTGGCTACCATTTGAATTGATTTTTGCTTTTATGCCTCGAAATTGGAGTAAGATTGGAGGCAAGGTCAACGGCTGTTGCCTCGCTTTCTGGCTGGCCATCTGCAGAAATGCGATGATCATGGCGATGACTGGAGTAGCCGAGTAACTCCAAGTATTTGAGTATCTGGGTATCCACGATGATGACGTTGACGTCTCACTCTAAGAACAAAACAACTCGTAATTGGGTCGACTTTTGTGTACTCGAGTAATCGCAGACACGAGAAGCCAAAAGGCCCGCGCAAAACGGCCGAGTCATAAAACTGAGAAACCTTTATCAAACGCTTCGCTGATCCGATCCAAACTCCGACAACTTCAATGTTGTTTCGTCTGTTATTTGTTATTTTACATTTGTTTTGTTTTTTTTTCTTGTTGTTCGTGTGAACTGAGGAAGGACGACCTTTGGCACAGACTCCGACTTGAAGATGACACCTTCGGCCGGAGTTATCCATTTCGTGATGCCATTGGGAATGACTCAGCTGAAGATCTCTTGGCCGGAATTGATTTTTGTTTCTGCCAATATTGGGGCTCCTCTCATCAAATTGCAGCTGAAACGAGTTTAGCATTCGCTTATTTCTGGCTAAATATTCAGTTGTTTTTTCGGCAAATGATCGTAAATTGTTAATGTTGTTCCAGCAGGCGTGGGATTATTCGATGCAAAGTTATTGCCTCGTTAGGGAGATGGATTGTGTGAGTTTAGAAATTTGAGCTTATAAATGTTAATCGATTGGCATTTGTCTGGAAAGGGTGATGTTTTTGTGGTATAATTTATATAAAAGCTATAATTATGGGGAATATTATAGAGGTCCTTTTATAAAAGCTTTATTTGTTGATTAAAAGCTCAGGACTCTCAAAAGCTGTAGCCACGAATGAGTAAAAGCGAAGGACTTTCACTCAAAGTTTGCCATAAAACCAAGTTTCGCGTTTTTGGGGGTGGATTATTAAGGAAATTATGAAATATATATTTTTTAATATACAATTTTAATTAATAATGTGTATTTTTAAATTTATAAATATTTTTTTATATTCAATTGTCTGAATACTACAGTTTATAGCTTTGCCAGCGCCACTTGGCCAGACAAAATTTTATATATTTGACTCAGTTGAGCTTCGTTAAACTTCCAATTCACAGTTGTTTGGCGCTAAGCTAGTTATAAAAAAGTATAGAAAAATAACTGTATAAATAAATCTTATCTTTATGGATAAAATTAAGGAGAATATATAGCTGTTTTAAAAGAAAGCCAACTTTTTCTCACCAATAAAATGGTAAAAATAAGAAGAATTTATAACATATTTAGTATAAATATATATTTTTTTAATTTAAAATATTTTATAATTTAATATATTTATCAAATAATAAAACGCTCTCAAAAATCTGTAAATTGTAAATAATTTTCTTAGTCATTTGTCTACTCAAACCTTTTAAAACAATTAAAAACAAAGCAGCAAAAACATAAAACTTGACGAATAAATGTATGAACATCTCACATTTGAGGTTCAATTACAGAAACTGCATACTTTCCCGGAGCTTCAACCATTCCCAAGGGATTTTCTTTGGAAAATACTCATAAACAAATCAAATTCTG